ACTTTTATTGTTTAAATACAAATAAGAAGTACAATATAATATCTCATAATGAATAATGGTTCAGTATAGTCTATACGAGGGTATATCATAAAGTTCTCATAATATCTCTCTTAATTTTTTATTTTTCAATTATTCTAATGAATTTTTCACAGAATGTGTAGTATAGAATGGTGTATTTATGTATCAAAAAATATTTGGTATATTATTTAAGAAATTGTTGCCATAGTAACCAGAAATCTAGGCACCTGGGGCAAATAAAAAATCCTGCAAGAATAGCCCCTAACCATGGGCTTTCAATTCTAGTTGAAAGCCCATGCCCTAACTAGCATAAGTTATCAAATAAACTATGAAACTATTCTAATACTGAAATTATTCTTGACTGTTTTGAACAATTATAATATAATGGTCATGTGAATTGTGTGATCTCATAATGGATAATTGTAATGCTTCATTAGAAGTGATGTTAGACACTACAACCGTTTTGTCAAATATTCCAAGGAAAGTCAATTTCCCCCTGTAGTCATGTTATTTCATGGCCGTCAGATGGGGGGGGGGGGGGGGGGGGAGGTGCGACGGATGCGACCGCACCCCCTCTGACACCCCCCCAAAAAAAATTTGGAAAAAAAGAAAGCACCAAATGATCTTAAAATTGTAAAAATGAACTGTAACAAATACCCAGATTTATTGCTTTCTAAAAGAAATAATTTTTTGATATCACTTTTTATGCCCAGCATAAAAAGTGATGTCCCATTTTATGCTGGCATAAAAAGTGATATCCCATTTTATGCTTGCATAAAAAGTGATGTCCCATTTTATGCTGAGCATAAAAGAGATACCCCATTTCTCTGCTGGTATTATTTAGGAAGTGATGTTTAATGGTAGTTCAAGATTTAAGAACCATCATTCTGGCACAGATTGCTGAACTAATGTTAGTTAAGAATTCCTAATAGAATTAAGAATTATTAGCTGAAACAGTTGTTTTGCCCTGGCAAACAATTTTCCAACTTGTGTTTCAACTTCATTTCTGTCTATTTGTAGACAGTCTGTGATGTCATCAACAATCATCACAATGGAAACAAGATAATTCATGATGACATCACAAAGCATCTCTGTCATAGATAGAACTCTGCCACATTTCTTAGAAATCAAACTACTATGTGACATCATAGATAATCTCACTGTCACAGATAGAATTCAACTGATTCCCATTGTGAAGATTGATGAAGATTGATGATGACATCACAGACTGTAAACACATATAGACAGAAATGAATTTCAAATGCGTATTGGGATATTGTTTGCTAGGGCCAACAGAACAGTTTCAGCTATTAATTCTTAATTCTATTAGGAATTTTTAACTAACATTAGTTCAGCAATCTATGTCAGAATGATGGGTCTTAAATCTTGAACTACCTTTAAACATTACTTCCTAAATAATACCAGCAGATTACTCTTTTTAAAAACCAACAAATCCGGGTATTTGTTATACAGTCCATTTTTATATAATCCACTATTTAGGGAAGTAGGCCATCCCTCACACCCCCACAAAACAATTGAAAAGTTCTGAATTTATTTTATGTATTGTCTCAGACACTTTAAAAGTGCCCAGACATCATCAAATAGCTCCTTGATATAGTCAATGTTTCTGGGGGACTAATACTTGCTCCCCCTCTGTCATCCTCACCCCACCTCCCCCTCGGACACCCCGCCCCCCCCCCCCCCCCCCCCCCCCTAAAAAATTGTTCTTCTTTTTTATTGTCTCATACACTTTGAAAGTGTCCAGAAAGCACCAAATAGCATCTTTAAATTGTATAATTTTCTAGGGGGAGTGGGCCACCCCTCACACCACCACAAAACAAATGAAAAGTTCTGAATTTATTTTATGTATTGTCTCAGACACTTTTAAAGTGCCCAGACATCATCAAATAGCTCCTTGATATAGTCAATGTTTCTGGGGAACTAACACTTGCTCCCCTTCTGTCATTCTCATCCCACCTCCCCCTCGCCCCCCCCCCCCCTTGGACACCCCCCCCCCCTGGACACCCCCCCAGAAAGCACCAAATAGCATCTTAAAATTGTTGAATTTTCTAAGGAAGTAGGCCACCCCTCACATCCCCCACAAAACAATTGACAAAAATTTTGAATTTATTTCATGTATTGTCTCAAGACACATCTTAGGTGCCCAGACTTCATCAAATAGCACCTTTATATGGTCAATGTTTCTGGGGACAGATATGGGGGACAAACACTTGCTCCCCCCTCTGGCAGCCAAACCCTACCTCCCGCTTTGGCACCCCAGCCCCCCTTTGACATCCCCAAGATTTGAAAAAATTATGATTGTTGTTCATTTTTTTATTGACTCATACACTTTAAAAGTGCCCAGAAAGCACCAAATATCATCTTAAAATTGTAAAATCTTCTAGGAGAGTTGGGCACCCATCACCCTCACCCTTTTATCCTCTTTGACACCCCTTTGATTAATACACTTTGAAAGTGCACACTCACACCCCCCCCCACAAAACAATTGGGAATGTTTTGAAGTTGCATTTGTTAATGTTAAACACTTTAAAAGTGCTCAGAAATCACCAAGTGACATAATGAAATCATAAATAATTCTGACACCGCATCCCAAAAACTAAAGCATTAATTTACTCAAACACATTAAAAGTGCTCAGAATTAACCAGACAGCATCTTGAATTAGTAAAATTTTCCTGTGCTGCCCACTCGCTCCTCTAAAAAGAAAATTATTAAAAATCTGAATTTCTTTTAATTGATTCTATTGCCTTCTAGCACACCCTCCCTATTCCAATGTTTCTCCTAATTGCTCATACAATATTTAGTCTAAAAACAATTTGAAAACAATAAAATACTACAAAATAGGCTGAGTGGCCTTAATATAGAGAGTAACTGACCCCCCCCTGACTTACGCGATTTGATTTACGCGGAAAATGACAATTTTATTTTCTCTTTGTTAAAAATCGCACCCACTTGGAGAAAAGTGTCTTACGGGCCTGTAGTTTATCTTAAATATGTTTAGACCACAAATAGGGGGATAATTTTGTTGATATCTTTGCAACATATTTGCTTTAGAACATCTTTAATATGAGCAAAGGATTTTTCGAACTTAACTTACTTTTTTATGAGTATCATGCGGGGCCTGGATATATACCGTGATAAGAAAATGAGAAAAATATTGACAATTTTGCCACCTGAGTGAATATCACTTTTATTATCTGACATCACACATTTTTGAGAATGCCTTAAGAGTAAATGTATGGTTTGAGTGATTATGTCAATATAATGAACTTTTCTTATTTTTCAGTGTTTGCTGAAGATGTTCCCTGTTGTGCAAGTACCTGTACAAATCATGACATTACCACACAATCAACTAAAATGACATTGGAACTCCGCCATCAGCTAGGCCTATTGTGAATGTGGCTAAGAAGAACAGCAAACATTGACTGTGTTGACTTATTTAACCAGGCTAAATTAACTTGCCCTGCAAAGTTCCTGATAAAAATACATGTGTGAATTAGAAGACCCAGCCAAGATAATGAATATATGAAAATACAATGTACCCCAGAAGCGTCTCATCTTCAAATCTCACAATGTCCATGAAGTGATTATCCTCTCGGCTATTTGTGACAAAATGATGCAGTAATGGAATCAGAGCCTTATTATTCAATGCTGATATCACATTATCAAGAAACCCAAGTAACTGTGACTATGCTCTAAATGGCAAAGAAACAGTAACAGCAGATGAAGAATAAAAATCAGTGACGCAACAAACACTGTTGACTATGATTATGAATGTTAACACAACTGTAATCAGTCAAATGAAACTTTATACATTGTGATACAAGACTATAACTCCATCTCATCCAATCAATTTGTCATAGCGAAAATCCCTAGTAAGGGATTTTACATGAAAAAGCCAAACCCTAAAATCCTTCATGATTCATATGACTATGAGCTAAGGATGGCTACTACATCAAAGTATTCAAATGACAATTGAAACTCCCTATAATACAGTAAATAATACTAGACTATTGGGATTCAAGTCAAAACCACATTGACAAAAAATTCAAACACCAAATAAAATAACTTCAGCAGTTAGTATTATACAGTAATATATTAATAAAATTAAATACATGAAGCATTATTTGAATATAACATGAACTATTATAAATAAATACAATGTTTCTTTGTTATTTACTGCTGTGCTGGTGTACAAAATCTATCAGAGCATTGAAGTAATGAACAATACTGGTAAAAAATTGACATGATTTTCCCTCTATTTTCATTCCTGTTATGATGATATTTGTAACAAATTTATGGCCGCGTATACTTGAAGTGAACAAATCTACTCTCATTGTCTTTTGCATTTGCATAAGGACAGATCTTCTATTTATGCCGACAAAATAACAGATCTACTCTTATGCCGGGCATAAGAACAGATCTGCTCTTATGCCGGGCATAAGAACAGATCTGCTCTTATGCCCGGCATAAGAACAGATCTTCTCTTATGCCGGGCATAAGAACAGATCTTCTCTTATGCCGGGCATAAGAACAGATCTTCTCTTATGCCGGGCATAAGAACAGATCTTCTCTTATGCCGGGCATAAGAACAGATCTACTCTTATGCCCGGCATAAGAACAGATCTACTCTTATGCCCGGCATAAGAACAGATCTACTCTTATGCCCGGCATAAGAACAGATCTACTCTTATGCCCGGCATAAGAATTGAACCTAATTTGCCCAAACCTCATGTTTGCTGAAGTCCGAGTATTTGTAGGATTCCGAGTTCAAATGTCGGGGTGTTATATATTTACTGTTAACAGAAAAAAAAAAAGTATATATATATACCTAAACTGTACCACTCTATCATGCTCTAGCCTATTTTACCATATATATTTTTCCAACTCTATTCTATTTACTATAAATCTTAAGGCATTTCGTTTATTGTTGATCAAATAAAATGAAGGTCAACATATGTACCTGCTACAAACTTGACTCCAAACCACCATGAGATAGGCATGATTCCATGGTGGAACACATGCAAAAATGACATCTGGTTATTTTTCTTCCTCAGTATAAAAAACAGCTGAAAATAAAATAAGTGTTAGTTGTTTAACTGTAATTGCAAGGTAAACAAGGCATTAACATGCAAAATGTCACCACCTACCATTTGTTACAGACACCAAACAACTGCTGCCACAAAAAAGTTGGACACGATAACAATATGTCACCTTTTGAGGTGGAGACATAACGAGGCATTTATTTGACAAAAACCAATGTCAGACTCTAAAATGGTGTTTATGCTGTAATTTCACATCTAAGCTGTCATATATAAATGAATTTGTTATCACAGTTTTGGAAATCTACTTCAAAAACGTTAATAATACGAAAATCTTGTTTTAGACATAATTACACCTTTATTATCAGACAGAACAATCATGCAATTTAAGGCTGTCTGGTGCCACTATTACATCTGATCGACTCAGCAACTGCCATTTGAAACTGACAAAAAGACAAAAAAATTAAGATACTTACAGTATCAAAAAGGTCTATAAATTTTGAGAAGTAGAAAAACCAGCAGGCATTAGCCATCTGCAAAGAAAGGAATCCACAAGTTAATTTAAACATATGTACAGTAAAGCCGAATTGTGTATTATACATTTTGTCTACATCCCCAATTAATACCATGAATTGTACACAGTACATTGTCACAATTAAAATAAAATACAATTGTTCAGAGTGGAAATGGCAGAAAAATTCTGTTTAGCATGTCTTTCTGAATATGTGTTTCTACACAATCAATATTCTTCAATATCATAAAATTCCAGCTATCCTTAAAATACTTTGAGATACATGTACATGTAATTAAATTCATTACAGATTTTAAATAAACAGGAGGCATTTTTCATCTTGGCATTCTGTAAGTTCATTTCATTTCCCATTTAATACTCTCTAAAATACTGAACAAACTGCTTCATTTACTGGCATAAATAATTGAAAGAATTTCTTCTCAATTCCATTCTATTTTTCTTTTCGTAACATGCCCACTGAGTTTATCATGAGGCAGCCATGTACAATGTACAGGCTACATACCCTGAGTGCTTGTGGGCTATTGCTGTAATCTACAGGTTGACAACCTAAACTATACCCAGCTAACCAACCAGAGAGCAGGAACTGAAATATAACAAAATACATGTACAATGTTACTACAACAATGCGGTATATAAATATAGCCAGAGAGAGACTATTATAGACACTTTTACTGCATCATGTTTTATATAAAGTAACTTATATTTAATATGAGCATCCATCTTTTAAAATATTTAGGTCTAACTTGGCATTATTTACTTTTGATTCCTGTATGTACTATTGCAAGAAGTCAGTCTGCTTTTAGAGCACTTGCATAATGATCATAAAAAAGTAATTAATACTGTACATTTATGGCTATTTCCTTAACCAGAGTCTTGAACAGATCAACAAAAACAGCCCACAGTGAAAGTGTTATTTAATCCAAATGGTTAGTTTGCCGAATGGTAAATTTTTGTCATTTTCCTAATTCTAATTTTCCTAATGACAAGAAACTTCCCATTGAATGACATTATAAAGATAATATAATTTTCAGAAATTAAGCAAGAGGTAAATCAAATGATTAGGCAAAATTACCACAAACTGTATAACATGAAGAGATATAAATTGAAGTTGAATGAAACTATCCACTTTTCAGAGTGTGCAAGGTCAATTATGCATGTGTCATTTTTACATGAAAGTAATTTTTTTAACATTTTGACCCAGCTCCTAATGATTCACACATTACACACCATTACAAAATGTACTCTTACCTCTGTGCATATATATGTGTTCAACACCACCATAAATATGTTATAGAATAACATAATGTTTTTGATCTGGAATGGCTCTCTGTTGGCCATCAGCTTGGGTCCGACATAGACCATGATGAAGTACAGGGCTGTGATTATCATAGTTGGTACCATCGTGGGCATCATCAACCAGTTTGTGGTCCTGGGGTCTGCAAGAACAATACAGAACATTAGCTTTAAATCAAGCTTCTGATAACCCCCCTATCATATATTTGTACTTACCCTTGTGTAATTGAAAAGAAGTGGGGTATATAAGCATGGGGGAGGGGGGGGGGGGTCACAAGAACTTGGTGCCTGATTTGGTGACCAGGCATCGAAATCTGTCTGCATTGTTCGTTTGTATGACAAACTAACATTTCATTTCTTCTTAAGTTTTGCAAGTTGAAGACAATAAGATCAGATTTGTTAAAGGTTAGCCTTGTATTCATTAACTCTTACTCAATGTAGACAAACTAATGATGCATATAGGAACTTGAGTCTAGGGGGATTAGTTGGGATCAGTCTAACATTTTAAAACCCCATCTCCCTCTTCTGATTTCCAGTACAGGCAGAATCGTACCTTTGAGTCAGAGTCTCATGCATCAGGTGAAGCTCTCTTTTGAGTTGCCAAATTTAAACTATTGAAATGGGTAGCAGAATCACAAAATCATGTACTGACGGAATGCAACATGATCTATGGATGGTAGGGCCAATTTGAAGTACATGTATAAACACAATTACACCAAATGATATCAAGTACGTACCAATATACAGTTCAAAGGCAGGTCAATTTGTCAATACAAAGTGCATTTGGTTGGCAATCTGATACTCAATTTTTCATTTACAATATTATATTATACAGAATTCCCGATTCAAATCAAACACCAGTACAAGTCAATAATTTGTATGATATATGTGAATTGATTGATTCAACTGATTTGGCAAATCTTGAGTAACGTCATTGACTCATTGCTCATCCTATAGGCTATCTAGTTCTTAGGAAATAATCAAGGGTTGTCGGGAACTAGTGTGCAATCTACCTAATCAGCAATATGCCATTTTCTATATCACAGAATCTTGACCTTGAAGCAAGAAATACCTTTTTATCATAATCAATGGAATTATTATTTCGGAAAATATAAATAGTTTCTATATATAATGCTCTTATAGGTCTGTCACAAGTATCCAGGGGTTTCATTACCAGCAGGCAGTATACGATTCTCACTGGTTGTTTTCACAAAATTGCCAATTGTTTTTAAGGACTTTTCAACTTTTCCATGTTAAATTCATGATTTCCACTAATTTTGCCTGTTGTTTTCATTTATTTAGCCTGTTGTGAGAAATTCTAGTGAAATCCCTGAGTATCTATAATTAACTGCTTGTTCACTCTTCAGGCACATGAAGATAATGGAATGTTAATAGTGCACAATGTAGAATATTATTTATGAATCATAACTAGCAATAGCATATGTCTACAGGGTGGTAAATAATCTATACAGTTTATTAGATGATAACTTTTTATGAAGTTATTCCCACAAGAGCATATAACTATCTTATTGATACTGATATAATTTGGGATATAATAATGAGGACCTATGGCCAGAGTTATTATGTACGCAAATACATCTTTATTTATATAAAATTGAGACCTGCAAAAGCATACAAACTGACAACAGTAGTAGTATAGCTAAAAGAAGTCTGCAATAATTTTCATATGTAAAATACTGTATTGCATGTTCAATTTATATCAAATTCAGTTCTCATCTACATGTATTGTATTTCACATACCGTATTCATTTTTTTTTTAAGGTTAAGTTTTATTTCTTTGCATAATTTTATATAACAGCATTTAACATACTAGGAAGGCCGAGGTATAAATTACATTGTTGGCCTCCCTTTGAATAAAAGTAGCAAAATAAACATTGATATAAATGGTTTCAGACATGTATTGTAAATGTATTGTTTATAGGAGTCTCAGTGGCCTCTGTTGAGATGATGATAACAATAGTGATGATGATGGTGATGATATGTTGAGGCTAATGTTAAATGATTGAATCAACAAAATGTGCCGTAAGGTTCATAATATCAGCATTACATTTATCTGAGAACTTATGATTTCCAAAAAGTATGGTCTGAACTTTATCTACATTATTTAAACTGGCAAATTCTCTAAAGTTAAAATTTTGCAGCTCCTGTAGTTTTTGGGTAAAGATTGACCTTGTTCCAGTTGATAGAAGGCAGTAGAGTAATAAATGGGACTTGGTTTGCTGGGCATGTCCACAAGGGCAGCTTGGGTCTGGATAGTTGTTGAAGTTGTGCCTAAAAAAGTCAGATTTAAGTGCTAGGTCTGCTCTTAAACGGTTTAGTTTAATTTCAATAGGTCGATTTATATTCAATTTTGTTGTCAACACAGACCTAGGGTTTGGGTTATATTTGGTTTTAGTATATCTTGACTTGAAGGCTGATATTGAGGGGCTGCGTTTAACTTCAGGTGAAATCATTTTCCATATTCTTATTGGTGCAATGGCAGGAGAGTTTGTAAATTTCATTGAAGATTTTGCTGGAATATTATATTCGTGCTGGGCACGAAGTACACGCTCTGTACCTGGATTTTTAAGTTCATTGTATATAGATTGTACGTAACAAGGAGTCTTGTTTTTGGATACCTTGTACATTAGAATTGCCATTTTTTCTTCTCTTCTCTGTCTTAGTGTCTTCCAGTTAAGTGAATTCAAGACTTTGATTTCAGAGGAGCCCTTAATGGCCCCAGACACTAACAGGGCGGCTCTGTAGTGTAACCTATCCAAGGTAGTTAGGGCATAATGTGGTGAACAGTTATAAAAGATTGATCCAAATTCTAATTTTGGCAAAATGAACGATAAGTACATTCTTTCAAGGTGTTTGGATGAAATTTTATTTTTCAATGCTGTAAGTGGGTTAAGCATTTTATCAATTTTGACTTTCAACTGAGCTATATGTTCTTTGAAGTCAAGGTGGTTATCTAGGATAACCCCAAGATGTTTATGATAATTTACTCTTTCAATTACTCTGTTGCTCAAGGTCAAAATAGGAAAGTTTCTTACATTTTGAATAGATTTGGGAAAAATTATCTCTTTGGTTTTCGTGGGCTTAAAGTTAAGCCCCCAAACCCTTGACCAATCATGGACATTGTCTAGGTCATGTTGTAATAATGTATTTGATGTTAAAATATTTTCAAACTTATGAACAGGGACGTATATAGAAGTATCGTCAGCATAAATATAACATTTTGATTGGATGACCTCTGGGAGATCATTTATAAATAGCAAAAACAGGATTGGGCCTAGAATAGAGCCTTGAGGCACACCAGAGTTAATGAAATTTTCTTCTGAGAATTCGGATAAAGTTCCATTAAGGCGTGTGCATACTCTTCTATTGTCTAGGTAGGATTTCATAAGTTTCAGCAGGTTATCATTGAAGCCATAAGATTTTAACTTGTGGATAAGTAAATTATGTCTAACTTTATCAAACGCAGACTCCAGGTCCAAAAAGACTCCCCGTACATCTGCTTTGTCTTCAAATGCACTCATTATAAAATTAGTAATACTTAGTAGCTGGCTGTCAGTGCTGTGACCAGGCAGGAAACCAGATTGATTTTCATATAATAACTTATTATCTAAAAGGAACTTCATCATCTGTTGATGCACAACTTTTTCGAATAATTTGGATATATTACTAAGTAATGTGACAGGTCTGTAATTTGAAATTTCAGATTTATCACCTTTATTCTTATAGATTGGAATTATTATTCCATCTTTCCATGATCTTGGAAAAATGTTTTCAGTTAGGATTCTATTAAACAATAAGACTAATGGTTTGTCAATAGATAGAATGCTCATGGTGAGCATTTTATTTGTAATACCATCCAAACCCTCACTTTTTGATGTGTCAAGGTCAGCTATGAGGGTTCTTATTTCCGATGGTGTGATAAAATTACAAGTCAAAAGGTTGTTTGTTCTATTTGGAAAAAATGGTAATGCATTTGTGTCGCAGGTATTGTCAAAGTGAAATTTACCTACGAACAATTTCAAAAATTCATTTCGTTTTTCTTCATCTGTACTACATATGTTTGTCAAAGATGAATTTCTTAAAGTTGGAATTCCAGAAGAAAATTTATTTCCAAGTAATTTTTTAATAGCACTCCAATAAAAATGTTCCCCACTTGAATAAGTGTGAAGATTTTCACAAATTTCCTGTTCATGGTTAAGTTTAGCCTTGTTCATGGAGCGGTAGTCAAACTGTGCGCCTACCATGCACGCAGTTTGGAACACTGACAAACTGCGCGCCTATTCACAAAATGACAGACAGGGAGGACACGACTCCCAAGAGGATGGAAATTACTGGAAATACAAGGTTAGTTTTGGTTTTCAGACAGTACCAAGATGTGGAGACTAACTTACTTTATACGTAGCACTCGATTTTTTTCCCGATGCATGTCTAGTTATCTCAAAATAAGGTTCCCAAGGAACTTTCGTGTTCAAATTATACAGTGTTGCGTCATATAATGTCTGTTTTTCGTAGTTTGACGTTTATTCAGCCTTTGTGTTTGCATATACTGAAAGATATAGGATTGCTGCACATGGTTTAAGTAATATAGTTTTAGTGTTAAACAGTGACAAGCCATTAACGTGATTTTATTTTTTTCGCTGTCAAACTGCGTGCATACTTTCTCGTGGATTTCACAAACTGCGTGCCTAATATTTACAAACTGCGCGCCTATATTAACAAACTGCGCGCCTAATTTGCAAGCTGTGTGCAAGTTTGTTGTGTATTTTCAGAAAACGTAAACGCCACTCACTAAACCTGTCCCTATATAAAAATGAACCAAAGTCTGACCCTAACAAAGATGTAGATAACAACACCGCATCTTCAAAAACCATGACACCCCTTCAGAATTAAACAAGATGAAGAAAAGGAAACCAATCAAGAAACCAAAGAGGCGATTGTTTAAAGGTACCAGTGACTCATTTGAAAAAACATTAAAAGACTGTGAAAACCTCTTGCCCTATGTCCTCTCAAACCTTATAAGAAATAATACATTGTGTCAACCCTTCCTCAATTTCCTTATCCTCATCTCAACAAATTCAATCCCCCTTGATAATATAGCACTTCTCCTTTTTGATGTGGTCGAATATTATGTAGCGAAAATGAACACACGACAAATGATATATAGTCCAGAAACAATGAAATTTGGGAAGGTTTGCTGTAGACAATTCAATGGGAAGTTTCTACGATTCATGACAGGAGACAGGGAGTCCCACCACATACATTTTGCCGATCCGACTGAAAAAACTATCAGAAACTTTAATGGCCTTGATCTTATAATCCCCAGAGAACTCAAGCCAGGAATAATTAAAGAAGCGTTTCCAATGCTGGAGAATGATAAAAGGTATGTCATTAGCGTTGATGGGAAAAATACTGCATCAGGACTTACAAAAGAGGGTGGGGACATTGATTTGTTTGGTCACGAACCAAATGGCGACTCTTGCGAAAAAAAGGATTCAATACATATTTACACAATTCAATTTGTATTTATGTTGCACCATGCATCAAATAGTGTTAGTTTGAAATAAAGTAGTAAAATAGGAAAGTTCGGCACTTCAATGGAGACTAGGCGGGGGCCACCCGGGTGTCTTTTACTAGGACCCCAATAGAACAAAACCATTTTCATGAGATTTTTGAACTCAACTCTATATGATGAAGTCGAATCATTGCATCATACTTTTATAAAATCATATAGACAAGAACAAAATAAAATATAAATATGGACATTTCCACTGGTTGTCAACCATCAACACAATTTTAATTTTTGATTTATTTCAACCTTTTCAATCTCTACTTTTTCAACTTACTTACGTACTCCCATGAAACCACATAGGCCTGCATTACTGAGAAGTCATCAATAATATGCACGCAGTTTGGAAGAGTATGCACGCAGTTTGTGATTTCTGGCTAAAATAGGCGCGCAGTTTGTGTTTTATTACTTCTTTCTGTCATGTTCATCTCTTTTAATACGAAATATTTTGTATTGTACGGGAGAACTGGGTTGAGATTTACCTGTGAATCAAAACCCAAGTGTTTTCTATTTCTGTGAAACGTGCTATATCAACTTATGTATCGGTGATCGAAAAATCGATGTAAATTTTTTGTATTAATCTGCTTATATTTTTAAACCTACGTTCATCTGGACATACATTTCGCTATCACATGGTTGAATCATATAATCGCCACCGAATGGACGTGTGGAACTATAAAACAATTCAGAATAAATGTCTTAAAATGATGTTTGAAAACCCAGACTCCAACTTTTATGATGCAATGTTGATAGGCGCACAGTTTGTCAGTCTTTCAAACTGCGTGCATAGTAGGCAAGCAGTTTGGCTACCGCACCGTGTTGTTAATAAGATTATTTAACATTTCGACTTTATTTTTATATTTCAATTTCGAATCCAAAGTGTTGTTTCTTTTGAATTTCTTATAATATTTGTCACGGTTATTCACAGCCTTTTTAATTTCATCATTAAACCAAGGTAGATCTTTTGGTTTCCTCACCTTGATTTTGTGAGGTATGTTATGGTCAAAAATAGATAGTAGCTTGGAAGAAAAATTTAAAGTAGACTCATCAATTGTGCCATTATTTATAATATTGTTCCAATTTACAGAATTTATATCATTATTCAGGGCTTGCTGGTTGCAGTCTTTGTATTGCCATGTTTTAGTAGTAATTTTAGGTTGGTTTTTACTTGTAGTGAGCTGTAAATTACACACTACAGTACTATGGTCACTGCCCCCTATTGGGGCTAGGACTTCAGTACCAATCATGAGGCCTGGAGAATTTGAAAAAATTAGATCAATGCATGATTTACTATTTTCAGTTATTCTAGTTGGTTCATGAATAAATTGTTCAAACCCAAGATTTGTCATTGTCTCATATAATTTGGTTCCTGCTGTATTGTCAATATCATGATCATAAAAGAATTTACTCCTGGCATTAAAATCCCCATTAATTAGTATCATGTCATATTTCATTCTAATTAACAAACAGTGCGTGACCCAAATTCTCCTGGAGGAGATGTCTAAAATTGCAAAATCCCCTGGGATTTTTGAATGTTAGATGTATAGCAACAATAGGTTATTTCATGATTTTCAAACTGGACTCACTCTGACTAGATAACATTATATCATACCTCAATGTTTTCTTTTATGCATTTATTGACTGGGTGATTATGTATTTGTGGGTTAATCGACATACAGTATATGCGTCAATATCATGGAAATATTCACTCTAGTTCCTTCCTGAGAGGGCTACCATTTTGGAAGTTACGGTGATAGCTTCCTGTCACTGACTGGTCTTAATAGTTTGTGGGAAACGGTGGGGAAATATTTTTGGATTGGAAAATCTCATGATGCTCTATCGATAACCGTAAGTGAATTATTTAATATTAACCTTATTATCGCCCCGTTATTTTTTCGAATAAATTTTATTTTTCTTGATTTTTGTTACTCAAGTTGCCAGTCTTAGAAAAGTCGGGTGTGCATCTATTGGAGCGTGTGCATCTATTAGAGAGAATACGGTACTACCATTCAAGATGGAGAACTGACCGATTGACAATTTGATTCCCTCCCTTGATGCCTTTATGGTGTTTGCCAAACATTTCCTTTTTACCATTCTGGAAGATCTGTACCTCAAACAATCGATATTCATGAAAAATGGATTCTCTATCCCAGTTAACTTCTAATGGTTGCCAAAGTTCATAAATTCAGTATCTTGGGAATAACTAGCTAATTAAATCAAGGATTACGAAGTCTGATTTTGAGACAGATGCATCTATGGTTAACAGAGATTTATGAATGTTAGATCAGCTTTGGGGACAAGGTCAACACATCCATGTTGGCATACAAATGTAAGATGAAATTAAACCGATAAGGAGGGGGATCATTCAATCATTTGGACAACACACTGAAGTATTGAACTTATCACTTCACAATTTCAATGATACAATGCAAGGGCATCAACTTTAGCAATATAATATAGGAAAATCTAGGAACTAAAATATAATCCATAAAACTAAACTGCTAATAAAAACTCTCTTCCAAGAGGCGACAATGACACTTACAGCTTTAGCTCATTTGATTTTCTCTATTTTGGTAAATTTCTGTAATATCAATTATCAAAACGACCAAGATGGTGATTATATTTGCATTTGTATTTTTATGGATTGCCAGATATTCAGAGACTTACCATCGAAAGATACTTTTTCCATACTTGCATACAATAAAATAAAAGTCCTAAGAAATCAGCCTTTTTCATAGAACAATAATTGAAAATAGCTATTCTGCACTAACATGTTGACTTGACTTTTAGCTGCAAGGGTTAGTTTTTAGCTAAATCTAAATGATATTTTCAAATGATAAACAAATGTAGTGTGTTCACTAATGTGCCCTTGAAGTCACTTGAAGTGGTAAAATAGTGCAATTCTGAATCATTAATTTTTATCTTTATATCAAATCTAATCAATTTGATTGATCGACATTCGGTTTTCTCTTTTTGTTTCTTTACAATAGGTAATAACAAGGCATTAACATGCAAAATGTCCCCCCCGTCATTTGTTACAGATGCCGACCACAGAACACCAACTGCCAAATACAGACTGCCTTCCACAAAAAAGTTGGAGACTACAACAATATGTCACAACTAGAATATGTCACAACTTCTAGTGGTGACATAACAATAAAAATCTGAATTCTCAAATGCTCTTAATAGGTATATCAACATTCAGTACAAGAATCAGAAAAGTATTTGATTTTGTACCTGGTACTAAGTAGGTACCTATATATTAAAGGTGGACTAGTGCAAATAATTAGTACCTGTAATCAGATAATTAAATAAATAGTGATCACAGTGCAATATTTGAATATACTTGAACATAAATCATCATGGACATGTACTAATATATTAACATAGTACTATTCTAGCACATTCAAAATATCACTTACATCACAAACAAAATATCACAAAAAAGCCTAATGGGAATCAGATCAGAAATCAAAATATCTACCAGAATTCAAGATGACCTCCAAAAAGTCTTTCTGGGGGGTCATTCCGGATTGCTTTAGATTCAACATTTTTACCTCATACTTAATCAAGCCTAAACTCAATAATTAAAGTTAGACATTGTTTTAATATCAGGTGGACTTGGATATCTATTTTGTGATGTTTCAGTATATGTAATCCATGGGCTCTACATATAACTTACCATCATATTTCCAAACAGCATCATACTTTTCTATAAGAGTTTCCATTTTGCTGGTGTATCAGTGAGATCAAATATGTTCTTCAGTTACGTGAGAGATGATTGACAGCCTGGAACAGAAGTAACAATGATATTTAATACCAATTAACGCTTGCATTCCATGAACACCTCTTTATAGTCATGAGTTCAACCTCTAGTGAAATCCACTTAGGTCTATCACTACAAACAAGGTGATAACATACATAATGTTGACAGAAGTTAGTGAAAGGACAGGCAAGTGTATGTGATTTCATTCAGTGTGGTGAAATCTTATTTTATGCTCCAAAAAGACTTTGACAATATTGATATTCCTGTATTCTCTTTTATTGAAATCCTACATGCAATGTATTAAGGTGTTCCCTGCTTCACCTAAATGACTAAACACAAGGAGCACACGCGTCTCGAACTCGCTACCTCGTGGTTACGGCGCCCAATTGCCTAGCCTGAACGAGCTAGCGCTCACTGTATTTTATCATTTGAATTTACTGATCATTAATACAAACCTGTTAACCATAAATTATTAATGATTCCAAATGCTGTTATCTTAGTTAATACATCAATCATAATTTTCCTCGTATACCTGATGCAAGCAGAGATGTATGAGACTAACAACAAAATTCCATCGAATATATCCCACTGCAAAATCCCGCAGAACTAAACATATATTCTCAAATTATGCATCATTTTGATCTTTATATATGATAGAAATTACCAGGCAGAAGTTATGCTACCTGTAATTAAGAAAATCGATTCATTTAAAGCTAAGAAAGTATTAAGAGGTATAGGCAGTTAAGAAGATGTCTGAACAATTTACTTTTGTTACATACTGGAAATGACAATTTATGAAGCATAATAGAGACTTAATTAATCTCGCAAATCTTGGGAATAGGCGTAATGTCATGTTATACTGTGCCTAGAAGTAATAATTACTGCATATAGTCGATAATGTATATTTCTGCTCAAGGACAGTTGAGTCATCTCATGCATGTGATAGTTTGTATTGTTAGTACCTCAGTTGAAATACTCGATTTTGATTGGTCAACGAGCGGTGAATAATTTTAACTGTACACCGCGCAATGCATTGCCGGTGAATAATATTCCCAGCATTCCACTAAAATGACGTCATTATCAGACGATAAAATGGCCGCCGCTAGCACTAGCCGTTTCAAAAATGTTGAAGATGAGGATATTATTAGTCTCTAAGAGAGTAAAGACAGTCAAAATACGAAGAAAAATCTAAAACTTTGTACAAAGCTATTAGTGGACTTCGCCCAGGAGAGTAATTTGACTCCATTGATCAACTTCAAGGGTCAGAAAAATCTAAGATATTCTTCGGACTAACAAAACAATTATAGACCTCTCCATTCGGTTTACTGTCAAAATTATATCCCTCGACTGTAAACCTCGACCTACGGTCTCGGTTTACAGTCTCGGGATATAATTTTGACAGTAAACCTCTGGAGAGGTCAATAATTGTATATGATATCACACAGTTGGTATTGTTAAAACAGATGATATTTGACAGTTTAGAATGTGATATTGCACTTTATTATTTCCATGCCGTGATACTCGTTCTCATTGGTCTCATTTTTAGTGAATAGCACTATTTATTCAATTAAAATGACATCACATCACTCAATTCCTGGGAATTTAGTAAAAAGTATTTTCATCCAATATGACAGACGGTGAAGTTGTATCAGGAAGTCCTCCCAAGAAAAAGTTCAATACTGTATAACAACGCAGAATAAAGATCTGCTCCGTCACGTGACAAAATATTGAAAATGTCTAAATAAATATTGCATCGTTGATTGGCCGATTGGTTTTGTGGCGTCTTACAAAACTCGACTGCGGCAACTGCCAGGAGAGGCAATATTGAGAGTGAACTCAGCTGGGGTTTATTTGTACAGTGGTCGGTTATATCGGGCAGATTTATCAATGTGAGGTAGGAACAATCGAAACCTTGTAAATCAAGATGGGGAATAATAGGTGACGCTGATTGTGAACTCAACAGTAAGCCACATGCTATCTATTGCAAGACTTATGCTTGGCACAATGGTCACCATGTTATTAAGTGTTTTTAAGTTTCGCAAGGATCCTGCCATGACCATGGTAGTGTTATCGTGATAGCCTGATATAACCATGATAATACTATATTATATTGCAAGGCCTGTCATGACCGTGGTAATGTTAAAGCCTGATATGACCGTGACAATGCTATATTATATTGCAAGTCCTGTCATGACCGTGGTAATGGTAAAGCCTTAAATGACTGTAGCAATGGTTGTAAGGCCTGACATGACCGTGGTAATGTTAAACCCTGATATGACCATGACAATGTTCACGTTCTTGAATTAGTTTGTGGAAATGAATTATGAGTTAAAGTAGAAGTACATGTAGTAGTAGTCTAGATTTACATATTTAAGGTAGATAAACGATGACATTTTTTATTACAGTATTCTCATGCTACTAAATGTCAATTAATATAACCATTCGATTGTCATCATCATATTGTGCATTAACATTACCACAGTCATGACAGGCCTTGCAACCATTGTCAAGGTCGTATCAGGCTTTAAAGCAGCAGTATGGACTGCCGAGTCGTGTCCAATGATCCTGGGCCTATCGTAAAATGAAAGCTTTGAATATGCTATAGCCTTTAAAAACGTATCTATTTTCCATGTATGCAACTAGAATTTGTGCACATACCTTATATCGATCGATAATGGCAAAAGAAAATCCTCTAATTCTTCGTCTTCTTCTTTGTCTCAGCCATTTTTTATTAAACCAGAAGTTTGTTCTCTAACGTTCGCACAATGTTTTTTTTCACTTTTATTTCAGATTACGCTTTGGATTCAACTTTTAATGCTTTCGAATAATCGTCAAGTGATTTCTATAAGAAACGTTGTCATAAAAAGACTCACACTATCTGAGATTTTATCGACTCGAGCAGCCACAAAAATTAGTTTCAATTTCACCCGCTAGGTGTTTCGACATCGACTTGGAAAGAATTTAAAAAATCTATAAGTGGGACTCCTTGTATAGAATTATAAATTCTAAACGATTTATCAGTTCTACTGGTTGATGAATATTGCCATATGCATACATTTTAGGAAAATAAGAATAAGGAAGAAGATGTTAGACCAAACTTCGCCCCGATAGCTAAGAAAAGGTTCTCTCCACAGTCCTTATAGGTCCACAGTCCACGGTCATGACATGCCTTGCAACCATTGTCATGGTCATATCAGGCTTTAACATTACCACGGTCATGACAGACCTTGCAGCCATTGTCATGGTCATATCAGGCTTTAACATTACCATGGTCATGACAGGCCATGATATATAATGTAGCATTGTCACGGTTATATGAGGCTATCACGATAACACTACCACGGTCATGGCAGGATCCTTGCGAAACTTAAAAACACTTAATAACATGGTGACGGTTGTGCCAGGCGTTTATGGTTATTTTCATTTTTGATAGCAATATTTGCATTCAACCGTCAAATTCCTCCATTCAGTTCACGGCATGCACCAGTCATAAGGGAAATCCCTGGGGAATTCCCCTTCCAACATTTTGAAAATTGCTGACATATTTTCGATGTAAAAACTAAAATCTCTTCGTTCTGCCGATAAACCCATACAATTGGAGACCTAACAACATAAAAAAGAATTCTAAAATACTCTGGAATGTATCGAGGTAGGTCATTTAAAAGTGCAATCCCGGGGGGTTCACTGTATATAAAACTTGACGGGGGTCCTAGGCTGAAGCCTCAAATATCAATATGTTCCCATACCAATCTGTCAAATTTCAATATGTTCCCATACCAACCAAAATAACGCCCAAAGGCCATACCAAATGTCCAAATATAGGACCAATGCCATACCAAATGTCCAAAAATGTCCAAATATAGGACCAATGCCATACCAAATGCCCAATTATGGGACCAATGCCATACCAAATGTCAAAATGTAGGACCAATGCCATACCAAATGTCCAAATATGGGACCAAGGGCTAAAATTCAAAAGTTGAAGGCCCTGGAAAAGAAGATACTTCGGGAAACGATCCAAAACAACTTCAAATTTGCAACTACTGGACCAATGCCATACCACGAATGTTAGGTAACCTATCTACAACGACCATTCTCATACCAGAAGAGCAAAAGTCCGACCATTGCCATACCTCAGAAGTCAGAAATTTCCGGGCATTCCCATACCAAATCCTAAAATATGGGTCCATTGCCATACCAAACGTTGAAAAAGGTACCCCACATGCGCCGAGGATCTCCGTCAAGGTTTGTATATAGTGAACCCCCCGGGAGTGCAATGCGTAGTTCATTCTCCGACATTGTAGAAAGACAGGCTTACCAATGATACGGGCGTACGACCACAATCTAAAGGGGTCGTAGGATGCGATTTACTCGAGTCTCTAGCTTACAGCTAGACGAAACTACATTGATTTCGTATGTACTGTGCTACACGCACCTACACGCACCTAGAACTCATTTTTAATAAATTTTATAAACATTTTTAAGAATATTAATCATATTTAGGATGAAGCATTGCTTGTCTGGATTTAGATATTTCAAAATTTCATTTCGGAGTTCGACACATGGTGAAATTTTCTCGCTGTAGCTAAAAATGGCTTCCGGTTCTGGACGTGAATAACATTTGAAATTATTCTTGCTTAAAGAAATCAAATATAACAATAGATTCAGACGGGGATGTGAGCTGATGTTCTTCAAATCTATACATAAAGGTATATTTCATATTATTATGCCATATTTACTGTGCGTGTGACACAATTATTTACAATATTTATAATACTAAGGCAGCTCAATCTTCCTCCTCAAAGCCGGAATATAGAGAAGGCTTTGGACTGAAGTAAGATGCGATAACCAGGCGTTAGTCTTGCAACAGATAGGGTCTCCAGTAACTTAAGATTTTTCAAATTTGTTTGTAGAAAATACAGATTACTACATCCCAGTCAAAGCAAGCATAGATCACATACCTGACCATCTGTTGAATATCTTACAGACTAACCAGGGAAGGTTAGACTCAATCATGGAAAGATGCTAGGCCAAGCCGGCTACAGAAACAAATTGAAAAAATCGTGATAAAAAAATTGTAGGCCTATTTCCTTCTTATTGCAGCCATAAACTACTTCTAAATTACGACCAAATGTTAGACAAAACTTCAAAAATTACTTACCAGTACGATTCGTTGCAATCTCTTCGAGATTACCTTCATAAAATCAGGAAAATAACGTCTAGAATTTTATAACTAAAATGTCACTTAGACATGAGCGTGCTCACCACACCTACGACCTTTGGCCCAGTTACGCTAATTGACCTTTATTATAATTGGCGCGGTAAATTCAAAAGTTTTAAACTTTTGTTTTTAGTATAGACTGTCGCATTGAAGCAGAGGGTGACTATGTATTCATTTGGAGCAATATGACGTGTATTGTGTAATCAAAAAGTATAGTACATAGTCGAATAGTAAGACAATAAGTTACTGCTGTAAAATCAACACAATATTGTATTTCAAGTTGTTTACCATAGGCGAAGGTCGATAAAAAGATAATAGTGGATTCTGTTGGTGCTGCCATCTTTATATCGGCCGATATGCTACCACTGTATATGGGCGGTCGTAGTAAAATCTAGTAGGATAGCTAGTTTACCATGGTCAGATAAATAGTTCTTTGGTAACTTATATATAGCTAATCAAATTTTTAATGTAGTGCACAGCAACAAGCCTGCACAACAAGTAAACATGGGTGATGTCAAAACAGCAGCCTGGCAGTCGTCTCCAGTGCGTCTCAACATAAGGGAGTTCCCAGGGGGGTACATGGGCCAACCAGGAAGTTTCCTTACAATTTTAAAATGAGATGAAACCAAACCGTAGATTTAATTTTTAAATGCTATCGCCCTCAGTCAATATATTTCTTCAGCCAATATCATGTTTTCCCTCGGAATAAAATTCATATTCCATCCCTTCCATCTGAGACTAACATAAAATTTATGTTAGTCTCCGCTTCCATTAAATAACCTCTATTATTCATATGTCAGGATGATAGAGAACATTCCTCATTATTGATATCATACTTTGGATATTCCCAATAGCAAATCCCTCACAGTGAATAACTTCTTTTTGAGCTAATTTGACATCTCGGATATAGAGGTTATGGAGAGAAGGAATATGGATTTTATCCTCAGTACAATATGACATTGAGATAAGGATCCTGTATATCAAATTGACACTCTGGCTAAAGCCCTCGGTCAATATCATTATTATTGTCCCCAGAAGTAAAATCCATATTCTCTTGGCATCCAATAACCCATTTTTTCTATGAATAAATGGGACTTTGGTTAATAGGAGATTGGATACAAGACTAGAACAAATACAGGATTGAATAAAGAATTTTCAAATATTGCAGAATGTGGTATTCATGAATCATTTTTTAAAATTAAGATTCAAAAAATAGTAACATTTTGTATTTGTTTATTCTTTATCATGATGTAAAAATGGTACCTCTAGGTCTGATTGTATATAAATTTAATTCCACCAATTAAAGGCAAATACCATGGTTTCTGTTTGTTGAATGGACTCATTGTGAACTATAGTTGGAGGGCTGCCACAAATTAAGCAAACTGTGCTATTAATTAATGTGGTGGGGAATATGGTAAAATTGCTTGCTTAAAAATGGAATTGGGTAAACTTGAAAGTGACTTTTGGACAATATGATAGATTTCTGTGCCTGGAAGATATATTAAATAACATATCCGCCTATGTGGGATAAATATAAAGGGGATAGCCAGGGAGAGATATCATTCTTAGTATAGGGATGGATTGTATATTAGGTCTACCCAGATATGATCTTAATGTATTAGGTTTATCCAGAGGGATGATTTGCTTGTTATAACCTGTATTAACCCTTAAACTGTTAGGAGGGCTGATTTGATAACTTTTTTCGTAGTTTGTCTTTTGATCTGAAACTTTCTGGGTTTTCTTAAAATTGTATAAGGCATGTTTTAGCGAAAAAATTATGACTCTAATCCCTCCTAGAAAGTTAGAGCTGGTCAAAGCTACTGAAATACCCAAATTGTCAGTAATTTTGACTTGAAACGATGAACCTCTATGTTCTTAGAATATGAATTTTTTCATCAATAATGCCTCAATATAGTATAAATAAGCTCAAAATACTGGGAATTGAATAGCCCCAACCGTTGATGTAATGTTCTACAGCCTAACCATTTAAAGGTTAAAGGATTTAGCCAAGGAATCAATAAGTATCTTTTCAAACATAAGGTTAACCTTTTCATGAAAAGGTGTGTCCAATTCCGGCCACTCAGAACACACTATTTCATGTAACTGCATTCCATTATATAACCAATAGCACATTTGTTGTATGGTTGTCCAAGGTGATACCTTGGACTCTCAGATTGAAATTGATGCTTTGCAAATTTGACTCCTGCAACAGGTTTCATTGAATATATGTTCTTTTAGTGATTTTGTATCTGTTAAGTGACATGGTAGGAAATATTTTGCAATGTGTGAAAATAATTTAAACCCTGGACTCAGTGCATTGTGTAATGACCATTTCTTTCAGGCATTGTTTCCTAAAATCAACACTCGATGCTCCTCATCTCGTGCAAATTTTGGAAGGCAACACCTTGAAGGAATAGTCATTCCACATTGCCCTGTTAAATCCTTTAGTATCAAAACTTTGACTGAGGGTAGTAGCCCAAATTCAAAGGTTAAGATACAAGGTATGTTTGCAACAAATTACACAGAATTTGTTGAGTCATGTATTTAAATTCTTTTCCCACATTGGAAAAGATTTTGTACAGTATCACTAATAAGAATAAAATTCAACCAGAAACTTTTTGCAAGGGATTTGCAAGTTTGAACTTTTGACCTGCACAAGCAGCAACCTTGCTTTTCATTATGATACTATTAAATTTTCAGCTCAACTGCAAACTTGAAATCGGTGAAGAAGGTAATTATTTTTACAGTATCCTTACTCCTACTACTATATTGAATTCTGGGTTAACTTTTTTAGTATACATTTAAGTATTTTTTATCAAAGCTGTCATTCCCCTTATTCTGTACCATATTTTATTGTGGGCATTATATTATCTATTAATCCCATGAATTCAATTTATAAACATATATTTTTTCAAGAATTACAATTCCATGGAACTGTCACAAAAATATGGACTCAAAATTCCAAATTAATTTTGAGAAGCATCAATGTTAATTTGGGATTCAGGCTCATGTTTTCCTGACAGTTTTGTGGAATTGCTATTCAGAATACCCTAATTGAAAATCTGGTGAGATAACATGAAATTTAAGTTTTATATGGTATCGGATTGAATAGAGGCCTCTACACTAACGACCATTTTAATCCCAATGTCTTTTATATGAGGGCCTACCATAAAAAATGTTTACTTAAAGAATTGACATGTAAAAATCTTATTAATCATTTTTGTATTTCTAAGAATTTAAAACATTAATGTGCTTAATATATGTCTCAAATTTCCTCCAATTTCTCCTGTGTGTTGTATTGCTGTCGAGTAGTCAACCATGGAAATTAATTAAATTACAGCTTACCGCTGTTAATTATTAATTTATTTTCCTACTAAATATACAATCATTCCACAGATCTGTCAGTTGCACAGTGAAAGTTTCTGCCTATCTAGTTACTAAATCCAAAATGACACTATCATTTCAGATAATCTGTAATTACAGGTGGCATAACGAGGTATTTTTTAGTCAGGTAAAAGTCCTTTTATAAACAATCTATTCAAAGGCAACGTAATGTAAAAACTATAATTAATTTAGTCAACTAGTCAAATAAAGATTTAATCAAGCAAAATTAAAAGCTTTATTTGGACTGTTAATTTTGACAATCGTTTTGTTTGTGTTTTGAGATCAAATAAACATTTAAATAAGCAGTGAAATATAACCTGTTAATATATCTACAAAAGAATTCGCTTTCCCTATCGCTGATAAACCATCACGTTTATCCAAAACCTCAAAATACCTTTGTTTACCGATATATTTTACATTGAATCGAATTTCAAATTGAGACTTTATCAACAGGTGTAAGAGAGTGAAAGTTGCAGGTGAACACCTCAAATTATTTTTTTGACAACTGCAATTAAAACCTATTATTCTAAAAACAATGTGAAATGACATCATCACATTATAACTGACTTAACAAAGTATTAGTTTCACATATCTGATCAAAAATGGATATAAATAAGTAGACATCAAAACGGTTGTTTCTGGTCAAAACTTTAACTGTAAATTGAAGCTTCAAAAAAGAAGAATAATCATATGTAGATGTATTGGCGGATTGTTTCCAGATTCAAGACAGGTTGGTAAATTTATTTTCATTAATTTAATTAATTCTCTTTATCAATTAAAATATTTTTAGAATATTCAAGTGTTTGTACCTCAAATAATGTGACAAAACGCATAAGCATGTTCTTAATTAATTGATTTTATAAAATTCAAAAACTTACATCAATGGAGATACATTTTTATAAATAAAACTTGTTAAAAAATGTTAATGTCTAAAAATCTATTTTAATTCTTATTATTTTCTAAATGATTTAAAACTTAGTTATCAAACATGATTAGATCCCAAGATTGGATGACTTCTGTTAATTCTGTTGTTTACTCAATTGCATAATTGAAGAATGTTTTAAGTTTCATTTCACTATTTCAAAGTAGTAGAAAAGAAAAGAGATTGTAAAATGTTGGAAGAAACATTTTGAAAAGGCATTCTCATGTTTCCATTACAATTTAATTTCATTATTTGAAAAATGGATTGAGATATTTGATCAAATATGAAAGATATTGGAGATTTAAGATGAAATGTCCAAATTCACTAAAATTGAAAAGGGGCAGGTTAGTTTATATATTTGCCAGTAGAGTCTCAAGAGATTATTATGAAATAAAGTCATAAAAGGTAGAAATTAAATAGACATGACATAGAATATTGCAAGAAAAAATATTGTGAACAAGGTGACAGTTAAAAAAATGTTACTCCAATGAATCAAGTATTTGAAACTTTAAACTGAGGTATGGATCATTCATTATTGAACTATATAAAGCTAAAAATATTCTTTTTAATTAATTTAAGATTAACATGGAGTCCGAGGGGAAACAACAGGGTGAATACCAGTGTTCAGTATGTGACGCAGAATTCTACTATATGTCACACCTATTACGTCACACTCGCCGTCACACTGGTGAACAACCATTTGGATGCATGACATGTGGCAGGCGCTTCTCCCAGGTGGCCAGTCTAAGACGTCACTGGAAAGTCCATACTGGGGAGCGTCCTCACCAATGCCCATATTGCCTCAAAACATTCTCTGAACTCTCAAATATGAAACGTCATCAAAAACTACACAAAGAGTACCCAGTAGAAGGCAGTCTTTCTGAAACTGAGGGGGTAAGGCTGTACCAGAATGGACCAGTTAATTTAAACTCTACCCCCTGGGTAAAACGTACAAAATACAGACGGTTCCAGTACACTATGCTCCCTGTGGGTAAAAGATTTTATCCTGACATTATGGCTCAACATCACAGCTATATAACATACAGAACTCCTAACCATGAACCAAATCAACCCAACATGAACCTTTACCCAGGCTGGGAAAGACCAAAATGGGCAGAAAGGATTCCTCGATTACAAATGCCAACTGACAGCCAACTTATTAGTAAACATTGGAACATCTCAGACATTCATAGGTTTAATCAAGGTGATATAAGCATGTTAGAAAATAGACAATCTCATGAGACTACATGGTGCTCAAAATTATCATATTGTCAATGTTTTACGTGCAAAATCAAGCGAAAGATGATACATGATAATACCCTTGAAGGAGGTCCATCTAAAATTGTCCCATATGTTGCAAAACATACAGTCCCAAGGCCGTTATCCATTTACAATGGTCCTGTTCAGGGGAATATACAATTCAATAAAATTATAACCTCAAATAAATCATTGATATATAATGAGCAAACTGAACCGCTTGACCTCTCTATGAAATGTACAGCAATTTGAAAATCAATATTAATAAATAAAATCTTTAAAATAATTATAATTAAATTGTTTATTGTTTATTTTCAAAAAAATATTGTCGCATTCCTAAAGGGAGAATCAGATCCATAGGGAGTGACAAAATTGCAAGCAACATGTACAGCTGACCTACCAACATATTCCTTACATATTCCTTACTATCTCCCAAAAGACCAACAATATGTTATAAAATGGTGAAGTTATTAAGGATTCAAAGACTGGGTGAAGTTTTCCTCAATACAGCATACACTTTGGGCATTTAAAAATGAGCACAAAATAGGCTATTGTAAAATTTGTCAAGAGTTGTCATTAGGATCTGATTCTAACTTTAAACTTTATGTTATTATTTCAAGCTGAGTTTCGCCATTTTGTTGTACGTCATCAACCTTGTTACAATTACAAAACTGTAACAATTTATTACTCACAGATGCCAAATGACTGTCACAAAAATGGTGGGTAAAGCAATGGGAAATACATGATGTTTAAAGATCCTATTCATTAGCAAGTGTAATAGTCACTCCATCTATACTCAAATATTTTCCCCGAGTTGTACAAACTGCTTGTCTAAAATATTATCATGTTTATTCCAAGAAACGAAAAAAAGATTTATTATAATTCAATTTTAATCAATAAATTTATTTAAAATACAAACTCCAAACACTTTTTTTTATAAAATTACATATGATCTTTTAATTTTAAGAGCCAATACTTTCAACCATATTTTTACAGCTTTTAATTTACAATTACAACCTTTAAATAAATATGTTTAGATACAACACTATGTATAGAAGTTAAATTCTGCTAATTATAAAATACATGTACGAATACATGTGATATGGACAGTGTTTATATAACAATATACACCACAAAAAGAAATTTATCACTTTGTTTGATAGCCTAGATCAATACCACTATTAATTTGAAAAATTTACTCTATAGTGTTCAATTACATTTTTGGAGGGAATATACTGACCTGGTCCCAGTAAACTTTCAGAATTAAATCTCAAATACTTTAGTTCATAAATCACCTCATATTCCCTCATTGCACACTCTATACCAAATAAAGACATTATTAGGAAGACATTTACTACTTGAAATTCATCTCTTAAAGGTGCAAACCCATTCAATAAATATAGAATATATTTATGAATATATATGCATCTCTACATGAAATATCAGATTTCTGGATCGATTCATGAAGCACCATGTTTGTCTATTGTCAGCATCGAGAAATTATAATATATTTATAGAGGGGTGACATAACATCAGAGAGGGGTGACATAACAGCACGCAACATTTGCAATTTTTAAACGAGGTATGTCCTTTTTTACTCTGATTCAACCTTTTTATCTTTTATTTTGAACACACATATGTAAAATATAAAATTCCAAGCTAATTCGCTGACATTTGGAATGTAACTATACACTACATTTTAAATTATATACACTTACATTGTATACTGTATTGAATGTTACTCCAAGTATTGTAATGGTTAAAGTTGCACTCTGATGTCATTATATATTTGTGTATGTATATGAGTGATTTCTTGGAAGATAACTGGTTAAAATGTATACTTCCATACTAATGATATCATTGAGAACCAAGAAACCGGTGAATACAGTCCAAAGTGAAATCAGGAAAAATAGTAGCCATTTTTACATTTGTCACCTGGCCAATTTGTAGAACTCTCTTTGACAATTAAGAGTGGATTACATTTGTATTTGAACTTATTAAATGTTTAACTTTTATAGATTACGAATATATGTTGGAGGACCACATTAAAACATAAATGCACGCAGCATGCCAAACCACAAAATTAATTAATTTCAAATTCACCCCCCCCTCGTGTATTTCTAAGGTGGCTTGATCACATTTCAGAAAATAAACTAACGATGTAATAATAACCAGTAAAATGAAACTCCTCCCACTTTCAAACCAAAATTTACATTGTGGTTAGGGTCACATTTTTGATGTGATCTCTGAGTCTATTACATCTGTATAACTGCTGAACACTTTAATATAATTGATGACCATTTTATAAAATTGGTGAACATTTGAACCTCTTTCATACTGGAACGTTCTTATTTTTTTGTCAGTGTTTACTACTGTATAACTTACTTACTTACTTAATTTGATGCTATTTTTGGTGAATTTGTTGCTCTTAAGGGTGTAGCCCATCTATGTCTATGATGTGCTTGCACAATAATATAAACATACTGTTGGTAAAAATTAAATAGCTTAGTAATGTATAGTTTATCCTACACTTTAATGTAATATATTTACAATAACCAAATACTGATACAATAAGCCAATAATATATTTCATGAGAAATAATTAAAAGAGAGTCACCAAATCTTTTAAACTGTTATATTACAACTTTCTCGCTTTGCATGTATTAATAGTTAATGCACCAACATGAGCGTATGATAATAATAAATACTATCTCAATCTGTCTGAACCACATGTTCTTAGTGACTTATTTATTTATTTTGGAAAATATATATGATTCAAATATGACAAATATATACAATCACAGCTTACAAAGAATCTTCATTTGAAATATATATTACATTTACTTCATAAATATAAACAACACTAGTACAAGTACATCCTCATTCATTTTAGCCTATACTGTTTTCATTACAAACAAATAAATTATAATTTATACTATGGTATATTTCCACATAAATCCCCAAACAAATTAATGGTTTCATCAAATTCTTTCAAAATCATGCAGTTTCACGATTCTGAGCATTTTCATTTGAATTTGGGCCAAAGTAAAAGTGAACCCCCTGGAATTTTTCAGAAAATTGAACCCCCCTTGGCAAAAGCTGGCTACGAGCCTGTAAGACCAAGTTGATAAAAAGTTGATGTAAAAACTTGAAAAATTACAATTAAATTAACAGAATGGTTTCATCGTAGGCTATTACATAACTGTCATGGTTTTGATAGAAAATATATTCATTGCATTATATTGTTGTCTAGCATACCAAGATAATAACACATAAAATACCATGACCAATTTGGCATCTCAGATCTAGATTTTTCTGCAAATATTTAAAAAAGTTAACACATTCATTCTTTGAAAATAACACTAAAATAAATTACTAAAATCAAAATCGTCCATTTAAAAACATTTTAATTGAGCTCTTACATTTTTACCAATGCAATTTCCTAATCTCCGGAATTTATTGTATATTTATCATGAATTCAAAACTGACAAAAATCGGGAGATGTAATAATAACAAAGTAAAATTTACAATTCAATGAGGCTGAGTCACGGGGTACCATCGAATAATTTTGGCAACGTACCGGAGAACGACATTTTACTAAGAAATGGCAATAATTTAGCACAATATATTTTTCAACTAGAGTTCTACTTTGATTTTGACAAAAGTAAGTATTCCATGCAATGGCTATTTCATTCATGAGTTTGTAGGAATTCTGTTGGAACCCAGTTCTGATCAAGTACGAAGTTATTGAAATCGGCGCAGTCGGACTTTACTCCGAAAGATGGTTTTTCGATTATAACTTTTTACAGCATTTAAGTATAGACTTTTGAAAAAAGTACAGAATAGTCCTTATACTATTGAATAATTCTGTTATTTCTGATTCACACGACTCTGATTTGTTTAATTAAAAAAAAAGTTTTAAAAATATTACTTAGGAACGTAACCGGAGCTGGGAACGTAACCGGAGCAGATTACTTGAATTATATAATTTAAAAAAATAAAATATATGATTTAAAGCATATATATTAATAAATACGCATTCGAACAATCCCGTTCGTAAATTAGTATATGTGCTTTAAATCATATATTTTAATTTTTTTGATTAAATAATTCAACTGATCTGCTCCGGTTACGTTCCCAGCTCCGGTTACGTTCCTAAGTAATATTTTTAAAACTTTTTTTTAATTAAACAAATCAGAGTCGTGTGAATCAGAAATAACAGAATTATTCAAAAGTATAAGGACTATTCTGTACTTTTTTCAAAAGTCTATACTTAAATGTTGTGAAAAGTTATAATCGAAAAACCATCTTTCGAAGTAAAGTCCGTCTGCGCCGATTTCAATAACTTCGTACTTGATCAGAACTGGGTTCCAACAGAATTCCTACAAACTCATGAATGAAATAGTTATTGCAAGGAATACTTACTTTTGTCAAAATCAAAATAGAACTCTAGTTAAAAAATATGTTGTGCTAAATTATTGCCATTTCTTAGTAAAATGTCGTTCTCCGGTACGTTGCCAAAATTATTCGATGGTACCCCGTGTGAGTAATAAATCCAGTATAATGAGTATAACTGTTCCATGGTCCCATTCTGTCAGGCTTCTTTCACAACCATTTATTTCGTACAAAGGATATATATTGGTCTGTTGAGCTGAATAAGGGAAATGGTCAATACATCAAATTCAATGTATGCCAAGTGAGTAATAAATACAATAAGGCATTAACATGGAAAATGTCACCACCTGCCATTTGGTACAGATGCCAAAGGCTGAACACCAAAAGCTGAACCTAGTAATCCTGAGAGTGCACATAATCACTTTGTTTTGCTAGTTTCCATGAATTTTTAAAACAATTTGTAATTTGATTAAACTCAATAAATTATCAATACAATGATTTGGAGGGAAGGGTACCAAATGTCAATCTGAAATGAACATTGAAATATTGACCTAGTCTCTTACATGTTGTATATTTTGGTTATGTCAATGGGATAGACGGTCTAGATCATCAGGCTTCGTGGTCCGACTTGGAATAGTCACTTTATCAAGATAAAACAAGGACACATATACCACTGACACGTGACAAACCTATGGATAAACACATACCTTTTCTGTCAATATTGGTAAAATAACATCTTTGGTTTCTAAACTGACAGTAAACTTGGTAATATCATTTTGAAATTGATATTGGCTTAATAACTGCATGACTATTTCAATGCAATGTTGTTTGTGCACTATATGAATAATATTACACTATTCAGTAAAACAATCTATGGAGTGAACCTTGAAAATAAAAATCCCATGTGTTGATTTGTGTGTTCTAAGGACTGGCTGCTCCCTGTTTTTAAATATACATGCTGACTGTGTTTTAGTTATATGTTTTACTCTGTCTTGGATTGTCTGAAAATATAAGCAATGGATTAGAATATGCATACATATATATCTTTCCATGCATTCATCAAATTGGAATACTTGAATAATACAGAAAAGTCACAAATTATAATCTGTGTTAATAATTAATATAATATTTGCAAATGGTGAGAAAATTGTAACAATTGTTACAGAATGAATGTCACTTCCAAAGAAATGCTGGCTATAACAATGTCACCACCAACAGATCACAACTTTTTGGTGGTGAACATTTAACTTACTTGTCTGTATTGTGATTTTGCTCACCATTCTGCCTGGACTTTACTGGAGGGAAGATGACTTTTAGAGGCACTTTCCATATGGGGACAGTTAAGTAGATGATAAAAGGCAACCAGTAAGTACCATTGTATACCTGCAATACAACAAAATCTACCATTTCAAACCTGCAATATATGCAAATATGTCATTGTACACTGGCAAAACATGCAAATTACAATGGTATTTGACTAGCATTAGCCATATAAAATGAATATCAGTTAGATCACAAGTTCTGCATCAAGCATTCTTGTATCCCCTTATTCATTTCATTACCCTATTGCATTCGTTCAACTTCGCTTCTTAAAAGAGAGCTTCATCGAGTTATAACTCTGCATGCAGGGTAACATTTCATAAACAGTGTACAACATTCCACACAACATCAGGTTAGAGTAGGTACAAATGGGCGGGGTCAGAGACATCTATGATATTGCATCACTTACTGTTAACCATTTGTCAAAGTCTAGTAATGCAAAGCCAATAAGAGCATATCCTAGACCAATGAGAATGCAGCACCGCTTGATGAACCATATTATGGGATATGTGAGCTTGCTTGTGTGTATAGCGTGTAGAGTGGGATTAAGATCTACAACACTTCCAACCTGCAAATAAATCAAAAATATTTAGTTGTTAAGATCATATTTTGGAAATCATTCTATTTTGCCTTTAATCATAAGAGCTCCATGGGCTTTTTCTCATGAATAAAATTGTACCTGAATGTAATGATTCATATTATTTCTAAATTCCATTGAATCAAACTTTTCAGAAGTATTGTGATAGGTATCAAATTATTTCTTATTGTTCAATAATGTACCATGGGACCTGTGCTATAACAAATAATTAGTTGTGGGACCCACAAACCCTAGTCAACAGATCTTTTGGCTTCTCACAATTGACAATACTACATGTACATGGATATATTATAGATAATTCTCTAATGATCGAAGTCTTACCTCTCTTTCACATTTAATGATGAGAAACTCTAAGCAGAAGTTGATGAAATATCCAGAGTTTGTGCCGTGCCACACAGCTAGGAACAAGAGAGTACACAGTTGAGAGAGATCTTTGTTGCCAAGGAATTTAAGGCGTTTAAATACATACCTGAAAAAAAAATATATTGTAATAGCTGCATTCACATGATTCATGACATCTCATAAATAAAAACAAGACACACAGTGATAAATATCGCACTTTGAAGAGCAAACTGGCCACCATGCAATTTACCCAGCATGGCCAAAACCTAATCAGACCTTGGCACTACTCTGCTCTTGCATCTGTAAACATTTCAAGTTGACAAGGTTAGCGGTTTTCCTGCAATTTTGATGACAAGAATTTATTTGTAGTCTTGAACTTTGGGAAAATTTAGATAACATTGTTTGAGACCTAATTTGATGACCTTCGACCTTGAAAATTTCACTTTTTCAGACCTCAGTAGGTCTTTTGTAATTAGCTGACCTAAATTTAAATCAAAAATATCAATTTAGAAAATCAAATTTTTGACCTTTTCAAGGCCACTGAAGGTCAACGAAAGGTCAAATCTGAAATCTAAGGTCAGATTTGAACTTCTGAGAACTTGTAGATGTTTTTAAAAAAAAAATTTGGTCAATTTGGAGCAAGTTGAAAAATTCAAAATGGCCGCCAAATTGAAAAATTCAAAATGGCCACCATGTAATTCAGCCAGCATACCCAAAACCTAATCAGATTTTGGCAATAGTCTGTTCTTGCATCTGTAAAAATTTCAAGTTGAACGGATAAGTGGTTTTCCTGGAATTTTGATGACAAGATTTGTTGAAAAATTCAAAATGGCCACCACGTAGTTTACCCAGCATGCCCTTAACCTAATCAGATCTTGGCACTAGTCTGCTATTGCACGTGTAAAAATTTCAAGTTGAACAGGTTAGCGGTTTTCTTGGAATTTTGATGACAAGAATTGATTTGTAGTCTCAAACTTTGAGAAACTTGGATAACATCATTTGTGACCTAGTTTAATGACCTTGACTTTCGACCTTGAAAATTTCACTTTTTCAGACCTCAGTAGGTGTTTTGTAATTAAGCTGACCTAAATTTAAATCCAAAATATCAATTTAGAAAATCAACTTTTTTGACCTTTTCAAGGTCACTGAAGGTGAATGAAAGGTCAAATCTGAAATCTAAGGTCAGATTTGAACTTCTGAGAACTTGTAGATGTTTTTAAAAAAAATTTGGTCAATTTGGAGCAAGTTGAAAAATTCAAAATGGCCGCCAAATTCAAAAATTCAAAATGGCCACCATGTAATTCAGCCAGCATACCCAAAACCTAATCAGATCTTGGCAATAGTCTGCTCTTGCATCTGTAAAAATTTCAAGTTGAACGGATAAGTGGTTTTCCTGGAATTTTGATGACAAAATTTGTTGAAAAATTCAAAATGGCCGCCACATAGTTTACCCAGCATGCCCTTAACCTAATCAGATCTTGGTACTAGTCTGCTCTTGCATCTGTAAAAATTTCAAGTTGAACAGGTAAGCAGTTATCCTGGAAATTTGATGACAAGATTTGGTTTATGTCCCGCCCGCCCGCACGCCCAAACGCCCGCCCAACAGCACAAGACGACGACAATATAGCACTTTTTCAAAGTGCGATAATAAAAATCATTTAAAGGTTGAATACCTTAACTAGTAATAACCATCTTTGAGGTTAAAAATTTGGGAAATTTGACAATTAGACATAAAAAATACAACTGATCATCAGTTTAGTGGTTGTTTCGATGACTTAATGCCAAAAATGCTTTCAATGTGTCCTTAAAAGATTCAAATTATTGTAGTTTTTGTAGCATTAAATTATTTCTAGCTCAATTAAAATGTTACACTGTCCATACACCTACTTTGCCATCCATAGATTGGTGTTTATATTGAATCCTTGTATGAGTTTCTGACCAGTATCGCCTACTTCACAGTAATATGGTATGATATTCGCACACCCATCCCAGAGATCATTCCCATTCTTGTCTTTCCCATTATATGAAAGACCTGTCACTAAGCATGCTCCTTCCTGCAAATAAATCAATAATGAACAATTAAAGTTGCTCAACCTTTATATAACTCCTATCAACAAATAAAATGTATTCTGTTAACAAGTATTTAAAACAAACAATTGTTTGAGATAACAGATTTTCAATATATTTCAATGTATTCATCAGGTAAACTGGAAAAAACTGGAAACTTTGATTCAGTTTACCTGATGAAGATATATAAAAATAACGAACATTTGTCACCTCAAACAATTTGTAACCTCTAAAATGGTAGCAACCTGTAACTTGCTAACTGAAAATTATCATCAAAGCTTAAAAAATTACTTTGTACGTGTGTAATATAAGAAGTACAAACACCTAGAAATACCCAGGTGTTGAGTACATTTCATATTTATTAAAGAAGGCAAAAATGTGGTTACCAGATCAATATTTTTTAGTTTTGATATTTACAGAAAACAAGGTGTGTTTCATATTTCATGAATTGTGTAATTTATAGACTGAAAGATCGAGTCAAGTCTATTAATGTTGGAAGTTATTGATCATTAGATTTAAAACAAGTACTTGTTCAAAATTATCACGACTACATAATGAGGCATTTTCTATATAACCGTGAAATTATCGCAAATCTGAAGAACGGAAATTAATATAAAATTTTGAATATATTTTTTGTTTAACTTACTGTGATGAGCCAGCAGCCATTGTATTTGAATAGAAAGACTCTTCCCCAAATCAGGATGTAAAGTAGTTTGTAGAGCAACGTGGAATTCTGAAATAATCATCACCATCATAACTTTTGACCAATCAATAACAGTAGCTGTTTTTGTGACAAAACTAAATACATATCAACAAAAAGAAAATTATAATGATTTTTTGCAAGAACTTCATTGACAAACTGGTACATGTTCATTATGTCAAATGAACATGACCAATTATTGATGTCTGAGGACTCTGGTCTCCATTGGCTATCCATACTAGCTATCTCTCAAACTTACAGTGTCACCCTATGCAGTTGAGTAACATCTAAGGACTGAATCAGGCCCGTAGCCAGGGGGGGGTTCGATGGGTTGGAGCGAACCCCCCCCCCCCTGGCCAAAGAATCCTTCAAAATCATGCAGTTTTTCACCATTCTGAGCACTTTTTAAGTGATTTTGGCCATTTTTGGACCAAAATTGTCACAAGTGAACCCCTCCTGGAATTTTTCAAAAAGTGAACCCCCCCTTGACAAATCCTGGCTACGGCATACTGTAAGTCTAAAATGATGAATCAAAGACAACTATGTACTTACTAGAAATTCTGGATCTGTGAGATATGAATCAGGTGTATATACAGAAAGGATTTGGAAAAGTAAGGTATAACATAATCCTAGAACTAGCCTCGACAGACCCGGCTTTACACTGAAACAATAAATGCATGTAGTACTGATGAATTTCTTAATAATAAAACATTATGACATCCTTATTGCAGTATTGTACCTTTGTTTATTTTCTATGATTCCAATTTCCAAGTGATGTTACAATTTCGAAGTTTTTGGAGTTTACTTTATCTTAAAACCAGTGTTATTAGAACTAATAGAATGTAGTCTATTGTTTTTTCATTTCAATTTTTTGATATTATTTTTTTTAGTAATTTCATCAAAAAATATTATTAATATGAAGAAGTTCTTTACCTTGCAGGGGGACCACCTGTTATTTTATCAGAGAATTCTCCATTCACAAAGTCTAAATATCGTCTCATGGAGAACTGGAAAAAGAACAAAGATCATAGTTAATCAGTAATATCAGAATGTGACATTATCTCACACTTTCTGAGCTCTATTTTGATGAACAAAACCAAGATGTTTATGATGATTTTGGGTTTCTTTCCTTTCAACTTGGTAATCTGAAACATGTGTACAATTTTACATACAAGGTCAAAGTTTGGGATATATGGGGTCAGTTTACCTACAATCACAATGACAAGCTTTATCACAAAACTTCTAAAACATTGACATCCTCGAGATCAGATTATAGAATTTGATGAAAACTTACCTGGGGTCCCACCATGAAGCCCCCAAAGTAGTAAGTTTGCCCAAGAATCTCAATTAAAGATGGCACCTTGTCTAAAGCTGTTGATTCTTGTTCTGCTGAGAGTTTGGCCTAGAAAAGTAGGAAGTTAAAAAACATGTAATACAATACAACAATTGACAGGAATAAACAAATCAATATGTTGTCAAATCAGTCAAATATACAGTCGTTTTTAGAACTTTGCAGAAGATGAACCCTCTCAAAAGCATATTATGTTTTTGAACATTGATGAAGATAACTCGATTAGAATGGGTTACATATAATTAGGAGTCTACAAATTGAAGCAATTTTAAAGCTAAATAATGTTATCTTTTAGAAACCATATACAAGGAATTAACATGATAAAATGCACTGCAAGATTAACACCAAACACCTAAAGCTGGTTACAAAAACAGTGGCTCTAACGATACATCTTGGTGGTAACATAAAAACAGAATTTGCATTTTTGTCATCATATTATGAACTTACATTGTTCTGCTTTCGTCTACCATCATAGATGTCAAACACAAGGGAGGTAAGGCGAAGTGTGAGCACACAATGAGGGGTGGTCCAGGAAATGTCATAGTTATCAGTGTCTTTTGGAAGTAGGTAACCATATAAAAGATACGACTGAAAAACAAAGAAATTGGACATAAGTACATGTAGGTACTGACAGACATTTATGTAACCAATCAAATTTGAAAGTGTGGTAAAAGTCTAATTAACATTGGACTTACATTCTTGCTTGTTGCTTACATTGATTTAGCAATTTTGACAAGAATTTCATCATTTGTTTTTTAACCCATTCAAATAAGCACAAATAAATATACCGCATTCTCTGTAATTATCGCCCACCCTCTAATAAGAGCCCACCCCGCTTCACAAAGTTCAAGAAACATTGAGGAATCAACAAGAATTGAAGAATCTATCACAAAAAATCAGAATGGTCTGAATGATGTACTTTCAATTTTCTAACCGCCCTGGGCGTTAATTACAGAGAATACGGTATTACCATATTTCCTATTAACGCCAGGCCCACAGAGAGCTGTGTTCCACCCACAGTCACAAGTAGCACATAGATCAGCAGTATGTTAGCTAAAGAGTGAATAACTGCAAACCCTGAAACATATAATAAAAACTTATAGTACTTTGAGGATTCGAATTTAATCACTTCAGCGTTCTCCACATGATCTTTACTCAAGTGGGTGCAAAATTCTCATTTTCACAATTCAGACTGAAATTATGAAATATGCCCATTTTTCATGATTTTTCTCATTTTCAAGTGGATGCAAATAGATTTTCAGGTGGGTGCAAGTCTAATTTCAAAATCTCAGGTAGGTGCTGCAACCTCTTGCTAGGAAGATCACTGCACTTATTCTAGCCACAAACAGTTAATTAGGACACAAATCAATAATACAGTAATTTTTCTTCACAATAAAATAAATGTAAACAATGCAGAGATAGATCCTATTCACAAAGCCAATGCTGTAACTGTATAACCCTTTTCAACAGGTTGGTTTTGAATTAAAAATATAATCTTATCAACATAGGTTGAATGATCATTATTTTTACTAGCCTCTGGGCCTCAGGGCATACTTCAAAATGTTAAATCAGCAGTGATAAAATCAAAATTTGGACCCCACTAAGTAAAAGTTTTGGAGGAATTACCACTGGTATGCATCCAGAGTGAACATGGTTCACACTTGTAGTAATACTTGGGTCCTAAAGATATAGAGTCTTTGAAATATGTCTATGATTTTCTTGAAACTCTGCCATATACGAAAATGGGCTAGTAACATGTCATTGAATATATGGGGTCATATATGGGTTATATGTGCTAACATTAATCAGGGACCTTTACACCTATGGTATTACATAATCACATTTGGAGATATGTGTTGTTGATATTAGATGCACATATGTACCAACAATGTAAACATAATTTTCAATGACTGTAATCAATACAGATTGGTGAATGTAATGTAGTCACACATGTTATATAAATGTTCACATTTAATAGCAGTGTGGTGGAATCACTTCTAATGCTCTAATCAAATAAATTGGTGTTTATTATGATTATTTACTTCTACAGATATTTATTTTATAGGATTTTCTCAAGAAATCAATCTGTATTATGATTTCCATATATCAATATTATATCATATATGGTCGCAGCCAAAAAAAGAATGATTACTTTATTGTTTGATTCAAGATCTTTCAGTACCATGAGCGCAGAAGTAAGCTGAATAGTAATCTCTGAACAGTTGAGATACTTTTACAGTTTAAGCAGCCCAATTCTCACTGCCAATGGCGGTCACAGCGGGGGTCATGAATCAAGATTTCAAACATATCACGCTGCCATTTTTTAAACCGATCAGCGAGCACAAAGAAATGTGTTAAATAATGAATATTGATGGTCAATACTAAGGGCATATTTTTGTATCACAGAGTAAGTGAATTTGATACAGTTGCGTAATATTTAAACTGTTTTAACAGCAACTATCATGCAACCTAACCACAATCTAGCTACTTTTTAGGATTAAAATCTTGCACACAGTCAAAAAATCAGGTACAAAAATGCAGCCTTAGTAAACAGTAACTCCAGAGAAAATGACCAAATATAAAAAATCATCCTTCTGGCGAATGGAGATGACAAGTTCCGATTGGCTTGGAGAGCTCAAAGCATTATCACTAACTCGTATTAACATCATTGGGTTATTAGTATTAGACAACATTTCTTGCATATCACTCATCATTCTTGACTAGCAATCTATCATGTATGTTCAACAGGGCCTAAAGGTTAGAATGACATGGAGCAAATTCTATAATTCCATGTCAGATTGCTGTTAATTTAGAAGAGAAAGATGTTATTTCTTTTAAGTTCAACTCAATTAGGATGCTACAGAAGGTGCAACATTAATTATGTCCCAATCTAAAAGGGGATTTTGTCTACACCCTTTAAAATAAAAATGAATTCTTTGATTTAATCCTTCCAGCAATCAGAATCAGAAATCACCACCTAATTTGGAGTTCATAGCACCAAAACTGGAAAAACATCTGACATACTCAGAGGACAAGTATAGAACTGCTAGTTAGTGGGTATCAGGGTAGGAATGTATCATTTTTATTCATGATATAAATTATATATTTTAGTATATTCCCTATAGAGCAAATATAATTCATGTTAGTGACATAATGAACAACTGATAGGTAATTGTGGGGTTTAAAGATTTCTAAGTAATTTTCTTCAGTTTTGCAATCTACAAATGACACTGCAGGTGTGTCATAAATCATGTATAACACAATTATATACTATTATGCCTGAGTGATAGCTAATAAACTTATAAGTTGCAGCCATTTTGCAAGAATTTTTGATAAAATATCCAATTAATATATGTGATTCTTTTGGACTTATCATCAAAATAGTTCTCATAAAACAATAAAAATGGCAATCATTTTAATTGAATATTTTGCCAAAACTTCTTGACATTGTTTTTACATTGTAACTAATAAACTAATCAATCAAATCAATGCAATACTTTTGAAGTTATGACCACCAAAATGATACAACTAACTATACTTCTCTTTTTGCAAAGTAGATGGTAAATAATAGGGGGTCTGGTAATCAAGAATGGGTAACCATGGAAATCCTTTATTAAGGCCCTAACCACATGCAGCTTTATATCTAATATCTTACTTACCAAAATTGAAATAGCAGATCCATAGTCCTACTGATATAAAATAAAGATGCTGCAAAATGGCTGCTTTTCCATGGAGGAACTGTCTATGGAAGAACGCAAAGGGATAACCTGAAAACATAGAAATTGTATTTATTAAAGTCAAAAATATTTTACTTCAATGGCATATCTTTTCTTTAGCTTAATAACATATTTATTTGTTCCTACTGTTGATCTCTTTCTTTCAAGTAATCATTATGAAAAAATGTTTTCCTTTTTTGAAAACATATTTTGGTGAAAATGGGCTGGACACGGTCAATTTTTGATTGTTGCCATTTTCCCATTTGTTCCTACTGTTGGTCTCTTTCAAGTAATCAATATGAAAAAATGTTTTCCTTTTTTGAAAACGTATTTTGGTGAAAAAAGGCTGGACACAGTCAATTTTTGATGTTGCCATTTTCCCCCTTTTGCCCCTATTGGTTTTGACAATTGTTTACTGAAGGCTTTAGGTAACTATTTTTAGGCAGAGGAGCTAATTGCAATACCTTTTTTAAATGTTGATCAATATTCTGTTATGTATGGTTACAGATTCTTTTCGTTGAATGATTACAAATGTTCAGTATGAACATGTCTTTTAGTAAAAACTATGAAATAAGAATAGCATCAAGGGGATGTTGTATATTTTGATAAATCTGATGATTGTAGAGTACATTTTATTTTTTTATATAGCCATGTTATATGGGTGAGAAAGATCTAAGAAAAAACAACCTTAAAGTATTGAAGACTTTTTCCTCTGATAAACTAAATATTTCAGTGAATGAAGGTCACCATGACCAGTTTATTTTATCTTACTAATGCTTGAGCTATGAAATAATTTCAACTGCTAAAAGGTTCATGTTAACTAAATGTCACTTACTCATCCATTCAGTTGCTATAGCAAATGTTTTTCCGTCTTAGATTACAAAATGACTGAGCAATTTCATCTTAAAGGATCTACAATTCTGAATCTAAATAATCCCAAATATTTTTTTTTAATTCATTCTGACCTGTATTTTGCACTATCAAGACTGAAAATCTGAAAATATCAAGTACCAACAGCACAAATAGTTAAATTAATACAGATTCTTCAGTAGAAACAGTTTCAAACTTTAGCAAATAACAGTCTATTGATGGTGCAGGTTACATATCATTATGATTGAAAGATGTGGTGTAATTTAGGATTAGTATTACCGATACTGGCCCTTTATTATATAAGTATATCTGCTTGCTGCTTAAAACTCTTAATCTTCACAGTAGTGCCTATCTTATCTGAGTAAATTCTGAAGAAAATGTTAAAAACAAATTTCTCATATTAGGCAGTGATTACTAACAGTAAGATATTTATAGTTAGGGCAACAACCTGATACCTTTCAAACTGTTCCTTAAGGTCAAACAATGGTATGCAGGTGTGTTCAGTTTACAAGGCAAGATGATCACTATGAATTGAGGCAACTGGGTGATGTATCCATTTGAGAGATTTGCACCCAAAAACCCTGGAAGTGCTTCCTTTCTCTTTGGGACTCTTTCCTCAAATTGATCTAAAATTTTCATTTTCAAAATTCTGATCAAAGTTGGTCATTAAAGAAGGATGTTGCGATAGGAAAGACCCTCCTGGACCTTTTTGCATGTTGAGCCTTACCACATATTCACCTACAGTACCTACTAATTACCAACGAAGAAGCCCTCAATCCACTGCTTTATGTGCTAATTGCAAGATTGTGCTGACTGGTTGAATTATTTTCGTCGAAATTGATTATCTAAATCTTGAACAAACGTGGAAATTCACAATGTTATCTGATTGGTCATTAAATATGTTTATCAGTATGGTTACATTACCAAAGGAACTCCGTAAATTCTGGAATTCCAGTACGTGGAAATTTTCATTTTTAGTAGCAATTTTTGCATGTTATCTAACTTATTTCAACAGTCAGAGTTCCTCCATCTATTGGTACATCCAGGCACCAGACTCGGATGTTATAACCAACATATAAAAGTCATATACAGATCTGATGTTATGATTGTGATAAAGAGCCAATTAAGTCTTACAAATTCATAATTTAAATCTGTTATCTAATTTACATTTATTCTTAGATTTCCCCAAAAGGACTTTAATCTTTATGTATATGACACTGGCGTTTCATCATGCCCAGTAGCATAAAACTCATGGCACATGTTTATCTGTTTTTTTTATTTATTTTTATTGGGGGATAAATCTACAAGATGTAAAAGTATCAAAATTGTCCAAAGCAGGCGTAACATGCAGCAGATTGATGAACTTCGTTCTCCAAACTGAGACAAGTCCTTTGAGAAATGATTACATTAAATATCTGGCTGTAGATGTCTTAATTCAATGCAGGAATTATTGATAATCTGGTATGACATTGATAAATCATGGCCATAAACCATGCTTGTATGAAATAGGGACCAAATTCATCCCCAAAAGTCTACAGAATGTGTGGATTCACGAATATGAACCAAAAAATCATGGTATTTGGTCACAGTAAGGTATTGATTCCCGGCAATACCAGCACAAGTTTTCACTACCGTTTGGAGCACTAGTAGACACGACAAATTAGGTTTTAGCTAGATTTGTTAAAAATATACAATCAAATATGTAGATCTAGTTTCATTTTACCTCACATGTTTTGAGGCATAGACCAAAAGTTAACAGCATACGCAGACAAAAAATTTTAGGTCGAAATTTTGGCCAAAAATAAAAAAAAAGCTTATAACATCAGTTTGATATCTGAATTACCCAGTTTCAGGGTTCGAACTTAACTTTTTAGCCTGGTTATGAATATTTTCTAGGTAACTGAATACAAAAGTAAGGTAGATGTTTTTTTGATGAAACACAGTTTTCCTTATAAAATAAACAAGTCTATTGATCTGTTGATCTCAAGTATATTATCAATTATTATTATTCCAACATTCGAAACGTAATGTCTTGTTTTCAAAGACAGTACTAAGAACATGTATCTATCATCTATCATGTCTATGCGGGATCTTAATTAACAGGAAATTTTAGAAACTGGATAAAAATATGCCAATAGAAGTAAATGTAGTACAGTGGCTAAAAACAAATGGACATCAAATACCAGTATCTAGGGTTGTATATATAGCACTGGATCAGCAGAGTCTAAAAATTTGTCATCATATTCATATTTGCCTCAAAAAATAGTATTTTTCTGACTCAAAAGTAAACAGAATTAGCTTTAGAAGACCTAAGAAGAATGTTTTCATGCCAAACAATTCAGAGAAAACTTGTCTTTGTTATGAGAATATCCATTTTCATCTGGTACAGTAGTCATGTTATCAGATCAAATTATAAGAGACCAATCATGTGTTATAAACATTCAAATTCAAATTTCCCACTGTAAACATTCCTAAGTGTAAAGTCAAACTAATTAACATATGGAAATAGCCGTTGTGTTGTTGTTCCTCTCCAAGATTTAATTTTTTTATTTCAAGTCTAAATGATAAAATAGGAACTGCAAATTCTATTGAAGGGGGTATGTTTTATTGAAAGCCATTTCGAAATTCTCAGCATTTTTTCATTTGAGAAGTTGAGTTGACGATCATAGAGATTTTCTCATAAAGCAGGTATCTATTTTCATTGTTTGGGCATGTTACTAGGTAACGATTTTAGAAAATGAAGGAACTAATCTTTACTTCAGCAATGCTAATTTCGAACCCTGGTTTAGATGGAGGAGCAGATTTTGGCCCCCAATTTTTAAGCCCCCCCCCCTGCCCCCTCCCCATGTCAGCCACTGTAGACTAACATGTTCTTTTTTACTCATAAACTGACTTCTTATCTCATACTTTGATACTATTTTCTACACCTTGAGACCAGCACGAAGATAAGAAAATCTCACGTTCAGTATGCAGTTATCTATACTTTCTTGTCTCCAAGTTCAATAACGCAATCTAGAGTGTCTGGCAAAAAAGTGGATGCGGTTCAAAATTCTGCAATCTGATTGGTCAAAATTGCGAATCTCTAAAACTGTCCAGCAAGTCTGTTTTTGATCGTTTTGATGATTTTACTATCAGTATATGTTGGTGCAATTTTTGTTCAAGTTCCCGTGTCATCACGGGCTGATATATTTTTACAATACTAGAACAGGTAAGGACCATAATTATCAGCTTGATATGGCAAAATTGACAAAATTACAAATGGAAAATCTTCACGTCATTGAACTGGGAGAGAAAAAGGTAGCAGATTATTTGCCCAAAATCATAACTGCATATACTGACTGTGTAAAATTTGGCACTAGCAGAAGATTGGAACCCTCGTGTGTTCTAAGCTCCTTTCTAGTAAATCTTAGAACACATGATCATGAGTGCTCTGCCCGATCTTCCATACAAGATTGGCGGAAAACGTGAATTGAATAGATCTAGGGCCTAGTCTAGTCTAGAATGAAAAATTGAAATATTCTCCAAAGCTTTCAACCTAGCCTATAACAAGATTTGGACGCAAGTTTTGGGCATATAAGTAAATGATGTAACTTACCAAGAAAAAGACTTGTTAAAAGACGTACTGCATTTTCTTGAGCACCAATACTTCTTGCTATAAAAGAAATAATTCCGTCTGCTTCGTTAGCTTCCATGATGAACACCTCATCAATGTGTGATGTAAACAAACGTCGCCAAAAAATAATTATTAGATGGCAGCACACGAGAACATTACTCAATACATGAATAAAGTTGATTGATTCTTTTATAGATGACAGGACCATACACTTAATCTTGTACAATCATTTTACACTAGGTTTTAAATTATATTCTATTCAAATTCTATTAATCTAAGTGTTAAATAATTATATATCTGCTTCATATGTGCTCCTTTTGCGGATTATTGACAAAGACATTCAGACTGTCCCGCCCGGGGGATGATCCACAGTAGTAGTCTTGCTTCAAGAGTGTGTTCTTCAACTTCACCAGCTAAACACACCTGAAGTTTTATGATGGTCCCAGATAAGGGGAATGTCTAAGCAAGACTACATCTGCAGCCTGCACCATAGGAGCAATTAGCGCAGTGCTGAGTAGTGCCACCCCCCCAGAAAAGTACACGATTCACAGATCACAGTGACCACATGTAGGAGGGGCATCCAGATGCCCGGGATTGGTAACCCGGGACTTGATGTCTTTTGTGATTTATTCTCTGATCCTAAATAAAAGATTGATCCATGCTCCAGTAAAAATGTTAACAGTCAAATTACTATTTGTTATTATGAAGCCATACAGTAACTTAGAGGACAACAGTCAAATATAAGAAATGATAAGAAACTTGTGATTTTAAAGGTGCAACAATTAGTGCAGGGGGGCCATTCAACAATCATCGACCAGTGTCAAAATATATTTAAGTTTGGATATTTCATCAAGACTAACATATATTTTTATTATCTACAAAAAAGCACACATTGTTTGAATTTTCTCTCTACAGCCCTTGTTGCCCCTTTAACATTCTACAGTATGCAATTTTTAGTTTTTACCTCTCCAGAGGTCAACCGGCAAAATTGTATACAGAGACTGTTAACCAAGAAACTATTGTTGACAGAGACCGAAGGTGGAGGTCAACAGTAGTTTCAAGGTTTACAGTCGAACTATATGTGTGGGATAGGGACCCCTGGCCTCCCACAAGGATGGGCCCAGAAAAAAATTAGCCCAAAACTTTATGGCCCTTTTTTAATTACAGGCTAAATTGTCAAGAAAATAAGCCATAGATTTTCAAAATTTAGGCCCATTTTGGTTTCAAGGGCCAAACTTTTTCACCCCCCCCCCCCCCCTCCCCTTATAAGTCTTATAGTTTTCAAGTCCCTGCTGCATTTAAGATACAGTCAACAGATTCTGAGCAATGTAGAATTATGATATAGATTCAGATACACAAAAATTTTACTGATAGATTGAAAATGAAAAGTTTGATCTAAACTTTTGTTATAAACATTTACTTGTCTTCATCATACACCACAACCACAAAATTATCTGAATTTTTAATTGCATGCTCTGCCGATAGGTGCCTCATAGGCCACCGTAGAAAAGTTTGAGACAACTTTCATTCAGAGAAAAAGAAACATGGCGGTCGGAGGGAATTTTATTCCCGCAACTTTATTAGTGATTTTATCATGTATTTTACACATCTCTGAAGTAAAAAGTCAAGCATTAACACCGCCATACTTCAATCTTGCCGAAGGGAAGGATGTGAACGCGAGTGCGACATGCGGAATAGGAGTAAACGAACCTGAACTTTACTGTCGACTAACCGGCGCGAATCCCGGCGTTGTGGGAAGAGGCGAAGAACAAAATCTGATCCAAGGACAACTATGTGAATATTGTGAACCATCGGGAGAGAATGCTCATCCAGCCTCTAATGCAGTGGACGGTAGCGAAAACTGGTGGCAATCCCCCCCTTTGTCCAGAAGCATTACTTTCAACGAGGTCAATTTTACAATTGATCTTGGACAGGTGAGGGACCGATCATTTGCTAAACTTTTCTATGCTTTTCTATAAGTTTCTATACTTTTCTGTTTAATTAGATTTCACTGTTCTGTTTAGTTGCAATTTGTTGTTGTAGTAAAAGTCATTGTAAAGACTCATTGTAGTTGGTTATCTGGCACTTTGGTATGGTGTTTTTTGAGGGGGTGAATTTTGTGGGAACCCACGCACTGGCAGATTCAGAAGCTAACAAGGTGGGGGGGGGGGCAAATTTAAAATCTGTGTGGTAAAATAAAAAATTTTAGGCCCCAAAATTGGGCCCAAATTTTGAAAATTTAGGCCCATTTTTTGATAATTTGGCCAAAAAGTCCAAGTAATGCCCAAAAAGGCTACTAAAGTCCATTTCACTGCTTCAGTTCGTCAGTAGAACGGCAAAAATAAGAAATTGGGAGACTATTGTGCAATAATATATGGAAAAGTATATTCATAATGTACATGAATGACATTTGTATATTTCAGATTTTTTAGTTTTTTGTGCAATAAGCCTGTGCCGTCTTGTAATTTGAAGAATTTCAGCCATGTTAATCTTATTGGAAATAACATGGCAGAGAAACATCCAAATATAAGAGGCCACACACTTTATAAGCCAAACTAGAAGCAATCCAAGATATACAAATGTCATTCATGTACATTATGAATATACTTTTCCATATATTATTGCACAATGGTCTCCCAATTTCTTATTTTTGCCGTTCTACTGACGAACTGAAGCAGTGAAATGGACTCTAATTAAGGGCCCATCCAATGGGGCGGGGGTGAGCCCCATTCCCCCCCCCATGGATCCGCCAGTTCCACAGGATGGATCCCAAGCGATGGTTCTTTGAAATTTGTTTTACTAAAGACCATCTAGATGTGATAGGTCCATAACTTTATGATAACGACATGAAGTGTTTCAATAAAACATTTTATGTTGAGTAAACTCTATAAGTTTTTATGAAAAAAGCTCCAAAAATTCTTTAAAACTCAATTTTAATTTTCAAAAAGCCCCCCTCCACCTCATTTGTCTTCTTCCACATCTGTCCTTGTTTTTCAACCTCAGCTTATTTACACACACACTTGGCAGCTAATGCCCTTCCTGGTGCCAATAATTTATAAAGATGCCTTGAGGTATAATGCCCTGATAAGTCGAATATATATATTATGTCACCTGAAAGGAGAACTTACAGAGCAGCAGTTTCAGTTATATAAAGTGGTGTTTGATAATAGAGCCAATTAAACCATTACATCATATTATCTCATGAGATTTTGGTTGTGCATATATAACTTTCATGTCTAGTCAGTTCACAGTTTGCCACCCTGGGCTTTGGTAAACTGAAATTTCGCATGCATAGTGTTTAATATTTATATACATGCTGGTCCTATGTGAAAGCCTATGTATGAACAAAGTTTTGGCACAAATTTTTAACAACTGATTATTCCAGGCATGTGACCACATTTTTAGTACTTTCACTTTTTCAAGAATTAAAAACTTATTATTTCAGGTTGAAACATTTGAATGATAACCAATCTGAATTATATAATATTTTAAGATATATCCCAACTATTTCATATGTGAGACATAATGAAAATAAATTGAGCTTTGTGTTTAATTGATCTTGAGATGGGATTACTTTTGGTATCCGCTGTATAAACTATTTAATCTTAGTACCCCACTAACTGTAGTTAAAGTATATACAGGAATGTCAAAGCTGCTTACATTCCAAACAGATTTTAGGAATACTATAATCAATGAAAATCCTAGATCTGTAGTTTAAACCATTCCTTTGTATATATGTTTGGAAAACTTTTATTGTATTACAGAATATTACCTATAAGCTAAATACAATCATATGTGATTTTTAATATATGTAACTGTAGGGCTTTGTTATTAAAGCAATCATGTGCATTACTAATGCCTCAGTCACATTTGGTCCACTGCAACTGTATGGCAGCCGTAGCTTCCCAAATTCAAGAGAAATGTGCAGCATAAAATATAGGATAAGCAGTACGATGTAGAGGCCCTGTAGACTATTCTTTCTCGTGTATCGATTTTGGGAAGCAACGGTTGCCATACGCCTGTCATAGAGTGACTGTGACTGAGGTTAACTTCTAAGTTTTCAAATGGTATAATTTTGAGTTGAAATAGAGTGATAAAAGATGCCTGAAATTTTTCAACATATATTTGCGTTCATTTTTTTCAATGGTAGATCCCAGGTACCAACATTTTGCCTTGGAAATGGAATACAGGCGCAGTATGCACTGGCAGCCAAATGTGTCTTATCTGCCAGGCTGTGGTTTGGCATGCACTGAATATCTCCTCCATACTTTTTCCATCAAGGTTTACAAATTAAACAGAGGACATTCTAGTATTCCGTTGGGATTCTGCTTTCAGTAATGGTTTACTGAGAGTTCTTCCATAAGATTTATGGCAAACATGTGTACATAAGACCTACTGCTAAGAATAGAACATAGAACAAGCTGGTAAGCTGCTTGTACTTCCTTGCTTTCCTTCTTTCTGGTTCTTGAAGAGAGGCAATCTCTATTTTGTGGTAATGTATACATAATTTTGGTTTTACCACAAATATAAGACCATAAACAAAAGTTAGTAGAATTACCAATGTACCAAGCAAAGGGAACTTATGGAAATGAATGAAGGAAATATAAAATGGAAATGGTTCTGCATTATGATTAGGCAGTTTTGCATCAACCACCAAATATATAATCCATGGTTATGAATCCAATAATATATACTTAAACTCTTATTTTCCCATAATATGCAAACCTTACTTTGAACCGTTTAAGAATAACAGGTTGTGGGGTAACTTTTCAGAATAAAGGTTTTCCAAGTAATGGGTTTTCAAATAATGGGTAAATCCCATTGCTTACTTAAAAGAGGAGAGTATACATGTATAACTCCTGCAACATGCAAAATAATGGAAAATTTGTCTTATCATCTTGAACAGCCAGTGGAATGAACATTGTCCACTTCAACCACTTTATGTTAATAGGGTGCTTCAGACTACTGTGTGTGCTCTACAGATATGCTTTCAAGTGTTACCATTTATATAATACAAGTATATGGGTGTTTGAAGGGGGGAGTGCAGGAGTGTACCCTCTTTTTGAGCCAATCCATGGCTCACCAATTCATGGTGCTGAGGAAGAGACTCAGAGGAAAGAACTATGTGCTCTGTTGAAAGAGGTGGACAAGGTAGACTTCAAGTGTAAGCTATGATGATGGCAATTTTTTAGCTCACATTGTGAGCTTTTGCAATTGCTCACTTGTCCATCTGTCTGTCTGTCTGTCAACAATAGTGGCATGTTTAAAACCTCTGTCAATATCATTCTAGTTTAATGTAGATGTAGATGCACCTCCCGCCCTTAAAAAAATCCCACAGACTCCCTTGTCTTCAATATACACATTCCTTAGTTATCACATTCTTTCCTCTTAGCAAGGTATGCCTGCATTAGTGGAGACATGATGATCACCACTAAGCAGATCTTGAATCTTCAAGCAAGTTTGAAGAAAATATTGTGAAATAATTATTAAGTTAAATTTTTAAAACTTTTACAATGTTAGTTCCTTTGTGAAATGAGGTATGATTTCAAGAAATGGTCTTCAGAGAACACTTCCTCATGTCTAAAGTGTACAAAAATGCATTTTTAAAGAAAACTTGATTTGCGAGTACATTTTCACATGCATACCAAGTTATATTTCTATTATACTCTTAGATATTTTTCATGTTTTAAAAAATCCAACTTTAGTATGTTTGTATAAACATTGAGTGGCAGACATGTATTTTTATCACAGGTGCTGACAAAGTTGAATATACCACACAAAATATATTAATCAAATGCTAGTAGGGGTCATGTCAGAGGTTAAAAATTGATGTCATTTTGTCAGGGGACAAGTCATAGCGAGAAATACTGTCTGATTACATATTTCAGTGTATTACATACCTAGCGAAGCATTTGTATGGAAGTCAATGGGAAAGTTAGCGAGCTATATCCACCGATATTGCCCGATTACCCCGATATAGCCCGCTTACCTCGTTTTGATATTAGATTTCTTTAATAACCATGATAATATCATGACGTCACGTCATTGATACAAAGTAACCATGGGAACAAAGGCATGTAATACATCAGTTATGTCACTATGACGTGAAATATGCCTTCGTTCTTGCCCAAATATAGAGCCTCCCAAGGTCGGCCTATATTGGGAGAACTCAGGCATATTTCACGTCATAGTGACATAACCTCTAAGTATACCTTGATTTTTTACGAAAACTGACATATAGTTAGTGATTTTAATCGAAAGCTCTTTGTTAAATTGCTGTTGTTGGGGAACTAGATTTTCATTTTTTCTAGTGGTTTTTCTAGTAGCCTTAAAATTTTATATGGCCTCAAAACATAGGCCTTTGTTATGCCAAATTATCAAAAATGGGTCTTAAACTTTTTCAAAATTCAGGCCCAATTTTTGTTGGTCTAGAGCAGAAATTTTTCCCCTAACTTGAAATGTCCCCCCCCCCCTTGTTAACTTCTGGATCTGCCAGTGCCTGTACTTAGTCAAAATACTATTTTGAAGTGCTGTGTTTTTGACATTCCCCTGAAAAGCAGCCCAATGAGGACAAGTTATGAATGATATGGCAAACAATCAAGTCTATTTACCATGTTTACCCTGGAGAGAAAATTATAGCTTGTTAAAAACAAGTACTTTATCATGCTATCTGAGTGATCTTTATTCCTTGTATAAAAACAACATGAAGTACAAATTGTCATAAACCCTCACTGATTATACATGTACCATTTCATGTTAAATCTACAGTAACATGACCAAGGTCACTGAAATGTCTGGTCACTGAAATAGCACTATATATCAATAAATTCAAATACAAATTCCATCAATTTAATTATGAAATATGATACATACCCGGAATTTAGATCCATCAAATTTTATTTTATACCATGGAAAGTTGAATGATTCCCAGCCAGAAATCTGGGCTCCATGAATTGGTTTAATGATTCTCCTCCCACCCTGGAATCTTATGTTCTACAATTTCTGATTTGCATTTAATATTACTCATTTATCCCACGATTAATGTGTTATCTGTACAATAACAGCTATTGATATTTCTGATATTATTGAAATCCGTGTGATATTTTCCAGAAAATCGTTTATCAAACTCATATGCGTGTGATATCGTTTATCTCACGCATATCCGTGTGATATCACATTTGCATTTCGCGCCACAATATTGTTGGAAATTAGGTCAGATAATTTATTCTCTTTTGAGAAAATAGGTCCGTTAATCTATTATCTTTAAGTTTCATTGGTGTATTGAATTACGAATGTGTATATAATTTGATTAGAAGGCTGCTTACTAACGATTAAAAAATGGTATTTATGACGAACTATATCATGTACAAAAAGTAGTGCATTTTACTGCGCAGTGAGTAAAGTACAAATCAAAATGGCTGGTGCAAATTCGTCTGACGAAGAATTGGCGAATTTCAACATTCACACATCCGTGTGATATTTATCAATGTTTACATGTTCATTTTATTTACTTTTAATTAATTGTTGAAATAAAGTGTTTCAAATATTCAATTGATATTCTAATTTCTAGTTTATATTGTCTGCCAATGTCCTGGAAATTGGATCAGAACATCACACGGTGATTGTAATCATGGGATAAACCCAATATCACATAATTTCTCGTGATATCATTTTATCGCCTCGTAGATATCAAATATCAACACTCATTCGCTTCGCTCACTCGTGTTGATATTTGATATCAACTCGGCGATAAAAATGATATCACTCAAAATGATGTGATATTCTGTATTTATCAAAATCAAAAGTCACAACACATTTTAATTATCACATTATATCATTTCAGGAATTCCATGTTGCCTATGTCTGGATTAAGATGGCTAACTCACCCCGTCCTGGGGTGTGGGTCCTCGAGAAATCTGCTGATTTTGGTAAGACATTCACTCCTTGGCAGTACTTTGCTGACACGAATAGTGACTGTAACACCCTGTTTGGACTGCCATCTCGGGGAAGATTAGATAGGGATGACTCTGTGATTTGTACAACTCATTACTCAAAGGTTGTCCCATTGGAAGGAGGAGAGGTGAGTAGTGGAAGAGTTTATTATATGATAATGGTAATGAAAATAGGATTAGTCAATAAAAAATAATGGCTAAACCTCATTCTGATACTCATAGTATCTCTCTCTGTTGCATCGCAGAAGGGTAGAGATGGAGAGGGCGTGGCTTACCATGATGGCTAAACCTCAATATCAGTATCAGAATTCTCACTAGGGATTAAGACCGGGGTGTAGAACTTGATTCTTATTTGCTCCAACCTCTTACAGTGAAAAAATGGCATCCCTCAAAAATCTCTTTCGAAATTGATTAATTATCCACTGTTTAAAAACTGGTGAGCATTCTGAGAAGCAAGCGGAGTCTTCTTTCTGGCAAATTATTGTGTCCGCGTCAATAGAAACCCAAGCAGCCTCCAACCCAATGTTGTCTATTCATTACAATCCAACAAATTCTACCCAAAGGCCCAGTGACCAATAGTACCTACAATGTGCTGTAATTGAATTCTTAAGAAGCAAAATATTGGAAAGGGTAAACAAATCCATTCTCTGAGCTAAACTGTATCTTATTCTGAATTTTAGATTGTTGTTTCCCTGGTGAATGGACGCCCCAATGCTAATGACTTCAGTAACTCTGAGTCGCTGCAGGCATGGACTCTAGCAACTCACGTGAGACTGAGGTTCCTGAGGACCAAGACACTCTTGGGACATTTAATGGCTTTGGCTAGGCAGGACCCCACTGTCACAAGAAGGGTGAGTGTCAGTCCTTATGTGTGAACTCTGAATGGGATAGGGACTTGGGGTGGGGCTACAAGAACAGGGAAATTAAATGTGATGTGAGAGTGTTGCCCCTAATGCTGTCTGATTAATAGATGATGTGAAATGGTTGTAGTACGCAATCATATACTTCAAGACTACATGTACAATGGTATAAACACTACTCCAGTATCGGTGGCTAATGTTTAACTAAATACTCCACTTAGAATGTATACTTTAAATTACCAGATGTGTTTTATCAATGAGCGTGGGTGGGTAGAACCAACATTTTAGCCAGGAAATAAGTCAGGTCAAATGCGGCCACATACTAGACTTTTAATGTGTATTTATATTTTACCACATGAAAATATTTTGTTGACTTTTTGCAAACAAAGGGAAATAACTGAGATGTGACAGATAAGAATTATACAGGAGAAACTTTGGCGCAAAAGTCAACTCCTGTCAGATAAATTTGGCATTCCATCGCTTAAATAAAAATGAATTAGAGTTTGTTATTAAATTAACTCACTAGTGACTACAGAGTCTGATAAGTTTATGATAAACTAAAATGAAAAATAATATGTTTGAGCCATACATTTTTTCTCACTGCAATTTCTTGGCAATATTTTCTAAGATATGCACATTGGCCAAATTTGATACAAACACAATATGAAACACAATCATTTGTTCAATAATTTGTTTTGTAACTTCAATTTGTATATAATCTTTTGGCACGCATAACAGCTTGACCAAAATTATCATAATGTTGAAGTGAAGAAAGTGAGTTTTGAAGTACTTTGAGTGGACGCCTCCATATGAAGGTAAAAGTAAACCAGTATTAGCGAGGTGTGCTCATTATATCTCCACCAATAAAGTGAAACCTTCGAACTAATCACTATGAAACCTTCAAGATATGAAGGCTCTTTAGCTTTCTGAATTTCCTTCACATGTTCTTCTATTCCTGATTAATTAAGGATAATATTATGTCACATGTTCTCAAAGTTATCTAAGTGCCCCAAGGATGAATGATATAATGCGGTGTTATAGAAAGTTTTACCACACCTGTAGTGTGCAATTTTATGAAATATAGTGAAAATATTGTCTAAGCATACGAGTTATTTGATGTCATCTAGATTTATCTTTCTCAATTACGAATAACAAAGACAGTGATGTCATTTTTATCTTGACTTTTTTATATGAGAAAAACTAAATACACCATTGTACGTATATTGTAGTTAGTTATTTACTTCAGAAATGATTTGGTTATAAGTCACTTGGCAATATCATTGTCCTTTAGTGAATGTACAGACAAATGTTATCTAAATAGAGGTGTTCACTAGAGAGATGTGTTGTTCACCATCGGCTAGATAGAGGTGCTCACGAGAGTGAAGTGTGTTCACCAAGATTGGTAGTACTGTACATTCACTTCCATATAGTTCTAAGATAGCTCCTCATTATTCATTCCTTCAGTGTAATGGCTTTTATAGCCTCGCCCTGTCAGGATAGTGCACATATGTAGGCCATTAACAAACCATAGGTCATGACTTGTTAATGTGCTTGGTGGTCATGCTAGTGTATATCAAATGCTGCCATGCATCTACATAATAGTCTTGCACCAAGGCCTTGTGTACCTCCCTCCCTTAACAACTCTGTATACAAGGTGGTTGTAGAAGAAGTAAGTACTTCATAGTAGGGAGAAAGAACTCAATACAAGATAAATTCAAAAGGTAAAAATGTAGATATATAAGGAAGCAAGGGAATCATTCAATTAGAGGTCTAGTAGTCTTGTCTTTGGGGAGATCATGTCAGTTTTTTATTTATTTCAGAATTCCTCACAGGGAATCGAAAGTTTAGGGGCCAAAAGTAAACCCTCTTGATGATCTGTTATTTCCTCTTAAATTATGGGTCCATTTTGGAGAGGTCTATTTTTTCAAATTCTGACTTATTTTCCAAAGGTGTAGGGCTTTTTGTGAGATATCAGAAAAACATTTGGAGGAAGTGTGCCATAGAGCTCTTGAGGACAAGACATTGGACTTCAAATGTCCATTGATCAAGATTATTTGCATATTTATAGTATATCTACAATTAATGATACCCAGGGGTTCTCTTGGAATTTCTAACAACAAAACAAAGACAAAGGGAATTTAATCTGGGGGAGGGGGTTTTAACACGAAAACAGGACAATTTTGGTAAAAACAACGTAAGAAAATGGCTTGTTGCCTTTGACTAATGAAACCCCTGGATACTGGTCAAGTGTGAATAAAACAGTCTGGCTGTCTGGCTATGTAAAATATATCTTTTGGACATAATGAATAAAATTTCACTTTATTTCCCACTAAAGCAACACTATACAAGTTGATAACTGTCCAAAAGGTTCAGTTAGGCAGAAAATGGCCTCTAGTCAAGGTATAATTACTATAATTTGGCCATAATTTTAAAATAGAAGTGAGAATTGACTTATGATCTCCTGGGGTGAAAGAGGATGAGATCCTTAGAAAATGCAAGGTTTTTGGTTGTAAATAGACTCCTAATGAAGTGATAAAAATCATATAAACTTTTGAAAAGTTATGTTCAGAGAATAGACCATTATTGTAAAGATTTTTTTTTTCAATTTTTTAGTGAAATGTAAATTGGGGTAAACTATTTTTTTTATATTATCAAGGCAATGTCAGCTTTCAACAACTTTTAGTGCAACATGAAAACCACAAAATGCTATGGCAGCTGAAATACTATTTTCTGGCTTAATGGTGCTGAGCCCTGATTGCTACTTCAAACTTAGTTAGGAACTTTACCATGTTCTAAATTGGAATTTCCTGAATGGAAGTATGTAAAGCCAGACTTACTGAGATAAGTGAAACCTTATACCTTTTCACAGTAGCCTTTCATGAAGGATATCCTTTGAGAATCAAGTAGATTACCACTAGTCTGAGATCAGAGGTTTTAATTGATTGAGGTGGGTGTTGGTATTTCCAGCCTGTCTGGGTAAGCTGTTTATGAAAGGTTAAGTGTAATTTCTGAAGTACGATGGCTCATGAGGTACTTTATTATAACATAAAATAATATCTACACGTATAGTATATTTTTAGATATACTGTATTAATATACATTTTTCGGAGGAATGTGTGACAAAAAAAAAACACAATTTATTTTTACATGAGTCTATACGATTTAGACTGATTTGAAGCATAAATTGCCTGCAATATCAAATACCCTTTCCGAGACAGGTGATGAGTTTTTAGGGTGCTGTACTTCAACTCTTTTTAATTAAGAGATCTCAAAATAGAGCAAATAGAACCAACACCCATCTCAATAATTTAATCTCCATACTAGGCAAACTACCATATTTAATAAGGGCTGAAGAAATCTCCCTGACTTGAAACATACCCTCAACCCAAAATGTGGGAGAAATATTAGTACAGATGATGTTCTTAAGAGTTGTAAAGTCATACCATTTACAAAGGGTATGATTCACAAAAAGGGCATTGTATTTATTTGTCTAGCATATACTCCTAAGATAAGTCTTCTATTATCATTCTGTTTACTTTTAAGATGTAGTCATTACATAAGACTTTAATCCTGTTAATTACAATGCTATATGTGAAAAATGTAAGATAATGTTAACCCAACCTAAGAAATCTTAAGTTGCTGGTTAAACTGTAAATATAAATCTGTGAAATGTTGATTAATGGAGACTTCTTTTAATCTGTTTAGTAAACAGTATCAATTTTCTAAACATTCTCTGAGAGATTTATACAAGTTAGGAATTGTCCCTGTTTTCCCTACATAATAGCTGAACTATAGAAAAAAGTTGTAACATGATACAGAAAATCATGAGAAAATGCATGATAGGAATCCTGAATGATAAAATATTTCTTGGTCCCTTTTTTTACTATTAAATATTTGATTTGTATTGTTTAAGTTGATATTACATAAATCATCCATTCTTTGGCTTTTGTGATAAAACCATGTATCGGTAATTTGTTCTATTAGGAACATTGTAAAAGAGGAAAGATATTCTAAAACAATATGTATTCTGTAAACTGTAAAGGAAGAAAAAGCACACAATAACACCAAACAGTCTTCCTCTGCATACTAATTGTATGTAGTTAGCATGAGATAAATATTTTTCAATATCTATTTCTAGTACTACTACAGTATCAAGGATATCTCAATAGGTGGAAGATGTGTCTGTAACGGCCACGCAGATGTCTGCGACAAAACTGATCCAATGAACCCTAACAAACTGATCTGCCGGTGCAGAAATGAAACCAACACATGCGGTGATCAATGTGACGAGTGCTGTCCTGGTTTTGTACAGAAGAAATGGCAGAAGAGCTCTCGATATGTTACCAACCCATGCGAGCCTTGTAATTGCCACAGTCACACCACTGAATGTGTGTACAATGAAGAGGTTGCCCAGAATAGGACCAGTTTAGACATCTATGGTAAGTGACTGTTCAACAGAATAGTACACATACAGTATTGATGAATACTTCAAAGGCCTTCTAATTCATTTTCAACAGAAAAGGTGACTTTTTAAGCACACGATTCTGTACCACCAATGTTCAGATAGGGAAAATATACCCCATATACCCCATAGGACTAATTTACGATTCTTATTCAAAATAAGTCCTAATAAAAGATAATGGAACAATTGAATGTTTAAGGTAACTACGAGGGTGGTGGTGTATGTCAAAACTGCCAGCACAATACTGAGGGAATCAACTGTGAACGCTGCAAGTTTGGTTACTACAGGCCAGAGGGTACTCCCCTCGACTCCCCATTTGTGTGTGTGCGCTGTCGTTGTGACCCCACTTACTCTACAGGTGACTGTGAAGATGGTACAGGGCGTTGTAAATGTAGGCAGGAGTACACCGGGGAGAACTGTGACAGGTACTATTGATATATTGGTCAGATCTGTGCCATAGGCTTTCAAATGACTGGTCAAAATTGAAGTATATACTGATTTTCATGTCATTTTAATGTACATAGTGAAAAAATTAGATGGACCAAATCAACACTTATTGGACTTGAGCATCTTGGCTGGAGCTTACGTTGCAGCATGATTGATTATACATGCACTTCAAATCTCCACCTCTCCCAAAATAATAAGTCCTAGATACTCTACAGTATATATTGATCTTGTTGATATTGATATTGATCTTTGGATAAAATAGTTGCATCACAAATGATCAATATTTATTTGTTGTTATAGATGTGCTCCTGGTTACTATGGCTACCCAAGGTGTGTACCATGTGACTGCAACGTGAATGGAACACAACCAGGGAACTGTGAAGCCATCAGAGGAACCTGTCCATGTAAGGTTGGCTATGCTGGTGACCTCTGTGACCAATGTGACTATGGATACTATGGATTTCCCAATTGCAGATGTAAGTTTTATTTTTTCCAAAGGTGCAACCTTTTTAATGTTGCCCATGGTTCACAACACTTTAGAGGTAATTCAGGTGACCATTAGCTCAAGGAATCATGATTTATGTAGTATTCTTAAGAACTTATCTCCCTGATCATGTGTACACAATACAGGTGACAGGGGTTGAAACTTCCATAAAGGCCATTACATTTAACTTTTTATCTGCATCAAAACTGTAATCTGAAATAGTTCGAGGATATTGTGGCCTGTCGATAGAGATTCAATGTGATGTTTTCATTGCAGCCTGTGCCTGTGACAGAACTGGATCTCTTGGTAGTGGCTGTGATGTCACAACAGGTCAGTGTACATGTAGCAACAGCTACGGAGGACTAACATGTGGGGAATGCGCCAATGGCTACTACAACTTCCCATCATGTGACTACTGTGGCTGTGATATGATTGGCTCTGCTGAGGAGGTTTGTGACAAGTTGTTTGGACAGTGTATCTGCAAGGAGAACTATGGAGGGGACAGATGTGATCGGTGTGCACCTGGTTACTATAACTACCCAACCTGTATGGGTGAGTATGAGATTTCTTGAGTAAATGAATAATGTGAAACAGGTCATTTTTGCAAGACCCTAGAATAAGAATTAGATTTGCCATGTTTTTTTGTCTTGTACATATTTCGAAAAATTGCAGCAAATTAAAGGGTTGGATCTAGAATAACACTTTGATTTATCTTTAGAGTATATGTCAGATAAATAAATACAGGGTTGTCTTTGTGAATGTTAGCCTTTGGTATAACTTAACCTTTTTAGATAAAAATAATTAGAATATATTATAGATCTGTGGTAGATGTGTTACAAGAAAAGTTTTGTTGTGTTATAATATCACAGTTTTGTATTTTATTGTATTATAGAGTGCCAGTGTACTGACCCGGGCTCACGTGGAAATTCGTGTGACGACAGAGGCCAGTGCTACTGTAACCCTGAATATGGGGGTCAGTTGTGCCAAAACTGCGCTCCAGGCTATTTCAAGTACCCAGAATGCAACTCTTGTGATTGTGACCCATATGGCTCGTATGGTATATCATGTGACCAAGAAGGGGGAGACTGTACCTGTAGATACAACTTTGAAGGTGTGAACTGTGACAAATGCAAGGAGGGTTTCTACAACTATCCAGTCTGTGAAGGTATGTTTGGAGTCAGTTAGAATCCACAAGAGGTAACATTGAAAAAACATGCATTTGATTTGTATAATTCTTATTGCCCTGGAGACTTGAGATACGATTATTCCAGTGAGTTGTCAGTTAAAAAAGATACTGATTTTAAGAAATCATTGTCAATGGTTAATCTCTGAATATTCTTAAAATGGTTTATTCTGTAGATTTATTCTTGGTAGTTCTAAAAATTAGACCTAGTAGTTTGAAAGTGTACAAATGCTGACATAAATGCAACGCTGTGTGTGGTTCTAGAGTGTAACTGCAACCCAGCTGGTGCTCGTACAATTCCTGGACTCCCAATTGGAGGATGTGGTTCCTTCAGTAATGGCCAGCTCTGTGAGTGCAAGGACAAAGTTCAAGGTCATATCTGTGACACCTGTAAACCAGGCTACTGGAACCTGAATGTCAATAACCCACAGGGTTGCGAAACCTGTAATTGTCACACTCCTGGAACAATAGGTGGCACTAGTGATTGCAAGTCAGCAGACGGACAGTGCGTGTGTAAGACATTTACAACTGACAGGCAGTGTTCCGATTGCACACCTGGGACATATGACTTGCAGGAGTATAACTTGTTTGGATGTACCAGTAAGTGCATTGTTTAAAGTTGCTATAACTGTATGAGCTACCAAATAAAGTCTGAATAAGAAATTGGCCCTAAGTCCATCTTTTTTCATTTGCTTCTATGATATGCATCATGCCAAATGTGTTCCTTAAACCAGGAAAGCAATGTCCTTTCTTTAATATTCCACTAATATTTTTATCACTTGGTTTTCTATCATATTGTTTGTTCTATGCTATACCAGATTGCCAATGTGATGTTGGTGGAGCACTGGACAACACCTGTCGCCAGTCAGATGGTCAATGTAGTTGTCGGCCACGTATTAGAGGCAGACAGTGCGACAAACCAATTTCCAAACATTTCTTCCCAACTCTTCATGAGAACAAGTTTGAGTTTGAAGATGGGCGCACAAGCACTGGTGGGAAAGTTCGCTACAACTTTGATAGCAATGCCTTCCCGGATTATTCCTGGAGAGGCTATGCCATCATGTCAAGGCTTCAGGTATGTAATGAAGTCTAGACAATAAATGTAACTGTATTTAAATCCTTTGAAAATTAAAATACATGTTCATATTTAAGAGTTGACTTATAGCATATGACTATGATACCTGCAATGCCGTGTTATCTGTAAAATGGGACTGTTCAGTCAAATTTTATGATTTATTTGTTCTTGGTGTTCTAGGAAGAGGTACTGGTAGATGTTGACATCACAAAGCCCAGTTTATACAGACTCGTGTTCCGTTATGTCAGCCGTAACTCTGCCCCCATCACTGCTGAGGTTACCGTTACACCTGATACCTCTGTAGATGCAGAGCAATCCAGCTCTGTGACATTTGAGTCGACTTATTCTCCTCAATTTGTGACAGTTGCTGGAACTGGCGGTATAGCTACATTTGTCCTGAACCCTGGAAGATGGAGCATTTCAGTGAAGACAGCCGAGAATGTACTTCTTGTAAGTTCAGCGTGTTTATCTATATCCTGTACTTCCTATGAGTATTGTTTCTGAAAATGCCAGATTAAAGTGGAAAACAGATATTTGTAAGATACTAACCCTGCCATGCTCCCTAGTGTGAGGTCTAAGATAATTCAAAAATTTTATGGATCAGTTCATTTTAAATTTCTTACTACTGTACTCACATATAAGGCAAATAGATATACATGCCTAAAGTATACTCACTTGCTTGAAGTTCTAAGAAATCTGGTCGCGAATGTGTTGCACAAAATCTCACTGTTCTGGGAGTTCTTAACCTTAATTATCCTTTATTTCAGGACTACTTGGTACTGCTACCACAGGCTTACTATGAGGCCACTATTCTACAGGAATTTGTTTCTCAACCTTGTGTCGTGCCTGACAATGGCCAACCATGTCGTCATTACACTTATGTTGATCTCGCCAACTTCGAGAAAGCACGTGCAGAGGAAGGTTCAGTCACTGTAAACCAAGAAAGACGTCGCGTGACCACATCATCTGATCGTGAAACAGCTGATGCTCTTGGGGTACCTTATCTGACGCCACTAAACCGCGATCAGAACTCAATAAATCTGAATGTACGTGTCGCAAAGAGCGGCCAGTATGTATTGGTGGTGAGATATCGTAATACAAGACCTAAACAGACTCAGACTATCAATTTTGATGTCGCTACCCGAGGAGCTCGTGGAACTGGAAGTGCTGACATGTATGCGTGCCCATTCAGGTAGGCTTCCCCCCTTTGTAAATGACAATACTTTTACACTTGAATATTTTTAAATATTATATGTATTATTTTCCCATTTAGTTGATTAACATTGGAGTTGATTAAAAATTATTAATGACTCTCCAGTGACCACTTATGCAAATCAATTGTAAAATGGTTTAGATGCATGATGCATGGCGGATTATGAACACATATTTCCATTTCTGAGTACTTTTATATTGGTCATTATTGTATTGATGTTCAACATCTTTCGTTTATGAAACTGAAGTGTGAATTTGAATGTTTCAGTGCCCTATGCCAACAGGTCATTAAGGATGGTGATGATATGGTAGGGATCTACACCATTGATGGAGACTACGCCTCTATTACAATCTCAGGCAACAGAAACACAGATCTGCTCTTGGTCAGTTTTACTCCCATATTTACCACAATTTACACATTTTGACCAATCAAAATCCAGGAAATTTTGAAATGTGATGATTCGATGATGATAAATAACTTGTTATATACCACATGGTTTCTTTCCTCTTATAGGATTCAGTGATTGCTATCCCCATTGCTGAATGGGATATCAACTATCTTAAGCCCAGACTGGAGTGTGTGCGTCAAGGCACTGTTTGTATGGAAGGCATGTACAGCAGTGCTACAGGTGCCGTCAAGACTGAGTTTGAATCTGGGGAAAATTCAGGACGTGTTTCACAGACTCTTCCTCCTAAAATCATAGACACATCTATCAAGGTGAGACACAAAATAATAATTTTTCATCATTCTTGTTGTTTTCATAATGTAAATATAAAAGTGCATGACTGAAACAGAAATTATATTATTTCTGTTTCATGAAATTTAATAATATTCATAAACTTGTTAGAGGTGAATTCAAATGCTTTACTGTTCTTTATATTTCCAGGTTGTGAAGTTGGATCGTAGAGAACCAAATATTCGTGTGAATGTTCAAGTATTGAATCCTGGGAAACATGTGTTTATTGTACAGTATTACCAACCAAGTGGCGTAGACTATGATATCAATGTCATTGTAGAAGCTGATGGCCAATCCTCTCAAGGTAAACATTCGAAAAGTTTTTCTGATAGTGCTATAGTCAATTTAGGTCGAATAGAATTGAGTAAAGAACACAAAAATAGGATCTCATTTAGAGGTGCAAACCTTCTTTCAAAATCTCAAGTGAGTATAAATTGCCCAGTTGTTTCAATACTAGGAAGATTTGAATGGTCAAATTGTTGCTGTGCATTTGAGGATTTACATTCATTCATGGTGTGGAGTTAACCATTTTAGACCAATTTCTTCACATCATTTGGTCAGGAATTATAATTCCATTCATTTGAACCTCTATTAATATATTTATTGGAACAAATATTTTCACTAAATTTCCAATCGAAGTACATGTACATGCTGCTAACAATAGGTAAAATGATTTTACTTCTAGGTCGATTCAAAGCTGAGTACTGCCCTGGTGTATCTGGATGCCGTGGCGTGATTACATTTGAGGATGTGAACCATTTGGATATCTCTAACACTGATGTTCGTATCATCTTTAACAACACTGAAGGAAGGACTCTATTTGTGGTTAGTACATTTTTTTGCTTTATATAATATATTTGATACTTCTATGGGATGTGTAAGATACTAGGTATAGCCATCATATCATGTATATCTGATAACACTATGAGTTTACAATATAAGTGTTGTGCTTAGTGTAGCTCTTACCTGTATTTGTGAAACCTTGCGTTCTAAATTCTTTGGATATTTCCTATTCATGAGATTTTCAAGATTCTATGTGTCACTCTTTGATATAGATCTTTATGTAATTTAATGACTGTGTATTTGTCTGTTATTGATATAGTAATGTAATATATGATTTAGGACTACATCCTCAGTGTCCCAGCTGAGCATTTCACCCCTAACCTTCTTGAGTTTGGCGCTATGGACAAAACTGGTCAATTCTTCACAAGATGTGCTGGTAAGAACTTCGAAATAAACCCAGCTGATGTTGGACCAGGATTCTGTCGCCGTGCTGTGTTTACCTTGACAACTGAATACAACAATGGTGCGTCACCATGTGGATGTGATGTCGATGGTTCTACCAGTTTCTCTTGTAATGAGTTCGGAGGACAGTGTCAATGTAAACCATACATCATTGGCAGAACATGTAGCCAATGTAGGACTGGATATTATGACTTCCCCAACTGCAAACGTAAGTTCCAATCAACTTGTTTATTTACTTAAGCTGGTATCTGTACCTTTGCCTATTGTTGTAACGCATAAAAGTTCATATTAAGCATTTGAGTGGTCAACATCAAGAGTGAGTTAAACCAATGGGACCCAAAATGCATAAGCATCTCAGATTGAACACTCATTTACAAAAGAAACCTCACTATAATTGAGAAAGTTAAAGAGTCAAAATTAGTGGGCTGTCACTCTGTACAGAACATGTGTATTTTTCAGTGTAATAAGGTTAGCTTATGCAAATGGGGTGTCATTTTACTTAAGTTTCAATTTTATTTTTCATTAGGATGCAACTGTCCCAGTGGCCTCTGTGAGCCAAGGACTGGGCGTTGTGTTTGCCCAGAGAGAGTGACAGGTGAAAATTGTGACACATGCTTACCTAGGACCTTTGGCTATGATCCCCTCATTGGATGTGAGGTAAGAACATTTTAATATTAGGTGAACTTTTCAGGCCAGGCAGTGCTAATAGAGTTTCTTAGAATTCTCAAATATTTTACTTTATATGCATTTTCAGGTTTTGTTAAATCATGTCCGATAGATTGAGTTGAGCCTTTGAAGAATCTTGTAGACATATCTGCTTCATGTATCTCAAGGTGATATAACTCGGGTTAACAGATTTTGTCCTGATTATATTATATAGCTTGATATCTTATCATATCAGAATTATTTTATTATCTTGTTATCCTATTCAGGACTGCAACTGTGACCGCCAAGGTGTAAGAGGTCGCAACATGAACTGTGATGTCAACACAGGGGCCTGTGACTGTAAAGATAATGTAGGTGGACGACGTTGCAACTTCTGCTTAGCTGGATATTATGGCTTCCCAGGCTGTGCTGAATGTAACTGTGATCGCAGAGGTACCATGCCAGATATCTGCGACCAGCAATCTGCAAGGTGTATCTGCAAAGAGAATGTTGAAGGTCGCCAATGTGAACAATGTAAACCAGCAACGTTTTATTTGGAGAGTAGAAACCCAGAAGGGTGCACAAAATGTTTCTGTTTTGGTGCAACGAATGTCTGTGAGAAATCCCAGTTGAGACGTAGCCAGTTTCGTCACATGGCTAATTGGATGGTTACGAATGTTTACGATCCACGCATTGATGAACGTGGACAGACAATCTCCTTGGAGGTGAGAGACAACATCATTGATGCAAACAAGGCTATCTATTGGGTGGCACCATCTCGTTACAATGGCAACCGAGTGACATCATACGGTGGTAAACTGACATACACAGGTAAGTGGATTGGCAATATATTGTTTTAATATGAAAATAATAACACAAACATTGGGCTTTCCTGTATTATATTTATATTTTACCATTTCAGACCAACATTTTTTATGATCTGTTATAACCTATATAAAACATGACTAACCCCAAATATGTTTTCAGTGCTATTCACCATTCCAAGAAGAGGAAATTCTGAGGGTTTGATTGAAGATGATGTGATCCTAGTTGGAAACAATATGACCATTGTTCATCTCTCAGAAACTCAGCCATCACCTGGTTATCCCCTCACAGTAGAGGTTGATCTGCTAGAGGTGAGCAATATTTTGAGGGGTATTTTGGGTGTATATTGCTGTTGCCTCTTGTATTATCGTCAGTCCTTTTATTTTCATTAAACATTTTTGGAGGTTAGAAGCATACTCAGTGTGGGCTGGATCTGTAGTCTTCCAACTTGTTGAATATTTTCATTTTTATCCTGTTGAGAGTCGAAAAATAATACTAGCAAAGGGCAAATTGCCCCCTACCCCAATGTCTTTAAAATTTCATTCCCTTGTGTACACCTGAAGTTCCTTGTTGGTAAGTTTTCTTCTAGTACAGAAATATATTCTACAGGAACTCTTTTACAAGATCTCTTTTACATATTAGATTAGTGTGAGTTTCTAATCACGTCATTATTTTGCTGTTGTTTTTTTGTTTTCAGAGACATTTCACTCACGCTGATTCAAACAATGATGTTTCTCGCGAACAATTCATGACCATCCTTGCTCGTCTTGAATCAATCAAAATCCGGGCATCATACTATACAGTTATCGAACAAGCCAGCTTAAGTGATGCATCCCTCGACATTGCCTCCAGGAGTGGGTCTGGAATGGCTGCACATAATGTAGAGGTCTGCGAATGTCCCCCAAGATATACAGGATCATCCTGCGAGTCTTGTATTGAAGGATATTACCATGGTAGCGGTCCATATTTGGGCGATTGTGTTGAATGCAATTGTAATGGACATTCTGATAGGTGTGATTCTGAGACGGGAGTCTGCGTTGTAAGTTGATCACAAATTCTTGTTCTCTGGTGTTATTTGATCATTTTTATGCAAATTCATGTTATTAATTAAATCATTTGGTATTTTGTCATTTTCTCAAACAGTCATTGTCTAAGGAATCAACAGTTGTTACACACATTAAAACACTTAACATACAGTTACACACACATTACCACATTGTATATTCAAGGACTGTCTACACAACACTGATGGACCCAACTGTGAGGTGTGTAAAGAGGGTTACTATAGAGACCAGAGAACCCAGGAATGCAAGATTTGCTCATGTCCACAGGGTGTTGAGGGAAACAAGTGAGTTAGAGAGTCTATTCATGATGTGTTAATATTTTAAACTTAGTGTTTAAGTCACTGTTTTGTGTGGCTCTTTTGTGTTATCAGCAACTGTATCAATTTCTACAATTCCAAGTGGTCATGTTTTTTCAAGCTAATGTGAACTCTAATGATCTGATGCTGTATGTATTGATATGTTGCAGCTTTGCCACCACCTGTGAGGTGAGCGGAGGAGGCACTGTAGTGAAGTGTAGCTGTAAGCCTGGCTACACTGGCCAATTCTGTGAGGTATGCGACCTTGGCTTCTGGGGGGACCCTAACATCCCTGGGGGTGAATGCAAGCCATGTGGGTGCAGTGGAAATATTAACCTCATGGACCCAAGCAGTTGTGACAAGGCCACTGGAGGATGTCTTAGGTGTATCAATAACAGTACTGGGCCAAATTGTGAACAGTGTGCCGATTGGTTCTGGGGAGATGCCCTTGCAAGAGACTGTCGAGGTTGTACTTGCGATCAGTGTGGTAGCAGATCATGTGATAAGTTCACTGGGACCTGTAATTGTCAAAACAATGTGATTGGTCGAGACTGTAACCAATGCGCCCCATATACATTCGGGTTCGATAGCTGTAATGGCTGCGAGAGATGCGATTGTGCTGAAGGATCTTTAAGTGATGATTGTGACATTAGCAGTGGCCAATGTGAGTGTGCTCCTGGTGTGACTGGACGACAATGCAATCAGTGCAAGAGGGGCTACTGGAATTATGGTCGAAATGGATGTGAAAGTAAGTAACATTCTAGTTATTATACACAATGTTGTATTTAAGATATATAGGTGATATTGTACCTTGAAGTTTATTGAATTTCAGTAACGCAAGACTTGATACAGCAATGAACTTGTAAATCAGCTTTGAAAATCATCCAAATTTCTCAATATTTTGCTTTACTTCCCATATCAATTAATAAAATAAAATAATGAGAAATTGTTATTTCCCTTTACAGAATGCGACTGTGAGTATGAAGGTGCTACAACTTGTGACCAGAGTACTGGAGAATGTATCTGTCTGCCAGGTGTAACTGGACCCAAGTGCGACATGTGCCTGCCTCGCTGGGCCCCAGTTGAAAATGAAGGATGTGTTGGTAAGTGTTTAGCCATTTATATACGACTCAGGATATATCCGGCTTCTGTTTTTATGAGTGAAAACCATAACATAGTTAATCAAATATTTCCTTATTCAGTGAAAACATTTTCCGTTTATGCTCTTCAGGCTGCGGGTATATATTGAGGAAACGATGAACATGTATTCCTATAAATACTTACAATGTAATGACACATTTGTTATACATTACATAGCTTTTCAACTCTGCTCTATGTTCATAATATTCTATGAAAACCAACATGTAAAACAAAACATATTCCAGAATGTGACACATGTACACATCTGCTGCTTGATGAGATCGAGATCTTGGACTACAATCTAACATATGTCATCAAGGACCTGGAGAATGTTGCAGTTGGAGTGGCTGCTTACAAACGTCTTAATGCCATTAACAGGACTGTAACCGAATTGAGGGTAAGGCCTTGGGTTTTAATTTCATTTGGCAGAGACAGTTTCAAATACTGTATAACATGAAATATTGCCATGGATATAAAGTTGCCGATTGCCGAATGTAAAACAGAAACGGCAACATAAAATACCGGAAATATAATTAAGTAATTGAAGATCGCCCTAGTGGGCGATAATATGGTGTCTAACATGTGTCAACTTACTGTAATAGGGTAATTTTCTAATGAGTATCAACTTACTTTACTTTAACAAAAATCATAAATAAAATACGATAAAATCGAAGGTTTATTCCCCAGCATTACAATTACAAAAAGTTAATAATAAAAATGTTGCAGTTAAAATGCATGCAGTAAATTCTACAAAATATTAAAAGGATTGTCATGTTAAAAAGTTAAAATGTCAGAAGATATAATCGTATCCAAGTGCTTTGGGAATCCCAGTATTAAAAGTTTTTAATCCCGATATTAAAAGTTTTTTAATCCTGGTATTAATTGTCCTGAGTCTATCGAATACGGGTATTATGTGAATAAATCACTCAAATTGTCACTCATAATGTCAGGTTTTCTGAGTCAGTCAAATGAAGGTGATTAAAATTCAGTTGTAAATCAAAATTATATTAGGGGTGTCAGCTTAGCAATGTTTTATTTGGCTTTACATTTAGGGGTGTCAGGTCAGCAAACTTTTATTCGGCAATAGCAATTTTGATTAAATTCGGAAAATAAAGCACCCGGATTTAATACATGTTATACAGTATACAATTATTGACCTCTCCAGAGGTTTACTGTCAAAATTATATCCCGAGACTGTAAACCGAGACCGTAGGTCGAGGTTTACAGTCGAGGGATATAATTTTGACAGTAAACCGAATGGAGAGGTCTATAATTGTTTTGTTAGTCCGAAGAATATCTTAGATTTTTCTGACCCTTGAAGTTGACTTGAAGTTGGATCCAGACCCTCAAGACGTTCATGTTGTATTTCAGTATATCGGCAGTAAGTTCACTCAATGGAGTCTAATTACTCTCCTGGGCGAAGTCCACTAAAAGCTTTGTACAACGTTTTAGATTTTTCTTCGTATTTTGACTGTCTTTACTCTCTAAGAGACTAATAATATCCTCATCTTCAACATTTTTGAAACGGCTAGTGCTAGCGGCGGCCATTTTATCGTCTGATTATGACGTCATTTTAGTGGAATGCTGGGAATATTATTCACCGGCAATGCATTGCGCGGTGTACAGTTAAAATTATTCACCGCTCGTTGACCAATCAGTATTTCAACTGAGGTACTAACAACACTAAATATATTTTGTTCATGCCCTTAGATGCTTAGCTCTTGTATATAGTAGCTTATGTGAGCCTTAAAAATTAAAAGAAAATTGTAACTGTTCACCATATTTAATGTTGATAGGATATTATATCATGCCTGTAATCAGAATTTATGAGAGGTGATCCTTCCTCCAGGAAAACGATGAAAAATATTTAATGTAATCCATAAAGATTGATTCATAAATCAGATCACACTCTAAGTGGCTCCCTCCACCAACATTGTTTTATTGATCAAAGAAATTTGAAATGAATTATTGATGTATTGTAGCCAAGAGTTGACAACCTGATACCACCGACAGCTGTGGAACTGGATCCATTGAAGAAAGAAGTTGAAGAGGCCAAGAGAATGAGTGAACGTGTGGGACGTAGGGTACGAACAGTTTTCATCTAGTTGTTGCAGTCAATATGAGCACTCATTTGCTTTGATATCACATACATCTTGTCTTTGAATTCGCAAGAAAGGCTAACTTTTTCTTTGTGATATCAATTTGATGTTGTCATAGTAGTATGTGTGTTTAAAGGATCTGAATCCACAGATCAATTCATAGACCAGTTAAAATATACTTTATATTGTTATAATGTTACCGATTTATATCCTTAGGCTGGTGATACAGTAGATGAAGCTCAAGGACTGAATGAAGACACACAGAATTTTGTTGAAGAGATAACAAGCATGGGACCTTCAGTTGCAATGTCATTGGAAATGTCCAGAAGTAAGAAACCTTCTTTGATTTTTGAATTTGTGAACTTGATGGTTACTGTTTAAAGGAACATGCCACCATTATGAAACTGGAGAGAAATGTCTATCAGGACGTTATTTAATTATATTCATACAAAATGCCATAATATGGAAATCCAATCATAATAATATGCATTATAATCCTACTCATATAGATATTAGATATTCACCCGATGTTTTCTTGCAGAGGCAGTCGAGTTTGCAAAGGAAGTCTTAGCTGACTTGTTGGGACGTATAGGGAACACAAATGTGGCTAAACTGGTTGAGGAGGCTGAGAAAATCCTCAAAGAGATTCAGGATAGAGATTTTACTGAGAGAGATGATCAGGCCAGAATTGAACTAACCGAAGCTATTGATGGTAAGATATGTTCTATCATTCAAAAATTAAGAGTTTGTCGAATTCAGCTTGCTAAGAATCGAGTGATAATACCTCGGTGAATTTCTGCACATTGTAATCCCTTTTACCATATGTTTTCAGCACTAAATCGTGTGAAAGATCTTGCCAAAAGGGCCAATGACCAGATGAACCGAACCATGGAAATCACTGATAACATTGATGACATAGAAGCTAAGCTCCTTGACCTCCAGAAGAACAACCGTAAATCAATGGATGATTCTATGCTTGCTGATGATATGATGCTTAAGAATAACATGACCATGAGAATGATCATCGAGGACATAGCCAAGTCTAATACTCTGAAGGATGACTGCAGGATGGTACTGGACATGGCAAAGGACTTACTTGAACAGGCTAAGGAATTCTTGAGGAATGCAACCATTGCTTTTGATGTAAGTATAGTTTACATGCCTGTGTATATTTTGTCCAAAATTTAAGTTGATGAGATTTTTTAAAACACTACAGTTTAGTTAGCAATGTATTGGTTATTAATATGCTATTAATTCATTTGAATCGTATATAAGTTATTATTATTAATAGTGGTCATTTAAGAAATAGAAATTATGAATTACGCCATAACTTACTGAAAGTGCATGTTCCATGTTTATGTTCCATGTTTAGGAGTTAGATCAAGCATCATCTGAGTTAGATGGGGCTATGCTTAAACTTCGTGATTTCATCAACACTCGCAAGATGGAGAACGAAAATTTGCGGCCATGTGTAGAGAAAGGTACAATCCATGCTAGGAATCTCACCTCTGATGCTGATCTCCTTGAGAAGTAAGTCAATGTTTGCATAACTTAACACTTGGGATTCTGAATGTTTTCACTGGTTCTGCACCTGTGATCTGCTGTTTTTTTTATGTCACCACCAAAAGTGGTACCAAAAGTGGTGACATATTGTTATGGTCTCCGTTTTTTTGCGACGGCGGTTGGTGGTTGGCGTCCGGCGTCTGGCGTCCGGCGTCTGTAACAATTTCTTACAACTTCCTATAACTTAACAAATACTGTTTAGACTGACTTCAATTTTTTTCTAAATCATCTACATGTTCTCAGAAGTTCAAATCTGACTTTAGATTTGACATTTGACCTTCAATGACCTTCTCAAGGTCAAAAAAGGTCAAAAAGGTTTGTTTTCAACTTGCTTCAAATTGACTAAAAAAAATTTCAAAATCATCTATGTACCATGTACTATGGTATTCTCAGAAATTCAAATCTGACTTTAGATTTGACTTAAGATTTGACATTTGACCTTCAATGACCTTCTCAAAGTCAAAAAGGTCAAAAAGGTCTTTTTTCAACTTGCTTCAAATTGACTAAATTTTTTTTTCAAAATCATCTACATGTTCTCAGAAATTCAAATCTGACTTTAGATTTGACATTTGACCTTCAATGACCTTCTCAATGTCAAAAAAGGTCAAAATGGTATTTTTTCATCTTGCTTCAAATTGACTAAATTTTTTATTCAAAATCATCTACATGTTCTCAGAAATTCAAATATGACTTTAGATTTGACTTTAGATTTGACATTTGACCTTCAGTGACCTTCTCAAGGTCAAAAAGGTCTTTTTTCAACTTGCTTCAAATTGACCCAATTTTTTTTTTCAAAATCATCTACATGTTCTCAGAAATTCAAATCTGAATTTAGATTTGACATTTGACCTTTAATGACCTTCTCAAGGTCAAAAATGGTCAAAAGGTCTGTTTTCAACTTGCTTCAAAATCATCTACATCTTTTCAGAAGTTCAAATTTGACTTAACAAGTTCTCAGAAGTTCAAATCTGACTTTAAATTTGACCTTTGACCTTCAATGACCTTCTCAAGGTGAAAAAGGTCTTTTTTCAACTTGCTTCAAATTGACTAATTTTTTTTCAAAATCATCTTCATGTTCTCAGAAGTTCAAATCTGACTTTAGATTTGACATTTGACCTTCAATGACCTTGAAAAGGTCAAAAAGGTCTTTTTTTCAACTTGCTTCAAATTTACTTAGTTTTTTTTTCAAAATCATCTACATGTTCTCAGAAGTTCAAATCTGACTTGACATTTGACATTTGACCTTCAATGACCTTCTCAATGTCAAAAAAAGTCAAGAGGTATTTTTTCAACTTGCTTCAAATTGACGAATTTTTTTTTCAAAATCATCTACATGTTCTAAGAAGTTCAAATCAAACCTTCTTAAGGTCAAAAGGTATTTTCCAACTTGCTTTAAATTGACCAAATTGTTTTAGGTGGTGACATTTTGGCATGTTAATGCCTTGTTTGATAACATGTATTTTGTTGAGCATATACTCTTTGGACATGCCCATTTGATAAGATATCTCATATTTTGTCTGCTATGAGTAAAAAACTATTGAGACAGTATTTTTCAAGACAAAATATCAATATATCCACATATACTGTATATATTGTATATTATCCCTTATAATCATGTAATAGGATATTATTTGCATATATATCCTACATTCATTCTATACTGCTAAATGTTAGCCATATTGACAATCAATCCTGTTTTCAGAACATTTGCTGGTGTTCGAAACCTGTCTGAAGATGCTCTGAGAGCAGCTAATGCCTATAAGGACATTGTTGATGCCATCAATGCTGCACTGAAGGCTGCTGAAGCTGCTGTTGATGCTGCAATGGAAGCTTTGACCAACTCGGAAGGACTGGGCGAGAGGGCTAGGAAGTCGAGAAGGAAGAGTGAAAGACTTCTTAGAGAAGCTAATGAAGCGAGTGATAAGGTACACATAGTAGTTGATGTTTATTGTAGCTTTAGTTAATGTAATTATTGAACTCTCCATAGTTGACTGTTAAAATCACTGCAAACAGAGAAAGTTTGAGGTTTATGCTAGAAATGAATAAATGCAATGAGCTCACGCATCTCGAACTCATGACCCCATGGTTACAGCGACAGTCACAAGGAAATAATGATTTTATTGTGGGTATATTAATAGAAATCTTACCTTAAGGATGCAGTACCAGGTCAGCGTAGAAAAAGTTCCAGACATTAGATTTTGCTCATATTTTTTACAATGTATCACTATGATGTTATCATCATCTACGTTTTATTTAACGCCGTCCTTACATTAGATGGACCCCAAAAAATAATGTTGGACGGAAAAATAAAAAACTCCAGAGTCCCTTGGACGCACTTTATTTTTACAGCAATTTCCCAAAACCTTACCTCTTAGAACACTAAAACAGTAGTACAAATGAAAGAATATAAATTGGCCTACCTTGTGAAGACAAAATCTAAGTATAATAGGCAGATAATCAGCAGTGTTAGAGAAACACTGAGATAATTATCTTACTGTAATTCGGCCACCATTTTGATTGACCTCTAAAACCAAAACATCATTGCTTTGAGATTAATGGGTCAGTAGCAAAAAACCTTTATCACTGTCCTGCCATCTTTCAATGGATACTATTATTAACAATTAGCCTACACATAAACTTGACAACAAACTGTTTAATTAATACAATTGATCTTTTTGGCATTATCTTACATCATAGTGAGAAAGCACAAAGGGCAACATTTGAAAACAAATAAAATATTACAAGTCAAAAATACATATCAAACTATTGAATGTTGATCTTTATATTTCATTGAGATTGATAATGTGTCAGAAAGGAATATTGAGTTTATTAATTTACATCAGAGTGAGGAGGAACAAGGGGCAACATTGAAAAACAAAGTAATTAAGAAAAAAAATTAATTACAATCAATTATGTATTATAAATATTATTATTGGAAATTTTTTGCCGAGATATGCCAGAATGCACCAGAGAGGGTCTAAATTACAAAATTGTCTGAGCTAGTATGTACCTACAGTACATGTATGTGTATCATTTGAACAGATTTAGATAAAAAGAGGAAAAATTGAATTATCATTACATCCTTCATGTATTGACAATGATGATAATGAACATTATGAAATGTTACAATAAATATGTTTATGTAGTTGTAAGTTTAGTAAATATAAAATCACTCCATAAGACTACATGGTAAAAAAGACAAAAATGCCTTAAATTTGTGTTACTTTAGAAAAAAACGAGTACTTGAATTTGCTTTATCCAATTTTTTCATTTTTAATTAGTTTCAGGCCTTTAATTTTTCGGACCCACTTTTTTTGGTTTGGACTCCATTTTTTTTTACCGTGGGGTCCATTGGACCCACTTTTTGGTAACACTAAATAAAACGCTGCATCATCCAAGTGCAATATGAAGAGGATTGGCCGTCTGGTAATTACAAAATAAAAAAATTATTTTACCCACCCAAAATGAATCTTTTTACTTTTTTGAGTTTTCAATAGAGCTGGCACCTTTCGAACCCTGGTTTTCGTATCCACTAATTGCGACTCAATAACAGGTTTTCCCATAAAAGTGAAAGGAATAAAATATGCTTGATAAAATGTTTGCAATTTGATTCTTTTCTGGAAACACCATTATCGAAATAAACTATAATTTTTGAATAAGACTAAATGCGAAAATGACGTTCTTGGGAGCTAGCTTCCTCAAACCGGAAGTCAAACCTGCGCAAACAGACGTGAAAACCGACCCGGTACTGCATCCTTAAAATATGTTTTGTGAATGTGATGTGAATGTGATGGTACACATTTCGATGCAGGTGGAGAATGACTTGAGGAATCAGTTGGATAGTGCTAAACAGTCTGTGTCAAATCTAGATGATCAACTTAAACGTGCTAGGGACTTGCTCAACATGCTTCTTGATGGATTAGATACACTGCCTGAAGGTACATCTTCTATATGTATAAAAATCCATGAGTATGTGTATCATACATTGTATGATTAAAAGATTGTATGTATATATTTTATTATTTTATTTATATTATTCTATGGTAAAATATATACATACATTAAAAGTTAAAACCATGAATTAGCACTTAAAATTCTATTGAAATCAATATTTTCCAGAATAACGTATAGAGAATTTTAACTTATTTTTTATAACCAGTATTATGAGGCTTTGTTTTACCAGTTTATCATATTCCCCTGACTTAAGAATAAATTGGAATCTATTCATAATACTGTAGATGGTTTTGGTGAGGAGGCTCAAAAAGCTGCTGATAAAGCAATGGATGCTCAGACCAGGGCAACTAATGCCAAGGACCAGATCCAAGACATCCTCGACGAACTACCTGAAGACAAGATCAAAGTGCAACAGATCCCTGAGGATATCCTGGCAGCAAATAAGGCCATTGACAGAGCAAAGGCACAAGGTATGGTTTATTAAAGATATCCACTTGTTTTGAATCAGAATTGAGTGTTGAGTGTAATGGGAAAGGAAAAAATCTTAATCCTAAAATCCTAGTACACAAATATTCACATGGATAAAAATAACTAATTTAAATCAAGACAAGATGTGTTGTGGGGTATTACATCCAAATGTAACAAATGAATTAATCCGATTGATTGTTGCGTGTATTTTATTTTAATGACATTTCCTTGATATTTCCAGTGGAAAAGGTTCAGGATATGGTACCAAAAGCAGTTAACCTCATGGAAAATCTAAATGTAACCAAGGAGATGGTAGAAAGATTGGGAAAATCTGTCAAAGTTGACCTTGAAGACTTGAAGAACAATATCCGACTGGCTAGGTTTGAAGCTAGTAGAATCAAGGTTGGGGTGAGATACAAGAGCGATTCCACACTTCAAGTACGTAACCCAGATGGCTTGGGTGACAAGGGATCTCGAACACGGGTCGAGTTGTTTTTCAGAACAACAGAACGCGATGGCTTCCTGATGTACCTCGGCTCAGATGCACCTAGAAGTGGCCTAAACATAGGAGTAGATTACTTCGCTCTTGAGATTATAGATGGAAAGGTTGTATTCAAGTATAACTTGGGATCAGGAGCTGCGGTTATCACACACCCGAAGGATGTTGAGAAAGATAAATGGCACCATGTGATTGCAGAAAGAAGTGGCAAAAAGGGTACATTGTTAGTACAGACACCAGAGGATCTTGATGAAGAAGAGGCAGTAACTGTAACTGGAGAATCTAGAGGCACCATGTCTATACTTTCTCTCGATAAAGAGACAACTAAATTCTTTGTGGGTGGTGTACCAGATACCTCAAATGTAAGTGTACATGTACTTGTGGGGCTGGGTCAATATATTGTTTTTGTTGATTAATGTATTGAAGGATTAGACCTCTTTCTATCTCTTTGTTAAAACTAATGGACTTTGGTTCTTCTTCTGAGCTTGGAAAATGGCAAAAATGTTACAATGTGTTCAATGAGGTATTTTCCTTGCACAACTAACCATCATTCTAATATATTAAAATAATATTGACAGTAATGTATCTTGTTATTTCAGATCAATGATATCATCAGCCGTAAGTTTGTTGGTTGTATTGAGGATGTCACGGTTGACTATGTGCCCATTGGGTTGTGGGACTTTGTTACAGCAGCGAATATAGATGAAGGATGTAGTCCTAGGTGAGTTTATACCCTGATTCCCATCAGTTGGCCACACCAGCTTCTGATTGCAACAAATGGTTTTATATGATGCTGATAAGATGGAAGATCTTAACTAGCTTTCATGAGCTTTAACAAAAGTTTTAAGAGCTACTTATAAATACTTATCAGGCATTACCTGTAAGCAAGTCATGCGGCTGACAACTCCTCCCCTTCCGGGGAATGATACCTAACATCTCATCCTCCCCTTCTGGAAAATCATACCTTAACATCTCATCCTCCCCTCTCTGAAAAATCATACCTGATTATCTCATCCTCGCTTTCTTGGAATATCATACCTGAACATATCATTCAGTAGAAAACTGATCCTCTAGGCAGCTCATCCCTTTTTCAAATAAAGGTTGATGTCTTGAATGAAGTCATGAATATAAAAGAACATTTTCATTTACAGGAAAAAGCCAGATGCGATTACTGTTAGTGAGTACAAGTTTGATGGCAATGGGTACATTGTCATAGATGCAGCAAGATTCAGACCAGCTAAGAAGAGTAACATCAAATTGAAATTCAAGTCATACGCACCAAATGGACTTCTATTCTTCATGGGTAAAGGAACAGATTTCATGTCAATTGAACTCAAAGATGGGAAGGTAATTATTTGGCATTATTGGCATCTATAGCATATATCTATTCAGAAAATATTAATATTCGTATTACATACTAATAATTCAATAATACAATGTTGCACATATAAACAAGGGAAACCTTCAAACTTGGAATTATGTTGTTTTCAGATTTTCTACCAATATGACCTTGGCAAAGGAAGAGCTTTCTTGGAAACTCCAAAACGCTACAATGATGGACAATGGCATGAAATCCAGGCTATCAGGAAAGAACAGTCAGGCCTTCTTATTATTGATGGAGAAACAGGTACATTTTGTCTAGTTAAAATAGGCTTGATATTATTTTTATGATACTACTAATTTATTTGTTCATATTAGCATTTCTATAGTTGAAATGGAATTGCCTTAAGCGCTGTCACTCGAAGAATTCAGTGTGTTAAATTGTATACTTGAACATTACTTGAACAGTACTTCAGAAATCTCCAAAGAAAAATTTCAATGAAAATATCTATGATTAGTAAATATCTGTGAGGTATCAAGGACCTGAAGGGCCAATCAGATTGCTAGCTTTGCCATTATTTAATGAATTTATATCCACATAATTGTTTTTTAAACATAATACTCCCTTATTGTAGACAAAGTTAGTGGAATGTCTCCTGGAGATATGAAGGAGATGGCCTTCACCAATGAAGTGTTTATCGGTGGACAAAGGCTAGGGTTTAACTTCCCGTAAGTCCACCAATAGAGGGCCATGCTAGTTAGAGAATCCCACACCAGGGGGATATTGATGTTGTATTTTTTCACTAGGTGGCATGCTGAAATGGATGTTTGGTCATAGATAGAGATACTCGCATTGTACTGTAGTTGCATGCATTTTCAGTTTTAGGCTGGTTTACACTTTTATCACTGATAACTCTCAAACTTAGTGGGGAAGGCTCATCGGAGAGATGTCCCCAACCACTCAAGTAGCACGTGTTATATTCACAGGGAGAACCACGGTATAACTCATAATTATTCAATTGTTTTTATCATTGGCATGGAAACATGTGTATTGGGTACTTTTAAGAACTATCACTGCTATTTACAAAAGTGAAGATTCAGGACTCACTATTTATCTGTGTTACTGCAGATTAAGGACAATTTCAGTCAGCTGAATAGATAGGGTTAACTAACCAACATACATGTACTCTCCCTGTGAATTTTAACTTAACATTCAGCTTTCACATAGGAATAGTGGCTGGGCCAAAAATGTCAATTTACTTTCATGTAAAATTGCACATTGTATTTGACCTGGCCCTGTATAGTGTTAACCACATGTACATTCAACTTATTATGAATGCTAATACTTCTTATATTCTTACTGATGACAAATTAAAGGATGCTCTAGTTATTAAACATCATGAGGGCATGTTTACAAATCAAGTAGAGAAAATAGGGGGAAATAATTTTGTTTGCACTCTTGTGTAGCCCCTACCCACCTAAGAAATATACCAACACAAGGGTAGGGAAGGAAATAAAACTTATGTCATGGCATAATAATTATCAAGAAATCAGACATTTCAAAGACAACATAAGTGGGTTGGAAATATTGAATATGAGGGATAGAAATATGAATAATGGGACGAAGAAAAATGGAATATGATGATCTAAAAGATGAGGAATCTAAAGGCAAAAATATTGAATCAGAAGAACCACCACCAATGTCGCATCCCCCACATTTGAAACATGCCCTCATGGTATATCAAGCATGTCATGCTCCACATACTGCATGGATAAGACCTATTAAGGCTGAGTTTTAAAACTAAAAATGCAAATTCTACTGTGGCATATATGGCCTGAACACTTGACAAATAGCGAAATTTTGCCAGACTAAAACATGATCAGAGAGTGGTTCAAAATGTTCTGATGAATTTGCACATCCAGATGCAAATATACTTATCTGCCTCACTGAATTTGCACTTTGAGAATGTGTCAGTTACGGCTTCTACTTGTTCAGAAAGCCATCTATTGCTAGGAATGGTTACTACTAATATGAATGTGTAGTCTATTAGTTGCTTGCATTATTTGTAGATTCACAGATAAGGGGTGATTCACCAGGAGATATGACTGAAATGTCTTTCACAAATGAGGTTTTTATCGGAGGAATGCGGAAAGGCTTCAGCATTGCGTAAGCCCTGTATTCAGAAAAAAATATCTGGTTTTATTTTCCTCACTTATTATTTAGAGTCGATGTTGTGGTATGTTATGGATGGTGTCAAAATATCAACAGTTGTGGAAGACTAAATGACAAGTTTGTTTTGTAAAATGCTGAAAATATTCGTTGAAGGGAATATAATAAGTTTTCACAACTGTTTATATATTTGGCCATTATTCCTGGTATAAGCCTGAATAGAACCAGATACATTTCTGAGATCATATTTCTGTCACTTGATGTTGAATCAATATGTAGACTGTACCTATACTTTTTGAATATCTTGTATTTGAATTATAGACTCTCCAACTTTTTGGAGCACTCTGTATGCTGTAGTTATACTATTTTGTGAGTGCTATAGCATAAATGACAGTCTTCATATTGAACTAACAAAAAGTACAGAAAATGGTCCATTTAACATTTCTTAGTCATATCTAATACTTACTAAGTCATCTTATATAGTCGTAAAATGCCCTTTGTAGTATTTGAAGCTGAGTTAACTGAAGATGTAATAGATCAGCTGGAAATGGTTGGGGAATATTTTATCGGAGGGCTTCCTGGCCACATTGCAGTAGAGTAAGAAGTGAATGTGCTGCACATGTTTGTCACATTTGGGGTTATGTTTGATTGTTTAACATTTGGGGCAGACTCAAGTTTTCGGGTTTACATTAACATCATTTAGGGGTTTGACCGATAAAGATTTTGTGAGATCAATGCGTTTGGTTGGTGGCTTGGAATTTCACTAATTTTTGTGACCACACCCACTAATATTTGATTCGTTTAGCATAAGGGTGCGATGACATTGTAATAACATGATTTGTGAAAGTTTAATACTGGGCACTTATGTGATTGAATATGTATTCAATGTGAGAACTTTTACATCTGTAGTCTGATACTTGATTTAAACTAATTTTTTGTGAATATTATTGATAATGTTTTCATTCTGTAAAGACATTTTTACATGTTTCTTTTTGTTCTCTTGAGTTAATGTATTTATCTTTACCCTGATTTGATGTTGATATTTCAGTGGTGTTTCTAGCCAAGGCCTCATAGGTTGCATAACATCTGTTCAGTTTGATGGCAATGAAAAGGACCTCGGTTCCAATTTAGAGGCAGTAGGAGTGTCCCCTGGGTGCAGTGATGTAAGTTAATATTTATCCCATACTTGGACCGATGTGTTATAAAGTTAGAGGTAGAAAACAGCCTTGTAAAAAGTTTCATCCGAAATATGTTTGTCTGTCTGTCCATCCATCTATCTGTCAACACATCGGTAGTTAATTTGAAATCCTCCTCAATAGTATAAATGATTTCACTTTTAAATTGTGTCTATATAACTTCTTCAATTGTTCCATAGATGGCTTCTCAAAACCTTGCCTCTTAACAATGCCATTTATCAATGTGTTCTTATTATTCATCTCTAGGAAGCCAAGGTGTTCTCTATTGAAGAGGATGCCCCGGGTTACGTAGCTATGCCCACTGTGAATGTAGGCAAAGTCTATGAGATGACATTCAGATTTAAGAGCAATAAAGAGGATGGTATCATGATGTATTCTGCTAATGACGATCAGGTATGTTTTGAGCAATAACATGTGCTTGAGTTAACGTGTCTTGTCTAATGGATCTTGTTTATTCAATAAAACCATCAAGAGTGAAGTAATAATGATATTTTTGTTAAAGTATCTTGTTTATTTAAAATACCATAAAGTAGTTGTCAGTAGGTTAAGGAGTCTTGGCCAAAAGGCATCAGGTACAACAGACACCAAGTGATTTCTTTGGTAGTTTTACCTTACTTTGTTGTTTACAATCATTTCCATGCAGAAATATTAATTTCTGTTATTTTGCTTGTTGTTTTCATTCATTATGTCTTATGTTAAAAGTTCTTATTGACGTAGCTTCGCTTTTGATTTTCTGCATGTTTGTATGATGGAAACTGCGTCTGTTATGATGAGAATTATCCTTCTTTTACAGTCTCAAGCATTCTCTGTGTCAATGGTTGATGGAAGGATTGCTATTGGTGTTGTGCCAGGCAATGGCAAGTTAAGCACCGTCAATTCTGGTGGAAATACCTACAACGATGGCAAATGGCATTATGTCTCATTAAAGAAGGAAGACCTGACGTGAGTGCCTGATTTTCCTTCAAACCTTTATGATCAGGACAATTTTATGAAAGTATTTGAACTGAAATTTACAGCTTATGAAGTCTAATGATAGGTATTTTGACTTGATAATCTATGAATATGACAATAATTGAAACCATGAAATTGGTATGGTATACAATTATATAGTTGTTCATTTTAAAAAATATTTAAGCAATATCAGAAAATTAGAATTGGTGGTTATAGAAACTTTGTCTTCCCAAATAAGACTTTGTATAGTCGCCAACTTTTTGTTTGTGGATGCGGTTGGCGTCTGGCATCTGTAACAAATTCTTACAACTTCCAATAACTTACAAATAATAATTAGACAACCTTTTTTAAGATAATCTACAAATTCTCAGAAGTTCAAATCTGACTTTAGATTTCAGACTTGACCTTCAATGACCTTCTCAAGGTCAAAAAAGGTCAAAAAGGTGTTTTTTTCAACTTGCTTCAAATTGACCAAAGTTCAAAATCATCTACAAGTTCGCAGAAGTTCAAATCTGACTTTAGATTTGACCTTCAATGACCTTCTCAAGGTCAAAAAAGGTCAAAAAGGTGTTTTTTTCAACTTGCTTCAAATTGACCAAAGTTCAAAATTATCTACAAGTTTGCAGAAGTTCAAATCTGACTTTGGATTTGAGATTTGACTTTCAATGACCTTCTCAAGAAAAGGTCAAAAGGTATTTTCAACTTGCTTCAAATTGACCAATTTATTTTTCAAGATCAGCTACAAGTTCTCAGAAGTTAAATCTTACTTAAAGATTGAACTCATAATATTATGAGCAACTAGGTCATGTGATGTCATGTTAATGCCTTGATATTATAGAATTATTAACTGGTCATGTGATGTGATCTGACCAACCACAGTGCATCATTGAAATTTGGTAAATTTCAATATTTCCAAGTTTATCATTCAATATTAACCCAACATTATCATGTGTTTATTTCAGTGTTACCCTTAATATAGATGACAAAGAGAACATCCAGGGACCTATTACAGGTACCAGACGTAGGAAGTTAAGCACCAACAGCTACCAGTACTATGGTGGTGTACCAGATGACTACACCATAGTTGAACAGAATATACCAACTGTCAAACCATTTGCTGGATGTATAGGAGATGTAACTGTTAATGGAAGGTAAAGCATGTTAAAGTATAACATAAGGACTCTTGCATCTTAGATTGGGATATCAAAGACTTTTGTGTCTCCATTTCAACAGTTTTAGAATTATGAAATGATCTTTTTGCAGATTCTTGCTACATTGAGTATTATAAACGATTTCAATGTTTCAATGTTCTTTTTTCCTGGTTGATACATGACTTAATTGTATGTTTCATTTTCAGAACCCCAAAATTTCCTAATAATAATACAGTAATTGTTTGTTTTAAAATATATGGACATTTTTCGTAGACTAAAATTTAGGAGTTTAATATTATAACAGCTTCAAACTGACAAAATAATTACTTATCTACTTAATATTATGATTACATCATTTTGAAAAATACTTACATGTAGAGAAAACTTACATATTAGCAAAATATTATTTTCATGTTTTGATTTTTCATGTTTTGTTTCTTTTTATTCTTTTTTTGAGTTGTGTTGTGTTTATTCAAATTTTTCATCAAATCATCACTAACCATGTTTCAGTTACCTAAACTTTGCTGACAAAAAAGAATCATTCAATGTACAATTGGCTGTTTGTACACTAGTTGATATGACACCCCCACCGACACTACCACCTACTTCACCTCCGACAAAACTCCCTTCAGGAGGTAAGGTCAAGGTCACTCATAGAAAAAGGCGGGAAAATGATCATACCCATTTCCCATGCTTGGGCTGCTTTGTTGGCGATTGACAGCATGATATAGCAGTAGCTTTCCATCCCATGTAGAACCTGTTGATGTAGCTAGAACACCATACATCCCCTGCCCCATGCGCCTATAGCTGCAAGGCTTTGTTATTTAGCTTTTAGGTTTCTAGTTCATCAACCAATGGAAGGAGAGATTAGCATGTTTGCCAGCCTGCACTTTTTGTTGCTTTACTGCTTATACTTATACACCATCAGTTCAGATAAGCTTGATGCTGAACCTTTAGCTCTATACATCTTACAGATTATTGGACTTTGGCGAAACTGCTCCTGACAATAGAGTGAATGTCTATTTAGCTACCTGCCATATAGAGGACCCTGAAACACCAGTCATAGACATAGACACTAGACCTTCACCTGATGGTGACATTGGTAAAAATACTACTGGTAAGATATTTGGGTGCGACATTCTTAATTCAAGGACCCGCTATACTTTGCTTGGTGCTTCGGATATTGCATCCTCTCTCAAGGTCTTCTCTTATGTTCAAACTAGAAATAACGGTATATTCATATATCACTATATCTCATTCTATGAAATACTGCAGGATTTATTGGAGACGTTATTTCGGAAGGAAAATTCCTTCTCTTTCAAAAACTTGCTTGTAATTACATCTACACATAGCTCCCTCCCTATCCCCACTTTCCCTCCCAAGCGTAGAACAGAATGAGACTGAAATTAGATTCCATTAGGCTAACTTAGAGTTAAACTATAAGCTATTCACTTATAAAGTTAATTTAAGAGTAAAGATCATTTATTTGTAGTGGTTCATATACATGTAATTTTATAATTGATCATTGAATCTGTATAAATGTACATTGCAATTGTACTAACAACAATGTGTGCTTTATAACAATTTGTGTGTTCTACATTATAACAATTTGTGTGCTCTATAACAATTTGTGATTATATGCATGCTTAAATAATATGAGCTGAATGGTTTGGTTTTGCAAAATATAATTCACTGAAACTATTTTCATAGATTTTCTCATTAATTTGATTTATAATAGTAACTTCTAAGAATGTGCATGTATGTGTATATGGGATTGTGCTGGGTCACTTATGCTCACTAATGTAATATGTTCACGCATAGTTTTGCATCACAAAGTATTTGTCCTATGTTTTCGTTAACATCACTAGCACTGAACCATTTGGTATGCATTCTAACTTAGCCATTTTACTTTTTACATTTCAACCTGTTACTTTTTAATATGACAACTGTCTACTTTTTGAACATTTTAGAGATATCCCTAGATCTATTTTCTATAAAATTGTGAAAAGGAAATAACCAGTTAAAGAAAACTCAAGAATTTTGTTTCTCATTTTGATTTTGATATCACAACATCACAACATGCCCATATATGGCAAAAATATCGATGTTGCACTCTGGGAGCCAATCCTCCCTTGAGATATTCATAAATTTTGAAGTTGTTGTTGCTATAGGAATAATATATTTTTGATAGTAAAGAAGACATATGTTGTACATCTTGCAGTACAAAGGCAGCAGTACCAAAATTCGCCTAATACTATGCTTTACATGTGTATTAGGACTTTATTTTCAACATAGATATACACAATTAGGTGTAGATTTCTGATTCTCTTAGTAATAACTTTTTGTTTAGCTTTATGTACTGCATGTATACTAGACTATTTAATATGTGTGCTGTTATTAGGAGAGAATGATAGGATTGCATGTGTTGTATTGTGAATGGGCTGTTAGTAGCTATAGTAAATGGCAGTAATCTTGAAAGCAAGCCAAATCACTGGATAGATGAAATGAAGTCACCGCAATGTATTAGGCTTGCAAGGATTTTGCTGTACTTACATGTTAAATGTCTAGAATGCAAAATTTGCTTGCTTCGTGTCTTCCTATATAGTTAGATTGTACTGTGAACATAAGGCTTCTACCTCATTTTGCTATAGTTCAAACATAACCCACTCGGCTAGTTACTTTGTTTCTACTGACTAAGGTAAGTTTCCATAGTAACCAATATAGCAACAGTTGCCATGGTGTTGAATGTTATCACCAGGGATTCATTCATCTACAACTTTTCTAGAAATAATCACTCCACCACGCTACTCATACACGTGGGTGGAAGACTTCATCGCCCGAGACCAAGATGCATTCAAATTCCGAGTACGTGCTGGCGAACAAGCAAGAGTCCTTTTCTCACCAACTAGAAACCAAGCTGATGCTTCACACGAATTCATTATTGGAGGTGATAACAACCAGTACTCCTACATCCTAGATGGTTACCGGGGTAACGAGGTTGTCAGGGTTGAAACCCCAGATATTTTGAGTGGTTCAGACTATAACGATTTCTGGATTGATTGGACTGGTGGAAACGTCAGAGTAGGAAATGGACAGAATGTTGGCCAGGATATCTTCATGACATGGGATGATTCACGTAGATTTAGATCCGACAATGTGGGTATATCCACCTATGATGGCGTGACTGGTAACTGGATAATAGTGAGAGACACAGGTAATGGAAATGATATGATTTTATTTTTCAGCATACTGTAGTAAGAGTTGTACTTTGTTGAAGAATATGTGCACTTGGACTTGTACAATATTAATTCAATTGGCATGGACAATATTTAGGGGGTGGAAACATGAAGAGTATTTTTGTCAAATACAACAGGAAATACACTACGAAAACACAATTTTTTATTTAAAAAAAATAGGAAGGTGTAGATTTATTTGGTCTTCTGTTAATGTTGCCTAGTACTTCCACACCTGCCAATACATGCATACTGTTCCCAGTACATCGGGGAAACATTCAATTGTAGCAAGTTGACACCCTAAATTTTTCAAAATCAAAATATTTCTTTAGTTAACCCCACAATCTAGAAAAACTAGATAAATGGCTGTCAACAACCGAATGCCCCCTGATGTACTTTAACAGTATGAATGTATCACCAGGTATGGAATCACTACAGAATGTTTACGGGTTACCAAATAAAATTATACTGTTTGGATGAAAATACTTTCCATGTTTTCACACCCTGATATTAATGCACTTGGATGTGCACAGTATTAATGCACATGTTTAATATTAATGTACAAGAACTTGTACAATGTTTATGCACTTGCACATTGTGGTTCAATAATCCTGGGTAATCAGTTTTGCTATATATTATTCAAAAATGTTATGTACCTTATACATAGTAATGTACTATATTTCCTCACTAGTTGTAGTTAATTAAGTATCATTCCTGTATCATTCTGTATATATTTTTCAATATTATATAGAATGAAACAGGATTCTCTATGAAAATTCAAATATACCCTCCTCAGCAAAATCAATTTATGATAATCGAATTAAAAGTGTAAACCATTCAACAATTAGTGATAATGCACTTAAAGTGTAAACCATTCAACAATTGGTGGTAATGCACTTTAAAGTGTAAACCATTCAACAATTAGCGATAATGCATTACTGACAGGCATTTCATGTTTCTCAGATACTCTGTTCTGATTGGCTGAGACACATTTGGTATATTTGAATATTATATAAGATCACCATGCTGCTTGCAAATTATGCGCTATGACAACGTGCATTCTTGACATAAAAGTAGAGATGTGTTTTGAAGCATGACTGTGTGCCCAAATTTGTCTCATTATAATTATGCCCCAACATGCCTCAGAAGAACATTTGCTTTGTATCTGTTATCGGAGGTAAGTTTCCCTAGCAACCGATATAGCAATAGTTATGATATTAACTTTATCACCAGGAATTCAATCAGATACACCTTTTATAGAGATAATCACTCCACCACGCTACGAATACAATTGGGTGGATGACTTCATCGTTCGTGACCACAACGCTTTCAAATTCCGAGTACGTGCTGGCGAACAAGCAAGAGTCCTTTTCTCGCCAACTAGAAACCAAGCTGATGCTTCACACGAGTTCATCATTGGAGGTGATAACAACCAGTACTCCTACATCCTAGATGGTTACCAGGGTAACGAGGTTGCCAGGGTTGGAACCCCAGGATTTTTGAGTGGTTCAGACTTTAGAGATTTCTGGATTGATTGGACTGGTGGAAACTTCAGAGTAGGAAAAGGTAGCAATGTGGGACGGAATACCTTCATGACATATGATGATTCACGTAGATTCAGATCCGACTATGTAGGTGTATCCACCTATGATGGAGTGACTGGTAACTGGATAATAATAAGAGATACAGGTAATAGCCACACACCCAAATGAATATTTTTATCGCACATAAAATGTGCGATACTGTCGTCATTTTGTTGTTCAATATTGATACTCATTGATCAATACTAAGTGCAATATATGCATATGAACTTACAATATTGGATTATTAGTAGAATTTGTACAATATTTTAAATTACTTGTACAATATTTATCTGATTGGACTTTTACAATATTTATGTACTTGTACAATGTTTATGTACTTTGTGAATTTTGTGATATAATTCTGAACTGACTTGGGTGAATTCATGAATATATATACCGGTAGCAATATATTGCACGATAGCAAAATAGAAAAATGATTATCACAGCATGAGTGTGTGTCTGAATGAATATACATGTATGTGTGAATGGTATTTTGTATTGCTATAGAATATTAGTTAAGAATCCAATTTTGGCAGAGAGAAGAAACCAAATTGCATTCTCTATAAAAAATATTCATTATCTATTTTTCTAGTAGATATGTATGAAACAATGCAGTGTTGCATGAAGCTACATTGCCACACAAACTCACATATTGCCACACAAAATCACAATTGCCACATAAAGCTACAAAAATACAGCCACATTCCAATTATCGTATCATCTTGCAGAATGATTCAATAGAAAATTGTTTATTCACTATTCTATGATTATAAGTCTGATTTCACTATTTATGATGTATTCTTTAACCATGATTTATCTACAGTAATTTATATTTATGTGTTTTGTGTGCTCTAACTTATTGTATCTTTCTAATTACCTAATGGTGTGAGACTTCACTCTTGTTGACAGAATAGTTAATGACATATAATAACAGCACAAAATCAACCTATTGTTTCACATTTATGAAAAAAAAATGTACAGTAATGATAATCGAACATGTATTTACTATTTAGTCCATTGCTTTCATGAGTGACACATTTTGTTTTAGTAATTGGAAAACAGACATGTGCTCTACCATTGGTACCTGCAGTGCCTGAAGAGGGTGCTGTAGTCATTGGTACTAGGTTTGGACGTCAAGCAGACAGCCGACATGAATACGAATCAGTACCCGATTCTTATAAAATAAGGTACATACTATACATTGTTTAAACTTTTGCACATATACAAGCGAGGTTATGAAGGCCAATACCTGTTCATCTTTCATTGGTTCATTGCCTCAGAACCCTGTAAAAATCCATGGTTTGATACTCCATGGAGTTGCTGTTTCTCATTTTATTATACAATATCCAACTTGCGCATGCTCATGTGAAGGCCAAAGCATAGCATCAAAGCAGAACTCTCTCATGTATATCTTTATCCACTGACCACTGAATGTCATTGGTGTTTTGTTTGTCTCCAGATTCAACTTCACAGTAGAGATGCGCACCACTGGCACCACAGGGGTTCTCTTCTTTGCTGTAGATGGTAGAAGCATTGACTACATTGCTCTTTACATGCAAAATGGAAAGATTCTCTTTGCTTTCAACTGTGGCAGTGGACCAGCCGTTATTGAGAGCGAGGATACTTACAATGATGGCGAATGGCATAAGGTATTTATGGCACTGTAATTTGTATAGTGCCACATACAATATATTATTGCTAATTTTACCCATGGTTATGAAACATGTATAGTCTAATAACATTGTATATGTACTGTATATTTTTACTGAAGTAACATTATCAAACATTCAATAATTTTCCATATACTGCAAGTATCAAAACTTGACTTTACTTCTCCCACATGATTTGTCATTAGTTTTGTCACAAAATATTGATTTGACTTGTCCCATAAAAATTCCCTATTCATTATTCAAGGTGAGAATTGAAAGAGATCAGCGCAGAGGATTCCTCTATGTGGATGACAAGAAGGTGGCGGAGGGGGCCTCTCAAGGCAGATCCCGCTCAATCAATATCGGAGCAGGGCCCTTCTATGTTGGTGGTCTTTCACCTGAAGTATCAAAGAAAGCTATTGGAATCCTGGGTGATGCGAACCAAGGTTTTGCTGGCTGTTTGCGTAATTTCACTCAAAATAAAAAGTTGCTTGGTGAGCCTACTTCTAGTGTTGGCACTGAGGGATGTCGTGAGAATGTAGAGGTTGGCAGCTTTATCCCAGCGAGTGGGGGACATCTTAAATTATGTGAGTATTATTTGGACATAATGTGTATAAATAATTATAATAGGGACATCTTAGACTAAGTTGCATTATGCATTTGCGCCATTGAAACAGTTTAGGTTTGAGAACATGTATGGCAGTATTAATTATAAATTATGTTCCACAATTTTGATGAAATAATGCATTATTTCATTTACTGTTTTACAGATGATGCCTTCAAAGTCGGACTTGATCTTGATATCACCGTTGACATTAAGCCTAGATCTCGAGATGGTGTCATTCTGTCAGTAGCCTCCTCCAAGGGCGATTACCTGCTCATTCAGCTGGTTGATGGAAATGTTAGTTTTTAAAATATTTCAGTTGTATCAGATGTTTATTGTGACTTCCCAGTATATTTCTTATTGATCAGTACCAATTTTTTAAATTTTTTACTTCTGTGTATTTGTAAAAATGTTAATATTCTTTTTGGTATGAAAAACTTAAGGTATAAAGCATGTCTAATATACAGTAAAATCTGTCTAATATACAGTAAAACCTGTCTAATATACAGTAAAACCTGTCTAATATACAGTAAAACCTGTCTAATATACAGTAAAACCTGTCTAATATACAGTAAAACCTGTCTAATCCGAACTGCACTGACACTAGCCAAAAGTGTTAGGATTAGCAGATACAATGTATTCACATTTCAAAGTTTCTGTATAAGATGAATAATATGATCACCTTTTCAAACACAATGCTTTTTTCATCTCAGGTGGTATATTTGTTTGCATTGTAATCTTGAAGTATTGAATTTCATACCTTGAATAAACACATCAATAAGTCTTATACATTTGTCCTTGCATATTTTAGATCACTGCAGAAGCAGACAATGGTAATGGTACAATCACCGCCACCTATTATCCACCTAGTAAGAATTTGCTCTGTAATGGAATGTGGCATAGTATCGAAGTGAAGAAAGCAAAGAATCTTGTTGCGCTGTCTGTAGATGGCACTGGTGCCACACCGGGTATTGGACTTACAGGCGTGTCATCCACCGACACCAATGACCCACTCTACTTGGGTGGAGTGCCAGGTAGGCTCCTAAGGCATAATTCTAATAAAATACTTAGTCTCTTAATAGTACCTTCGAGATACATTCATATACACCCTTTCTTACATGTCTAGGAAAATTTATCATTTTTCTCAACAGTTATTTTGTTACTGGTTCTGTTTGTATGCATTAGAATATACAGGGCATCTAAAAATTCTCTAGACTTAACTTAATTATAAAGAGACTTTATGGACACACTGAATAATAATTAATGAACTAAAATTTATTTTCTCAGTTGAATGTCTTGGGAACACATTAAATCACATTTATAGTATCTAATTGTTTTGGTCTGATAGGTTAGATCTAATGCCAAAGTCATCATTCCAACCCAAAATTAATACTTTGTTCTTGTTGAAAAGATGGTAGCATTGGGTTCCTTGCATATGAACGGAGCATTTGTTATGTGTTAAGATAGCGGAACGTTCAGTCAAATGAAGATATTCACTATATGATTATTGTATTCCATTACAGCTGAAGATCTTGTCCCACGTCGTCATACAACCAAGCAATATGTAGGATGTATTCGCAATCTCAAACTTAACAGGAAGAACCAGAATTTGGCGATAGCAAGTACAACAGGAGAAGTACAGGTTAACTCCTGCCCAACAAATTAAATAATGACTCACTTATAAGACAATGCTGAATGGATTAAATAATGACTAACTTATTAGACAATGCTGAATGGACAATGGCTGTCTGAGGTTCCAAGTGAACAGCCATATGTCATTTATTCAGCATTTGTTTTTAATTGGACATACCGACCCCTGAAATGATAAATGGACAATGATTTCGTACTTTGGATCACAAAGCTCTGTGTACACTACCAGAGAGTCTGATTAGCAGATTATACACTGCAGAATATTTTAATAATTTTAGTAAATGGATTAAGTAAAAGGACTTTTAGTGAACAGTTTTCATGGAACGAAGTTTTTTATGTACTTTTATTATGTTTTTAAACTCTTGTATACTCTTAAAGTATTGATAGAACAAATGTTTTCTGGTTGTGTAGAGACAGATTTGCGGTCTGTCAATACAGAGTTTGATTGTCCAAATGTGAAGATGAAATCTGAAATAGCATGTCTCTTTCAAACACACTAAAAGCAAATGAACAAAATTGAAATGTAACATTTTATAGTTTTGTATGTATGAATCAAATTTGTATTTATGAGTCAAATGAATTTGAAAAATGTAATGAACCATTTTGTTACTAAATCTGTTTCATTGGTTTTGATGAATCATTTTTAGCTTCAGAATGAAAGCAATCTTGATGTGGTTATTGAGAATGCGTTTAGATTTTATTAGATCAAAGATTTTAAGTGTCTTAACTGATATAATTTTAGTTAAATTGTGTTAAGGCCTGTGAGATTATTTTTCGAGATTAATTTTTGATTCAGATCTTATTTTAAAGAATAATGACACAGCATAATTTTTGTACAATTTTTCACTTTTTCTATTCTCAAAGAATTTAGAGTGAAGCTACTTCTGGGCCGAAACGCGAAACATAATAGTTTATACTTCTCTCTTATTTTGGCAACCCTGGTTTCACTCCATATTTTTTTGATTATTGGTTTATCTTTTTTTAGGCAAAACATCCATTTATTTCCAGTGTTGATCTGATTTGTAATTTTGTAATAGCTTTCTGATAACTTTATATGCCATTTAAAGTATATTACAATTGCTGTTTAAACAATATGTTGGTTTCAAGTTTTCCATGCCTGTTTCCGAAGTATTTTATTTTGCCTAGTTATGGATCAATCACTAATTGATGGTTTAAAAATAAATCAAAATTATCTTTCAAACCTCTTGTTAGTTTTGTTTGTATTAATTATTTGCCCTCGAGGTCTGAATACCGGGACACTTGAAGTGAAGGTGACAAATCAAATTACTTGATAATTTTTCAAACCTCAGGTTGAAGAAGGGCGAGGGAATTTAAGCAGACCGTACATCAATAGGCCTCATATAAAAACAAGGCATTAATATGCAAAATGTCACACCTGTCATGATAGACACCGAACACAGCTCACGAAAAAGTTGGTAGACCATACCGATGTCAAGTGGTGACATTAAAACTGCATAGCCTTCACTTAGACCAGTAAATAAGATATGATCAACATAAAATAAACTCATGATATTTGTATGTGAAATAATTTATTCCCCTACCTATTCTGTAATTGATGGTACACAGTATAAAACATACAGTATGAAAATCTAGATATATCCTATCTACACTGTGTATTATACTCTACAATAATTTATATATTCATTATAAGAGCCCCTTACTGGAGAACAAGTTGTGATAAAGAGAATATAGTACAATATATAGACACAATATTGTGCACAATTGAAATATCCAATGATGTGTACAATAGACCCACGTTGGCACCAAATGGACATTAACTCTTCAGAATGTATTATTATTTCATGCACAGTTTAGATTGTTAAACCTAATTACTATTACCATCTCAGAACACATTCAAATTCAAATAAAATACAAACAAATTTAATGTATAAGAAATGAATGATCATGTTTTACGCCATCTGATCAGATCTTGACAATATGTGAATTGGAGATTGATAATACATTTTGTAATTTTTTCAATTATAAACAAGAGCTACATCTATCTAGAGACTTTTAATTAGTTAACAAATACAGAATCATAGAGAAAGAGGGTGACACAATTGCATGCAGTATTTTAAATTGACAAACCAATGTGTTATGTACCTTATCTCAAATAATCATCTCATGACATCAAATGGAAAAGATCTTAAAATTTAAAGAGACTAACTATATGTGTATTAAAATAAGTAGTCTAACGCAATGCACAGAGAAAATTCAGCTGCCAACTGCAATATAGTATCATCAGCTAAGATCTTAGAGATAATTTTTTTCATTTAGACAAATACATGTATATCACTTTGATTAAATCAAATAATTAACTAGAATTTCTTTGGTTCAACTAGGTGAGGATCTGTTGTATTCAGTGTACAGACTCATCAATAACTGAAATCTGTTTTACAGTAGATGAACTAAAAATAATATTCACGTTTTTTATCAATCTTATGGGAACAAATTAAAGCATGTTTATTGTTCAATTTACCACACCCATTCTAAATTTTCATTTTTGCAATTTAAAGTTATGTAATCCCTGAAATGGGAACATCTAACAATCTGAACACTTTTAGCCGATCAAAGAAGTGTTTGGATTAGACTGGTTTTACTGTTCTCTCAATTTACAATGGACATTCCTGTGTCTGTACTCCAAGTCTGGATAAAACGTACAACTCTTCAAACTTTGAATAGCTGTCCTATAAAAATGTACGACTAGATAAAGTAGTCTATAGTATTTATATACTCAACCAATTGTCTCTGATTCAACAAACAATAAGTGATCCGATAGCAGATTGGGGAAGAACTATAAAGGCATATAGGAAAAACACAATTAGTACAGAGAAGAAACCCTGAGACACACTGCATCCTAGATTTCATTTTCATTTCAAAGACTAGTAACATATGTTCCCTTCCCTAAGAGGTAGTCAAACATATTTCTCTTTCAGTCAGTTGGATAAGTGTTCCATTGGCATGATCTTTTAAAAATAATTCATTACTATTAAGCAAGTTGCTAACTGAGTACAGTACATGTAATGAAAATCAATGAAAACTACTATTTCCACCAAAATTACTATTGCAATATACTTGCATTATTAGTAAGATTTATCTCTATAAATTTTATACCTTGCGAATGAATGATTCTATTGTTGACATTAAAGAATTTGAGGGAACTGAATACATGTAATGAAAATCAATGAAAAATACAATTTCCACCAAAATTACTATTCCAATATATATTTGAACAGTAAGATTTATCAATATAAGATTGGATAGATATCAACTATTCAAGCTTGACTGCATAAAAGATACTTTTGACCAATTAAAATTCTATACAATATCATGATCAAGTCCTTAATTCAAAAGAATTTCAAAATCAAAATTCCATATGTAGTAGGTACTTCTATTTTGAATTCAGAATTTAATGTAACGCAAGACTTTCAAGTTATACAGTCAATCTAAATCTACTTTCATCTACTTTGTAAGATGTAACTTTATTTTTTCTCTGAAACATTCACTGGTCATGTGATATCAATGCATTAAGGTGTGATTTAACTTTTGAAACCACATATTCTCTCATTAGCAGAAAGATGGTAGACAGACAGCCAAAGACACTCTGCTTCCTTGTTTAAATTTAAGCACATCCGATTGCACAATCAAGATGAAATAGATGCATGGACTGATTAGAATCACCTTTATTCACTCAGCTGTAGAGGGTTCAAAGATCAGAGTCATATGTGCGCTTGAGTTTAGCAGATTGGTTAATGGGATATCCATCCCGACTGTAATATCATGATTCTCATCGTAGACTGAATCTTTCAGACTAGATAAAACACTAATTAGTAACATTTCAAGCGTGGGTCATAAATCTGGGAATCTGTTAGGATCTTCACTATAGTCCTTAGGCACTGTGAAGAGAGTGTCAGATATATTAGTTCTCCATTCAAAGTCCTGAAATGTCACTTTAGCTGTAACTGTTGGGAAGACAGGAATTTCTGAAAACACAATTTGGTTTCATATTAATAATACATCAAGTACAGTTGCTGAATATTAGTGATAGGTTCAAATATAAGCCTCTTGTCACATTTGCTCTATGGTGGCTGTATGGCAGTTGAGCTTCACAAAATCGATATAGAAAATCAACACTGTACTATATTTTATGCTGTATATTACTCTTGATTTTGGGAAGCTACGGCCACTGTACGGTTGCCGTAGATCAAATGGGAATGAGTCAGTCCCACTTTTATACGGCACCTGCATCACTTGATGCAAATCTTACATGGTGTTGTAAACAGGCAAAGCTCTTTAAAATGTCTACCTGAAACAAAAAAGTTTGAACTCATATTTGACTTCATTTGTAAATGCAAGATTTAAAATCACAGGCATGGACATATGAGATAGATCAATCTGAAAAATGTACCTATTTTTACTGGAAATCCATCTGGTAGTTTTGTCTCCATAAATTCACGAAGTTTGGTGAATTGCTTCAGAGGTGCAATGATTTCTAGTACATCTAGCAGTGTATTCACGCTCATTGGGAAATCTTGACTCTAAAAAATTTATATCATGATTTTCACTCATATATTTACCAAGATAAAGTTATATATCAATCTTTCTGTGCCTGTTCAAAACATGGAGTAAAACAATCAATACAGTGGAACACATTTTTTTTCTATTCAATTCAATTTATTTATTTCATAATTCTTATATTTAATTTGAGAATTTCAGTAACACAATGCACAAAATAGCAGTATAATGTCAAATACTGTATGTTGGGTTAATTTGGTGTTGACTAATTTGGCGATTTTGCCATTTTTGGCATATATTTAATTTGGCGAACATTGGACATTGCTCTGACACCACAATGTCCATATACACTGGGACAAAATACAAAGTGTAACATCTATTCCTTCAATTCCACTACTATATCTTGTAATTTATTGATGAAGCAACTCCTCTGAGCCAATTTTGAAGTGATATGTTCTGATTATCAACCTTATCCTTTTCAGATTTTGTGAAGCTAAACCAGAAGTGACTTAAATACACTAGACGAAATTCCCGAGGATCCTTTTTAAACTTTGGTGAATACATAAATTGGCGGTTTTTCAATTTGGCCAAATTCTCCAAATTAAAACAGGCGCCAAATTAACCAAATCTACAGTATATAAAATAACTATGTAATGAAATGTCAAATTGATCCAAATATGTAATTCTATCTTTATGTAATGTGACATGTCAGTAGAATCTATGTGATACACTAACCATTTCACAAAAATACATATTACAAGAACTTTAATTAGTAATTTAAAAATCCTTATTACAGAAAAACTAACCATTCCTAAAGTTGCCTTAAATGTTTTACAGTTTTCCTTGCTAACTCTTGGACGTCCTATAAGTGGAGGTTTTCCAGCAGGCGATTTTATGTATTGCTCCCAGGTCACATTGGTGGGTGGGGGAGGGGGTAGTGAGGTACTTCTCTGAGTCTGAAAGAATACAATAGGTATAACATTGGTTTTGTGCCCGAGAAGGACTGTATTCCATAAGGCACTGGCAGTGAGTGAAATACACAGACAGAATCATTTCTGAATTTCACTTGATCACTTTCATCAGGCCAATCAGATCGCTGGAAACTGCACCATCGTGGGATGAGGACACTTTATCGGATGCATGAATATTTTGACAATCATAATAAAAAAATAACTGCATTGTATCTGTGTCGTCACCAAAATAGAAAAAAATTACAGTAAAGTTGTTACCAAAGTTCTTTTCAATAATTAGTACAGCTTCAAAAAGTAATAAAAGGTAAATAGAAAAATGCATTTATTACCTCTAAATGTTCGACCATCCTTCCTTTACTGAGGTTTTCCATGAGAGTTTTATTTTTATGGAGATCTTCTTCTGTTAAGTGCTCACGCCTACAATGTTTCAATAAAAACATTGATAACTAGAGGTTTAAGATTGCAAGCAATCTTAAGGAGGCCCCGTAGGCTTTTTTGAACATTTAAAGGTCAGCCAAAGGTCAAATCTTAAATACAAGGTCATATATGAACTCCAGGCATCTTGTAGATGATTTTTTAAAAAAGTTTGGTCAATTTGAAGCAATGTGAAATTTGACCTTGAAAAATTTCAACATTAGACCTTTTTCAATTTTTGAGGTCCAATATCTCAAAACTGGTGCAGAATCTTAATAGATAATCAATTGTTAATATGTGTAAAACCTTTAGAGGAATATATATCCTGACTTTAATTAAAAAATATTGATTTGTAGTCACAAACTTTGAGAAACTTAGAAAACACAGTTTGTGATCTTGTTTGATGACCTTGACCTTTGACCTTGAAAATTTTACTTTTTAGACCTTAGTATCTCTTTTCTGATTGAATAAACCTAAATTTGAATCCAGAAAATCAATTTGAAAAATCAACTTTTTTTACCTTTCGAAGGTCACTGAAGGTCAACCAAAGGTCATAGGTCAAAACTAAGGTCAGATTTGAGTTCCTGAGATCTTGTAGATGCTTTTTTAAAAAAAATGTGGTCAATTTAGAGCAAGTTGAAATTTGACAGTGAAAAATTTCGAAATTTGACCTTTTTTCAGTTTTTGAGTTCTAATATCTCAAAACTGGAGCAAAGTTTTAATAAATAGTCAATTGCTAATATGTGTAGAACCTTTAGAGGAATATATATTCTGACTTTCAGTAAAAAAAATTGATTTGTAGTCTCAAATTTTGAGAAACTCAGAAAACACAGTTTGTGATTTGGTTTGATGACCTTGACCTTTGATCTTGCAAATTTTTTTAGACCTCAGAAGGTCTTTTGTGAATAAATATACCTAAATTTGAATCCAGAAAATCGATTTGAAAAATCAACTTTTTTGACTTTCGGAGGTCACTGAAGGTCAACCAAAGGTCAAAGGTCAAAAGTAAGGTCAGATTTGGAATCCTGAGAACTTGTAGATGAGTTTTAAAAAAAAATTTGGTCAAGTTGAAAAAAGACCTTTTTTGACCTTCAATATCTCAAAATCTAGGCAAAATTTCTCTAGACGGCAAAAGGCTAAGACTAATAGAATACTAATATCTATCTGTATGCAAAAATTCAGCCAAAAATATTGAAGTGTAGTGTCAGGATTTGAGAAACTTGAAAAAAACTTAGATTTGACCTAGATTTTGACCTTTGACCTTGACCTAGATAAAAATTCCTTTCCACCAAGTTCAGCCAAGGTCCCTAGTAGGACTATGTAGTAGCTAGTTGAAAGGTAGTTGGAAGTAGGAGAAAAGGGTTTAGGAAGAATAAAGAATAATAACTAGACTTTTGAAGAATGCAAGCAATCTCACGGAGGCCCTCTTAGGCATTTTTGACAATTTGAAGGTCAACTAAATGACAAATATCAAATCTGAGGTCAGATGTGAACTCTTGAGAACTTGTAGATGATTTTCAAAAAAAGATTTTGTCAATTTGAAGCGAGTTTAAATTTGACCTTGAAAAATTTCAAAAGTGACCTTTTTTCAATTTTTGAACTCTTATATCTCAAACTGGGACAAAATTCTATTATATAGTCAATTGCTTATATGTGTAGAACCCTTAGAGGAATGTGTATATTTCGACTTCGGGTTAAAAATATTGGTTTGTAGTCTCGAACAGTTTGTGACCTAATTTCATGATCTTGACCTTTGACCTTGAAAAGTTTTACCCTTTTAGACCTCAGTAGATCTACTTTAATCAGGCTGACCTAAATATGAATCCAAAGACTCAATTTGAAAAATCAACTTTTCTTACCTTTCGAAGGTCATTGAAGGTCAACTAAAGGTCAAAGGTCAAATATGAGGTCAGATTCGGACTCCTGGGAATTTGTAGATGATTTTTAAAAAAAAATTGGGTCAGATTGAAGCAAGTTGAAAAATTACCTTTTTTGACCGTTTTTCGACGTCAAATATCTCAAAAATGGTAAAAATTCAATGCTGACATATAGTGAACAATTTGTAGAAAATACTTAAATGTAGTTTCAGTTTAATTTATCGCAAGAAATAATGAAGTATAAGGACAAAGTTGAGAAACTTGAAAAAAATTTAGATTTGACCTAGATTTTGACCTTTGACCTAATTTGATAACCGTGACCCTTGACCTTGAAAATTTTACTGTTTTAGAGCTCAGTGGGTCTTTTTTGATTAGGCTTACCCTAAATTTGAATCCAAAAACTCAATTTGAAAAATCAACTTTTCTGACCTTTCGAAGGTCACTGAAGGTCAACTAAAGGTCAAATGTCAAATCTGAGGTTAAATATGAACTCCTGAGAAGTTGTAGATGATTTTGAAAAAAAAGTTGGGTGAATTTGAAGCAAGTTAAAATTTGACCTTATAAACTTTAAAAAATTGACCTTTTTCAGTTTTTGAGCTCTTATATCTCAAAACTGGGACAAAATTTTAATAAATAGTCAATGACTAATATGTGTAGAACCCTCAGAGGAATGTACATCTTGACTTTCAATTCAAAATATTGATTTGTAGTCTTGAACTATGAGAAACTTAGATAGCACAGTTTGTGACCTAATTTGATGACCTTGACCTTTGACCTTGAAATTTTTACTTTTTCAGACCTCAGTGGGCTATTTGTTATTAGACTGACTTAAATTTGAATCCAAAGACTCAATTTGAAAAATCAACTTTTCTGACCTTTCGAAGGTCACTGAAGGTCAACTAAAGGTCAAAGGTCAAATCTGAGGTCAGATTCGGACTCCTGGGAACTTGTAGATGATTTTTAAAAAAAATTGTTCAGATTGAAGCAAGTTGAAAAATGACATTTTTTGGCCGTTTTTTGACGTCAAATATCTCAAAAACGGTAAAAATTTTATGCTGACATATAGTGAACAATTTGTAGAGAATACTTAAATGTAGTTTCAGTTTAATTCATCGCAAGAAATAATGAAGTAGAAGGACAAACTTGAGAAACTTGAAAAAAAACTTAGATTTGACCTAGAGTTTGACCTTTGACCTTGACCTAGATAAAAAATATTTTCCCCCCTATTCCAGCCAAGGTTACTAGTAGGATCATATAGTAGGTAGTTGAAAGCTAGTTGGAAGTAGGAGAAAAATGCTTTGGAAGAATAATAATAAAAATAAAGAATAAAGAATAAAGAATAAAGAAAAGCTACAAAAGCTATAGGAGGCCCTTTCAGGAGGGCCTCCTAATAATAATAATATCTATAAAATCTATAGGAGGCCCCCCTGCAGGGGCCTCCTTATAACTAGAAGAAACAGTTCCTATGTGCAATGGATTTGAATTATGATATTGTCTATACAGTGAGTGAGTCAAAAAATATATTTTATTTAAAACACATTGGAATATAATTTTTTTCTTCTTGAAACACTGAGCTCTAAACTACAACTTTTGTACAGAAGCTGACGAAATCAACATTAATATTAAATATACATGTATGTCCAATCTTACCGCTTTTTTGATTCTAGATTAAGTCCATGTACTGCATAGAAATCTGTGTTATAAGTGCCAACTTTTTCCTGTAAGAAATCAAAACATTTATGTTTTCTTGATTCATGTGGATATATTATATTGGACCACACTCAATTTTTTGCTTTTTTAACTGAACAAAAGAACTTATTGTAGAGTTTAGGTCCTACACCTACAATGCAACAGTTTAAAAAACTGGAAGCAAATAGACCAAATGCAAGAAAGTTATTTTGATTTACCTCATTTAAAATCACACCTAAAATGTGGTTTCAAAAATTGTTTATTAACTTTGTAAAATTTAATTTTCTTTGAAAATGTGACTTGCAGGTGGGGTTAGACATTTGAAAACAGCGACAAAATGGAAAAAATAAGAGGGAGGGTAAAATCTTCCGGGCTATCCATGGCTCCCCCAAAACAGGAGATTAAATAAGGAGGTGGCAGTTATATAACTGTACATGATATTGAGGAAGTACTCACACTCTTGTCCTCTTTGAAGAACCATCCACTTTGTGCCCGAGTGAATGTGATATTTTTAGTAGACATCTGTGCAGCTACAATATCGCTGCACATCAGAATATCAACCTCTTCCTCAATTTCAGCTTCTGTATCCTAGAAATATAGCCCAAAATACACAAATTCAAGATTCTAAAACTCCAAGGTTTATTCTGTCAGCACTCTGTGGAAATGAAAAACTGGGGGATGGTAATCTTCTCAAGGGAGACATCTAAATGTGATGGAGCTCTGATCCTTTGTGCATGTCTTTAGCAGACAAAGGATGTAACCACTGGACCACTGGTGTTATGTGGTCATCAACTTCGCAAACTACTTTTTCTTTTACATGAAGTTAAATGTAATATTTAATGCTCATTTTGTATACAGCAGCAATTTAAACAAATGAATTCCAATTCCAAAGTTATATCAATTCCATTTCCAAACTAGTTAAACAATAAATTTCAGTTTTTTATCATCGAAGTCCAAAACACCAAACCTATGTAATGATGGGGAAACTTTTTGTTTCAAATAAATGAAGATAACTTAAACTAACCTCTTGTCGCACTCGTTGATAGACTCTGGTTTTATTATCCAGTACTTTTAGAGAATGGGAGGGCTTCTTTTCACCATTAAATATGAAACTGATGTCTCCTCGCTCCCACTTCATATCATTGAAGTCAACAAGGGTAGTGTCCATCCTGAAACAACAAAGAAAACATAAACATGAAGAATGTAGGAAATAAGAAATAATAGCAAGTATGGACTTGGAAACTGTCAAGGGCCCTGAAATGAATATTACGAGAATCTAATTTTTTTAAAAGGGCCATTTTCCATTGAAGCCTATAGAAACCTGGGGGGGGGGGGGGGTCATGATAAATACTAGATTTGCAGAACAGGGAATGATTTGTACAGTGGGTCAACATGCACTATAATTCATAATTTGTGACCTTGTTCTAAAACAACCATAACAAAGAAAGGTTTTGATTACAAATACAAAACACTTCTCCCAACATGATCAATTCTCTACTTGAAATCGTTCTATGCTGATTGGTTGATTCAGTTGACCATTTTGTGAATCTCATGTTCTGGGTAAGGAAGCTTCAACCAATTAGTTAAGTTGTTATTTTTCAATCCAGATGTGATTTGATTACATTCTGGGTTATCAAATTGCTTTGTTTCTAGTTTTGATATAATATCATTTATCAGAGGCACTGGAATACACATTGTTCTGTATATAATAGTTTTGACAGAGAAGGGCAGACTTTTGGGGTTATCAAATTTCTTTGTTTCTTGTTTCATACTGGCATTGAAATCTTCACTGTTTTGGCAGAGAAGTATAAACATTTTGTCCCAGAACTATGTTCATACACTGGCATTCATTATAATAGTGATCAAGGTACCAACACATATAATCTAAGATGCAGGGCATTGTGCTGATCTGGATCCTGCTTCTGATACACAGAGGTGAGTACTTTAAATCAAATTGAAAACAATCGCCAAATTAAATAGACTCCAATAGGCCCAAAAACACAAAATTGCCAAATTAAGTAGCACCAAAATTAAAGACAAATAAAGTTAAGTATCTACATGCATTTTTGGGCATTTTTAGGACATTAGTTTATGAACTATCAAATAGAGTGGACAATTCAATTTCTATAAACTCACCATGTGAGCTTAAAAACTTGTCTTTGATGTATAAATAAAATATGTTAGTACAATCTGCACCTTCTTGTTTCTTCCATGATTGAAACCTTCACTGGTCAGTATCAAGCGAAGGTAACTGACGTCCCCTTCGCATCAAAGATAGCAGACGGGAAGTGTCGATTTCGATATTTTTAGTTTTCATTGAATTAAACTACTTTATAGTTGACATAATGCTTTGATATTTGAACTAAATCTGACTTACATAACATGGAGACTCTGGAATATGACCATTTGTTCATATATCATGTGTCGGCACCACAGCTCAACGATATCTTCCACCACTTAAAGGAAGGTAACTGAGATTTCGGTTTTACAGATGATAAGATCACTGATATGCGGTGATGCAGTAACGTTATGAGAGTTTATAATGGAGAGCTAGGATGTCCAGTTACAGCGTATTGAAAACTAACATGACCGTCACTGAATCTTACATTTCCAGTTACCTTCCCTAAGTGGTGGAAGATACCATTGAACTGTGGTGCCCATGCATGATGTATGAACAAACTATCATACTCCATAGTTCCCATGTCATATAGGCCTGATTTGGTTCAAATATCAAAGCATAATGTCAACCAGAGAGTAATGAAAACTAAAAATATCGAAATCAATCGACAATTAGCGTCCACCATCTTATATGCGAAGGTTACGACCACTACCTTCCCTTGATACTGACCAGTAACCTTGACATCATGTCAAGTAATTTGCACTATTTTTCTGGCATGTTAATAGAATCTGCATATTTCAAACAAGCCCATATTGGTTCTATATTAGGTGATGGTGGCACCAAACAGAAATCTGCCAATGTGGCTGACTCAAGTCAATATATCACAAAGGATGCTTTCAAGTTAACACATAAAGAAGTGAAGGCATTAAAGTACATCCCTGATGGGAAGTTCAACTCTAAGGATTGCTTGGAGGTTTTAGCAAATATTGGCAATAACTTCATGGATAAAGGTAAACAATGGTGTCGAAATGTTGAAAGTTGTGGAAAAACAAGTTAATTTTATTATGGCTTCTGGTTTAAGCAACCCCTCACGACATAATGACCTTTGAAAATATCAATTTGTCATTGATTTAATTTACATGTACTTGTAAATAAACAGTTCTAAAATTCATGAATGGAATCTTAATTTCCCTGCCCAAATGAACATCCTTCTTCCAAAACTAGATACCATATCTGAAAATGAAGTACATTTTTTAGTGAAAATAGCTGACTATAGATCCATAAAAATTAATCAAAATGTACCTTAATTCCTTTTTATAGGTTGGTATATAATTGCACCCCGCTTGAACAATACCAAAGAGAAAATCAAAGTTTATTGTGATCAACCAGATGCAAATGGCAAGTTTGGAGGCTGGACAGTTATTCAGAGAAATGACGGAACAACATCAATGAATCGCAACTGGAAAAAGTACAAAACTGGTTTCCAAGATGGAAATAGCTTCTGGTTGGGAAACGACAACATATTTGACATATTTCAAAACCAAACAACACCAATGATGATGATGATTGAGGCATGGACCAAAACGCTACGTGGGTATATAAATGAGCGTTACAGAAGTGCAATTTATAATGGGGTAACTATTAAAAATGAAGCCAACGAATATGAACTTTGTGCAAATATCATAGATGGGTTTGATCCTTTGGGCCTGAGTAAATTTGATCCCCCTTGTGCAAGATTCAGTACTTATGATGAAGATAACGATTATGCTGTGAATGCAAATTGTGCTGAGATGTTTGGAGGAGGGATGTGGTACACAAACTGTACAGATTTGAATGTAAATGGCCATAATGAAGATGACAATCCTTATATAAAGAGGAGAAAGAAGACTCAAAATAAAGACTATTCTTTCACCAAAGGTAGGATATGTATATTGAGATTTATCGGTAATAAACTTTAATAAATACACTGACACAGACACTCCTTTCAACAACTGTTTTACCAAAACTACACATTTGTCTAAATTTTTTAACCCTATGAAATATATATTGTTAATGATTTTGATGGGATTTAAAACACCTTAACGAAATGACCACATTATATTTGGAAGGTATCTGGTGGTATAACTGGAAAAGGCAAATGATGTTGCCACTAGGACAGGTAGAAATAAAGGTGCGTCCGGTACAAGAGAGCTGCACAGCAGTAAGACAAGCACTGAAGATACCACGCTATACAAAACATGAAGGTGATCACCATTGCAACAGTTTTTTGATGAAATTTAATATGCCTCATTTTCTACGAGACTTTTTGCAAACTGTTTCTTTGGACGGGCATCTAACTTTGTATTGTTTTTAGGTGTTTATAACATTCAACTTGACCCAAAGTTTCCTGCTGTAAAGATGCGCTGTTATTTTGATGCTGAAGGAGATTGGACAGTTATTCAAACTCGCACTGATGGATCATTAGACTTTGATCGACCATGGAGAGATTATTCCAAAGGCTTTGGAGACCTGGAAGGAGAATTCTGGTGGGGACTGGAAAATGTCTGGGCCAACATGGATGTTGCTGTATTGAGAATTGAGGTAAGGCCATAGAAAGTAGATTCTTTGTTTTGCGTCCCCTTGCTTGCACGATTTTGAGTAAATCAGAAAAAACAAACACATCCAAATTGCAATCATAAGGGTCTGAAAGTACCATCGCATTTTGTTCAATCAGAATCAGTTGAAACGACGAATAATTTGACATGCGTCAAAATTGACAGTGTTATTGATTACTTTGGCATATATTGCCTATTTTCTTATTTTTTACCCTTGAATAATAGCCATGTTTAAATATATGGTATAAAATGTATAGATATGTATTTGTTATCACTGCAAATTGGTATGTCATCCCTTTTTATGCCCATAAAATGTACACAATTGTCAGCAAACAGGTTTGTGTTTTTTCTAGAGTTTGTGTTTGTTTTCCTTGTACGCTTGCATGATTTGGATTTTAATAAGTTAATAATAGGATAAATAACTGGCTAAAACAGCTGATTACAATTGCCCCATGCTACAATTTCATTCTCAAAGACAAATCATATTAAATAATTGATTCCCTTCACTAAAACTCAATTTTCATATGACATTTAAATGTTTTAAGTGTCAACCCATCAATTCCATAATCGCAGTATTTTGTAGACTATTATCACTACATATATGGTTGTACATTATTACAAAATAGCAAAAATTGTGGTATTGTGTCCAAGTTGTCAAAAAATAACCTATACTATAGAAGAACTACTCAAGATCTATAGATTTTATTGAATTTATTATGAAGTCTTTCCAACTCAGTATTACTCCTCATCTGAAATTTGAATGAATATAAGAACTGTATGTGAGTATGCATGCAGGAAACTCAATAAATAAGCTCACTAGACAGTTTGAGTACAATAGTAAGCATTGATAAGACATAAAATAATAAATAACAATAAAGAATAAATAAATAACAATTTGTAAACATTTATAAATATATTTGATTTCAGTTTTGGAACAAGACAGGAGGCTATGAATTCATCGATTATAGAAATTTTCAAATTCGCCTGTATCAACATTACAAAAAAAATGCTAACAAGAACCACTTTTTGCGGATAACGCCTTTCCACATTGGAGAGAAAAAGGTGTCAAAATATGAACATGACTATCAAGCTTATTACTATTCACCTATTAGTATTGGGGCAAAAATCAAAGGCAATGCAAGTGACTGTTATGGTTCTTCCATGAAAATGCAGTTTTCAACAAATGATCGGGGTACATATTCAGACAAGGCAAAGGTTTGCAAGGGTGGTTGGTGGTATGAGAAGAACAATCCTTCCTATGATAACTGTAACTGTGTACCAAATGGAATTAGCATCATGAATGATGTAAAGCCTGAATTAGAGAGTTCGACTAGCCCCTCAAAGCAACATAGTAAAAACAGAACACGGATGATGTTGAAAGTGAAAGCCAAAAAGAAAAAACAGTCTTAAATGAAATAACAATGTAATGGGACTTATGAGTATATCTATGTTTCAGATCTGGGACCAAAAAGGAAACTATCAGTTCAGAGACTACAAGCACTTCTATGTTTTACTTCATGAACCTTATCTTAATATATATGGATACTACAGACCTGAACAAAAACATGATTATTTCAACACAACTCATTTCCATGTTACGCAGAAAGAAATAATTGGACGATGGTCTGATGAACCTGTCGAGGATAGACCAATTTGGCTGCAAACAAAAAGTGATGGTAACGCAACAGAATGCTACAGACTTTCCAGTGGCCAATTTGAATCATTTTATACACAAGATCGCACATTTTACTTTTCAACGAATGACAGAGGAAACTTTTCAAAGGAGGCTAAGACATGCAAAGGTGGTTGGTGGTATACAAAGCACACAATATTTGATGATTATTGCAAATGTTCACTAAACGGATTAAACATCATCCAGGATTTGAGGAGTAATTCTGATGTTTCGGGAGGTCCAAACTATAATGGACCAAGGACAAGAATGAGGATAATGAAACAACAAAAAAACTGAGGGGTTAAGTTTATTACCAATATCAAAAGACAGAGTTGGTGACAATAAGTAGTAATAGCTGGGGGTTATGAGTACAGCCTTTTTACAGCCTTAATAAATTAAAAAAGCAGTTTATTCTGGTCTGGCAAGTTCTCAGGCATGTATTAGAAAATTAAATTTTCATGAAAATTGCATGCATGAACAAATAAAACATATGTTACAGTATATTGCAATAATAGTCAGAAAATCCTATATTCTGTATAGTATTACACAAATATACTCAGATCAAATAATTTGCACTTTGTTCATTTGGGATAATGAAATGCTCCGGGAAATAGAAAAATACATCACTTAAACAAAACACATATTGCTGGCCTCAAGTTTAATCAGCTATCAAAGTTAAGGTTCATCCATTCAATATTTTACATCTTCTCACTAGAACAAGGCACCAATGTCACAACCTAGTGCTACCAAGTCTCTATCTTGGCTCCTTTAGTCATTCTTTAACAAAATGGTACTATCCCTCAGTCAATTAATGTATCTTTTGGGGTCCATGCCCTTGGGGAGATAAATCATATTTTTCTCACGATAACGCCATTAAATAACCTCTGGATATACATACCTTACACAACTGCCTTTTTTATGTATTTTGCAAATATCTGAGGGCAGGATTCTTGAAACTAATGGTACTGGAATGAAACAAGAATAAATATCATCAATAGTCATTAAGAATTTCAAAAATACAGTACTTCGTTTTAGTTGTGACAAGCTGGCAAAGGATGCTTGAGAATGTCAATTGTTTTTCAAGTCAATCCAGTCAAGTGCCCTAAACAATGCAATTCATGGAGAACTGACAACAATTTTGAGTCAATATATCTCTGGATCAGTTATATTTCTACATGGAATTAAAACAAATCTCAGAAGATTTTTCTCAAAAAATTAAAAAATAACAAAATGCTTTCAAAAATCTTCTTGTGCCTCGACTGGATACCAAGTTGCTTCAATACTTGGGTACCACAGAAAATACAAAAATTCCAACTAAAATTACAACAAGGCTTACAACATGCATAATGTTGTCATCTTGCTATATGTTACAGACACCAACTGCCAAAACACCAACCACTGAATGCTGAACACCTTCTATAAAAAGTTGGAGACTATAATAATATGTCACCACTTTTGTTGGTAATTATACAATATAATACTTACACCAGCTTTGAAAGTCCCACTTAAGCTCAAGATAGAAGTCACCTAGTTCTTTCAAGGCTTGTACGAGGAGTGGTCTTCTGGACTCATAATTCTCTTTGGACTGTTGTTTGAGCTTTCTTAGCAGTGATGTGACTGAATTATAGAAGAAGGCAAAATATGCTTATTAAAAGAAATATTGCATTCATAGCACATGTCAAAGATTCACCTTGTTTATGTACATTTGTAATACAGTATTAAGTTGTAGAAAGTATTCCCAATGTACTTTCTATGTTCTAAAAAATTGTTTCAATACTTCTTTGAAAAAATATACTGTACTCCTGGTACAGTAGTTACACATTGTTAACCAGAATTCAATAAATTCGTTGACAAAATAGCCCCATGAAAATCATCTAAATTCACCTTTTAAACAAAAACAAGTTTCAATAAAAAGTTCTAAACTCATCTGATATTAGATTTTCTAGAGTGGTTTGAAAGGTCATTTTTTCTGAAATTGTGTTTTAGCTGAGAAATAAAGGATAAAACTGACCACTTTTAGCAATAAACCTGTTTTTTAAATAGCCTTAGAGAATGGCCTGGTCAGCCTGACCTTGGTTGTATATATGCAGAGGCCATCAATTTCACTCTGTGTAAAAATAGAACTGTCAATCAAATCTTGAAATGATCAGAGAATGGAAATTATATAGTTTTATCTGTTGACCTTGCTTTTCTGCAGATGTTAGAAAATCTCATTTTTTGAAATATTGACAATTAAAGTGTTATTATAACTTAATGAAAAATGTACAGGTTACTGTGACCTATAAACAAAAACTTCTGAGCTTTGAATTTTATTTTTAGCTGCCTATTTGCAAAAGACTGAAGGATATATTGGGGGAATAGTTGTCTGGATGGGAGACCTCTCATTTGGGATACAATGGTATATCAAGGTTTGGTTGAAAGAGAGGTTGGGGTAAGGAGTCCATAGAAGTGGTTGAGAGGGAGGGCAATTTAGGGAAGGTTTGATAGCGCTTTAAAGCAGCGTGAAAAGCCTTTTAAAGCGGCGTGAAAAGCCCTTTGCACACTGCTTTAAAGCACCATTGGTGTGAACTTAGCTTTATTCCACAGTTCAAATTCCTATGAAAGGCCATGACAAATAGATTGGCATTAGAGGAAGAAAAAATTACTCATAGCCTCTGGGTTATTATAGGGTAGAGCATTATCCTGTCTACCCAGCGACAAAAGATTACCATAAAGATTTGTAAGAAGATATATGAGTGAAAATATTGTTTTGTGTTAATTAACCCCTTGGTGATATTACCTCTTAAAACAAATGTTAAACTTATTTTTGTAGTTCAATCCATTATCTGGGATATTGCAGTCCCAGTCAAAGAGTCTCGTAAATGTTCAACTGAGCGATCAGTTTCACAGTTGATTACCTATAACACCCCCACTGATATTTGCCAGACAAGACATCATTCAGTCAATATTTCAATTTTATTTGACCTTTTCAAAGGCACTATTCAAATAATTCACAAATGAAATTCTTAACTTTATATAAGAAATACTGTTTCCAAGGAAAATGTTCTAAATAGCTCTGATTGTCTAGAATGTAAGTTTACTGAATTATACTATTTGTTCCCATCTAAAGAAACCACTATAGATTTTTACTTCACATCACACAATGAAAACTACTTGTCTTCTGGATTCCAGGGGAATGATTTCCTGACCATATACACGGGGTGCCATCGAATAATTTTGGCAACGTACCGGAGAACGACATTTTACTAAGAAATGGCAATAATTTAGCACAATATATTTTTTAACTAGAGTTCTATTTTGATTTTGACAAAAGTAAGTATTCCATGCAATAACTAGTTCATTCATGAGTTTGTAGGAATTCTGTTGGAACCCAGTTCTGATCAAGTACGAAGTTATTGAAATCGGCGCAGACGGACTTTACTCCGAAAGATGGTTTTTCGATTATAACTTTTCACAACATTTAAGTATAGACTTTTGAAAAAAGTACAGAATAGTCCTTATACTTTTGAATAATTCTGTTATTTCTAATTCACACGACTCTGATTTGTTTAATTAAAAAAAAATTTTAAAATATTACTTAGGAACGTAACCGGAGCTGGGAACGTAACCGGAGCAGATCAGTTGAATTATTTAATCCAAAAAATTAAAATATATGATTTAAAGCACATATACTAATTTAAAAACATACGGGATTGTTCGAATGCGTATTTATTACATTTTATTTAAAGAAAAAAATTTATCTATTGTGAAAAATTAAATTTGGTATTTACCATGCATAAGTGCACTTACCTTAGAAAGGCTATCAAACATAGAACAATCATTGTATGGAGAATGAAGTGATTAAATGTAGTAAGCAAATAATTCCATTTGATTTCACCCATTGTATTTGTTCAGCTAACTATTAGAACCCACTCTGTTATACTAATTTCTAATTAATTTCTAATTTAAACTAATTGCCATGCATTGATTTTCCTGTAAGTGAAGGGTAATAAATGCTCATTTTAACATTCATTTGTGTTTGTAAATAATATATATGCTTTAAATCATATATTTTATTTTTTTTAAATTATATAATTCAACTGATCTGCTCCGGTTACGTTCCCAGCTCCGGTTACGTTCCTAAGTAATATTTTTAAAACTTTTTTTTTAATCAAACAAATCAGAGTCGTGTGAATCAGAAATAACAGAATTATTCAATAGTATAAGGACTATTCTGTACTTTTTTCAAAAGTCTATACTTAAATGTTGTAAAAAGCTATAATCGAAAAACCATCTTTCGGAGTAAAGTCCGACTGCGCCGATTTCAATAACTTCGTACTTGATCAGAACTGGATTCCAACAGAATTCCTACAAACTCATGAATGAAATAGCCATTGCATGGAATACTTACTTTTGTCAAAATCAAAGTAGAACTCTAGTTAAAAAATATATTGTGCTAAATTATTGCCATTTCTTAGTAAAATGTCGTTCTCCGGTACGTTGCCAAAATTATTCGATGGCACCCCGTGATATACATACATGCATTTCTATTATTGACTCTGTTCCTCTCTTGAACAAAACCCCTTGGCAATTTTTGGTTTCATGTTCATTTTATAAAATTCTATTTCAAATCAATAGTAAAGACAGCATAAGTTTAGCAAACAGCTGAAAGAAACAAAGATCAGTATTAAGCTAAAGTAAGATTTAGTTGGTCCAACATCTGATCTTATATTTTCAAATATCTTTGAAGCTGAATATTTACTCATACTCATTTTACAACTGCCAAGCTTGCAATTGTAAGATTGGTCTAATTCAATTCATTCGCATGAAACATCAGGTAAAAGGGGCGTAGCCAGGTTTCAGTCAGGGGGGGGGGGGGTGCGATCGCCAAAAAGATTTTCGGTTTTCAGTCAGGGGGGTGCGATTGTGGCATAAACAAGCCAAAAAAATAAGATTTATGTTGAATTTTACAAAAATTGATGCAACTTCCTTCAAAATTGAGCTAGAAGCTTCAAATAACAATATTTTAAAGCTCTTTTCTTCTTCTTCTTTCTCATGATTTTATTTTTATTGGTTATGGGGGGAGGGGAATAGAATTTTCCAATGGTATATCTCAAATGCAATAAATGTAGAGAAATATCAAAATTGCAGTAAACACTGCATCACATCACATATTGATTACATCTTATCAACATATCATACAAACTCCACAGCCTTTAATTGATTTGTAAAATGTTTCTACCAATTTGTCACAAAATGTCAATAACATATGAAAACAATTGCTATATACTGGTGTATTTCAATGATGCAGTCACTTAGGGATGGTGTCAAGGGATGGCCTCATTTCCTTAATTTAAGGCCCAAAGTGTAAAAATTTAGGCAAATTTCTTCAAAACAGGCCCAATATAGAAAATAATGCCTATTCAAACTCGTTTTTTACCTAACTTCCCCAATTTATGTGTTGAAGAAGCAGATTTTGAACTTTAAGATTTGTAGTGCATAAATTTTTTTGGTGGGTGGTTAGCATTCCTCCACCATATCTGTAACTGGTATCCAACTATCAACAGTTGTAGAATATACTTACGAAGTTAGTTTTGTTAAGGGGAGGAGGTAAATCTTGGTCTATCTGGGCGAATTAGACCTTTATTCATTACAAAAATGTATAATTCATTATGACTGGTAACCAGGATGGTCATAAGTCAGCGTAAACTTCACAAATAAGAACAAAAGTACATCATTCATTTGAAGTGAAAAACACATGTATATAAATTATTTATACTTTGACATTTTGGTTTTGCACTCATCTGAGGTGGGATCTGATGCAGTTTCTTGACAAGAAATACATTCATATCTTAACCCAGCCCCTTATTAGACAGATGATTTGTTCAAACCAGAATCAATAATAAAAGTATTACAAAGGCCTATTCACTGTATCATTGCCACAACATTGATTCAAATCACCTCCTTGCTATCAGGAGACTTGAAGTCAAAGTGCCATTGAAAATATTAGTATTCTTGTTACCTTACTGAAGATATACTAGGATTTTACATAGCTTCATTAAAATATGAAACAAATTAAGGTTTTTATCACTTTATTGTTTCTGTTAGGCCAATACTTGATTATCTTTGTAAAATATTTCTGGATTTTAATTCATTTATTGTTGATGGGGATTTGTAAGGTAAGATGAATGATATGTTACATTGCCTGAAAGAATACATATTCATTGCGTCTAAAAGTCAATACCAAAAAACAGACATAGGAGAGAGGGAAATGTTCCTTTATATACTAGTATAATATACAATCGATTTGTCAAATGGGTTGTCTTCCAATTAGCCTTATTGCAAATCATTAAGATAAGTTTTTTTATCAAGAACTTGTGTGGGGTTTAACTTAAAGAATCCAGAACCTTTAGGATTAGATTACAGCTTATCTAATATTTTTTCACTGCTTGAATCATTGCAATGTTGTAGCTCAGCAAATGTTGCTAGATGAAAAAATCATAAAGAGACTGCTTTAGGGTTCACTTCTAAATAATATAATGTTTTTTACATGGAACTCAACAGAATATTAAGTGAAAATCAATGCAATAAGCTGGCTTATATTAGGCAAAAGAAATAAGTCAAATTAAGAAAAATAT